GTAGATAAAGAACCATAGAAGCTAGTAAATACCTGCCAATTTGTTCGGAATGGCAGAGGACACCCGAACTCCTCCTTTAATGTGCTATTCCCTGCTAAAAACTCAGTTGAAGTTATATTTTGTTGTTCAGGGGGAATTCCAGCCGAAGCAATTTGGATGGAAGACTTTGATCCATGAGAAGTTACAGTGTGAAGTCCCGTTGTGCACTGTTCCAAGATTTCTTCCCAGGATCCCACACCGAGTGTTTTTTGAGAATCAATCCCACAAGTAGAGTTATCACTGTAACACTGTTGATCTTTCTCAAAATATGGCCTGTAATTTCCTCCATGAAATGATGACTGGCCATCATGATTGCCTGATAAGATTATAATAATCAAATCAGCATGTTACTCGATGTAAGAGGTCATTAGATGAAGCCATCCATGTATAAACATAAATTAACAAGCAACACCCTCCCTCCCCTCCCCAAGGCAAAAGAATAAAAGTAAAAACATAAAGATCCTTACTCAAATGTGGATGCAGTGAGAGATTAATATCTGCTTTGTCTGTGAGAGGACCATTCCCCATCTGTTGTGAGTCGAAACTTGACTGAAAAGAACTTGCTTGGCGACTATCACCTGCATCAGCTCACATGTGTTAAACAGAAACTCTCATGCATATTTAAGAAGTGAGTAGGCGTTGCACAGTCATTTTGGCATTTATTATGTACATCAAACGGAATTTTCTAAAATCAAGACAATAAATTATCAACACAAGACCAAAATGGTATGTAAAAGATAACCCTTTTTAACAAAGCTACAGAAATGGAATACCAGAATCAGCATCTTCACATGATGTGAGGTTGCTGCTTGGGCTTGTATAATCTGTATTTCCTGAAGGTGTTCTGCAATTACTATTTGAAGGGCTAGAAGTCCAGGAGCTGCCCTTTTGCAGATCAGGTGTAACCTCATCAATCTCTCTAATGCCTCCAGCATTTGCCCTATTACCCTGAGAAAGAGAAAAGATTTACAAGAAGAAAGCATTAACAGTCAACAAGAAATATGCATAGGGCACAGTTACTTGGTTTGAGAAACTTAGGCATACTATAAAATTGTAAACGTGAATCTGACAAAATATATATTCAAAGTCTTGAGGTCATAAATTGCAATTTTTGAGTGTACATGGCCAAAGTCAAATACCTTCTTCAGAACTGTTCTAGGAACTTTATCATACAAATTCCTTTGTACTCTTCCTCTATTTTCAATAAACCTTTCGTTCATACCAAAGTTTCATGATATTGGAACACACAATTTCATGCTTTCTTAATTATGGGACAAATTACAACAATTGCTAGCTATTTGGAATTCTGGATCAAGACAACCCCAACGCAATTCCAACTTGACCTTATAAGTTCGTTTGGTTATTTTTTTTTAAGCTATCAATTTGGTTTTACTTCCTGAGCATATGCTTATGTTATAAAAGATGAGCTAGGACTAGGGCACACACTACATTTGACTCACCAACCCCAGTAGAGAGTGAGAGAGAGGAATACCACACAGGTTATAATTCATGAGCTGGGAAAAAAAGGTTTTATATAGCCCACACAAGTACTTACAAACAGACAGACAAATGGAGAGTGTAAGATCAGTAATAGATAAAGAAATTAAGTTGACCTGACTTGAGAATAAATTCAACCAACCCCAGTGACCGTATTTTTTTAATGGGAAACAGCTTTCATTGTAAAAGAAAAAAAATTACAAGAGTAGTGAACAACTTCTACGAAAATTATACACAAAACCTGCAACTAACAGCTCTTCCCTAAGGTAAAGCTATAAAAAAAAATACAGCGGCTGCTCTCGAATCTGATAAAATAACAGAAACAGCTCTCTAAACTCCAAAGCTAAAGAAGCCCAAAAACGAACCGCTCACTAGGAAAATTCTCAAAAATCCTCTATTTCTTTCCACCCATATAACCCAAAAACTTTCCCTCATAGCACATCTTCTCAGAACTACACTCATTTTCTTACCCGCGAAAAATTTAAACTTCTGACATAACAGTGTATTACACAACACCGGAATGACCAACATAAACCCGTTTCCCTCAGTAATCATAACCACAAAGAAAAAGCCATTGGGCATTGAAGCAACAAATCATCCATATTTTCACCATTCTTCCTGCACATAACTCACCAAGGGGGAGAAAGGAAGATAGAAGGCCTTCTTTGAACTGTCACAAGTATTAATCTTCCCATGAGCAACCAAAAGTAACACTTGTACCTTAGCACGCACTCTGTTTAAACTTCAAACTAACAAAATATGATATAAATGTATGACTCACAAGTGCTTTAACTAGACTAAAGATGGTCTACATGAGAAAAAGTTATCAAGCCTTTCCAAAAACTGAATACGAGAAGGGTATCGGATTTTAAACAATTGCAACAATAACGAAAATAAAATGATTGAAGAACAAGGAGTAGAATACCTTTACTTCCAAGTAATGGACAAAAACTATGTGCATCAAATCCCTGCACAATGACAAGCACATTAAAATTAAAAATAGAAACCTCGGGAAAGAAGTATTAGAAAACTAAAGACTTTAGAAACCAAACTTTATTCCAAAAAGGAATGCAATAACACAATATTGGACCTTTATGGAAATGCGTATGAACAGCAACTCTGGAATATGAAGGGTACTGCGCATATACATAAATAAAGTACATAACTCATACTTACTGTTCAAGCATCCAATAGCTGCGCCTTTGAAAATTTTCATTCTCTTCTCCATGAGCATAGTAGCAGTGTAGAACATCAACACTGCCAACCTAAGATAACTCGAATAATGTTAGTTCTCAGACTCCAGGTTTTTTAGTTCAACGAAGATTATTTTCATTTTTCTATTAAGAAAATATCCAAGAAATGTGTCAGTTCTTATCCACATGAGCATCCTTTAGGGGTACACTAAAATAATTGCTGACTATAACACGGCTTTTATTACAAACTCAGAGACTACAGATACGGGTAAAGATCTCTTTTTTGCAAGCTTACCTTTAGCTTCTCATGAGCCTCCTTCACAGTCTTTCCATCTTTTTTCTTCCTCCAATTATGTCCATCCTTCCTAAAGTATCTCAAAACCTTCCGATCAAAAAGAAACAGCGAACCACCTGGTATGGTGGAAGAAGTTTCATAAGTAATGTTCTGTGTGTGTAAATACTACAACTGAAACGACCAGTAATTGCATTGTATGTAAAAGTGAGCTATTGACTTTCCCTAACAAAATTAAAAGGTTCAAAAAGAAAACATCCCAAATGATATTTACAGACTTTTTGGTACACCAAAAGAGCTGATTTTTTTAAGAACCCAAAACAAATTGGCATCGGCTAATAGACTTTTGTAAAAGAGAAATAAGAATTAAGGAAGAAAAAATACTTAGTTAATCATAAAAATTAATATTTGCAATTAAGTCAATAACCATACTTGGTGGTCTGTTTGGAGGCTCTGATGAAATATGGAATTTCTGAAAATTACTAAGAATTTCACAGATTTCAGCTGGCCGCAACCACCGATGTTGGGCCTCCCCCAGCAATTGTTGGAAGTCTGCATACACGAAACCATACTATGAGAAATCTTGCCAGGAAATGACCTGATCGAGTATGAATATTTTAGTATTAAATTGAAGAAAACAATAATTAACAAGGAAAGGGATATTGAAATCTGACCTAATCGAGGGCCCTGAGAGTACGATCCGCGTTCCGCCATGGAAAGACTAGTCGAAGAAGGCAAGGAAGCTGAGCAGAAGTTGATAGAAATAGACAAGAAAGTTTTATTTAAGTCATCATTTTACGGAGTCAGAGTCAACGGGGTAAGATGGATATACGAAGGGAGACCCCTATTCAAATCAAAAATTAAATTATGTTTTCTTTTTTATTTATTTGTATCTTGTGAATACTATTATTAACAGAATGTATCTATCCCTATCTTATACTATTATTAACAGTGTATCTTGTGAATACTTTTGCGTCTTCTGAATTATTAACAGAACGTATCTATCGGTACACAAAATAATATTGTGGTGGTTCGATGGTGAGGATGTTGTGGTTGTAGTTGTGGTTGATGGGTTCGATTAGGGCTGGGTACAGTTTGGTTTGGACCGATTTTGTAACATCTCACATCAACCAACGAAGATGAAGTGATGTACCTTATATATACATGCCCGTCTCTATCTAGCATGAGGCCTTTTGAGAGCTCACTGACATCGAAATTATGAGAACTCCGAAGTTAAGCGAGTTTGGGCTAGAGCAATCCCAAGATGGGTGACTCACTGGGAATTTGCTTGTGAGTTCCCAAAAACAAAATCATGAGGGCAACAAGGACGTCGGGCCCCTAAGAGGGATGGATTGTAACATCTCACATCAACCAATGAAGAGGGAGTGATGTGCCTTATATGGGAGCTCACTGGCATCGAAGTCATGAGAACTTCAAAGTTAAACGAGTTTGGGCTAGAGCAATTCCAGGATAGGTGACCCACTAGGAAGTTACTCGTGAGTTCCCAAAAACAAAACCATGAGAGCAGAGAGGGGGGGCCCAAAATGGACAATATTGGGATGTGACAGATTTTCTCATAAAATTGGAATTTGAATCGAAAATGAAGATCTCTTTGGTCTGGTCCAATTTTAACAAAAATCCACAGGTAAGACTCAAACCTACTCGGTTCAGGTTTGGTTCCGGTTCTCACGGTTTGGGCTTGCTGTAAAGCCCATTTTAATTTTTTTGGGGTATTTAAGCTTCAAGACCATCTGGTTTTTAAAAATTTGGGCTTAAACATCACAATTGCCCCAATTCCCATATTGAAACAACCACTATTCTTTGACAAAAATAATAAAACAATCCAATATTAAATTTAAAATTACAACCCAACAACAAAATACACATAATAAAACAAATTAAATTACAATCAAATTTAAAATTATAACTCCATTATTTTGTACTTTGGTTGCTGCATCTCAAAACACCAAGTGAACCTATCAGATCCAAGTATTGCCATCAATAACCTAAATTTGTAGAAAATAAAAACAAAACTTTGGAAACCCAGAAGTGAAAATGGATCAAGAAATGCATCAGCAAAAGAAAAATATCAGAAAACTAGACCATTTTCATGATCAAAGACAGCCAAACGAGTTACCTGCTTGCCCATTTTGATAACAACATACACTACTGCTCATGTCTCTAACAGCAAGGTCCACTCCTCTTTAGATGTGAATTCTCAGAAGACCCATCCATATTCTCCATTGGATCCAGATTTATGTTTATTTTTTCTTCACAAATTAAGATGCACCAGAAATATATATATATATATATATATATATACAGAGAGCTTTCTTTGAGGGACACCCTTTGTAGGGCCCACTCCGGATTGTATTTCACTAATCCAAACCGTCTATTTTGTAGATACTCATTCAAAGATCATCTGTATAAAAAATCACTTGAATCCGATATCATTTGACCACTCAATTTGAGTTCTTGAAATTTTAGTACTTTCTTAAAGCACCGTGTTCATTGATTTTGTACTTACCTCAGAGACCACAGCTTTCATAGGAGCTACTCTTCCTTTATTGTGGCTCCGTTGTTGAGAGTTAGCACTCAAGGATTCAAATAGAGTAAAAGCCTCATCTGCTGTTTTGTTCATCAGTCCTTCTCCACTTGTTGCATCTACCATCATCCTTTCGGAATCAAGCAAACCTTCATAGAAAGATTGCATTTGCATCCAACTCTCTATGTTGTGGTGTGGGCAAGAACTTATCATCTCCTTGTACCTCTCCCAACATTCATGAAAAGCTTCTCCTTCTCTTTGTGTGAAACCAAGAATTTCCTTTCTAATTGATAAGGTCATAATTTCACACATTTGCATGCCTTCTTTGCTTAGTAATTTTGTTTAGCTTCTCTTTATTTTGAGTCTCTTACCTATGTTTGTGTGTTTTGTAGGTTAAGACAGCAAGGGGATGACATTTGATACAATTCATGCATGTTAAGGGCTGAGTGGCACAAGAGGAATATGAGCTTAAAGACAAAACCAATTTGAGCCACACTCCTTGTCAATCCAGTTTCGTAGGTCATCTTGCAAGCCTCATTTCAGCAACTTACACAGGTCGGATGAGGAGACATCCTGGATAGAAGTTGTTCCAATGGGTGTCTATTATAACATATCCAAATTTCAGCCCAATTGGATAAATCTGGAGCCCTCAGCATATCAATGACCGAACCAAGTTCACAAAAATGTCATGTTGGCTGCCATCACATTTAATGTGGCTACATCCCTAGAGCCATGTGCTACACATGGGCAGCCATACATGGGAGTCAAATCAGCTCAGGAACTCAGAAGGATGAACAAAAGTCAAGCTTTCCATAAAGAAACCATACCAAAGCATGTATTTGGCAGCTGGAGGAGTTGGCAAGTATGGGCAGTTGGAGCAGTTAGGAGCAGCTAAGAGAGATGTGCTTCACCAGCCAAAGGGGAGGACAAAATTGCACTCTATAAATAGATAGCTGCATACTCATTCAAGAGAGTCAGATACACATTTTCACTTCATCCATTACTCTCATACACACATTCAGATTCACCACAAAGAGATAAGGGAGTTTGGATCTGTCCTTGGAACTACATTGCTGCAAGCTAGTTCTTCCCTTCTCTTTATTCTATCTATGTATTTCTTATTTTATATATTCATAGTTATGTTTAACTAATCCACTTAGTTAGGGCTTAGGATGAAGCCCTAGTCATAAATATTCAATGTTATGGATGATTTTATAGTTAATTGATTTCCTTGCTTTCATTATCAAGTTTTTAATCTCCAGTTTATTATGTGCTTGATGTATGTTTTCTTAGAGTAACTAACTAGGATTTTATGCATCTAGCACAGGTCGGGAAGGGGTTTAGATTCACCAATTCTACTCTCATTTCACAAGCAACGTATGAATGGCCTAAGAATCATTCAAGGGGTTAATAATCATAGGTTGACTAGGACAGATACCATGCTCTAGGACTTGTGTGATTATCATATTCTCATGGAGCTTAATGACTCTTGTATGCTTTATTCTAAGTAGATACCATGCTTAGGTTGCATATTAGAGATCACGTGTTGTGTAGATACCATGCACAATTACATGCCCTAGGAGAATCATGCATCCTACACCTAGATACCATAGGCTTGTATGCGATAATCTATTGTTGATGAAGCTTGAATCAATTTCTATGCATTCATAACTTGGATAGGAAAACTAGTGGTGGATTCCAAGGCTCTAACACCTCTCAATTATTGTTCCACAATCTGTTAATTGCAGCCAGTGTTTACTTTCGAGCACTTTCATTTCACTTTCTTCTTTTCATTTCAACAACAACCCCCCCCTTTCGAGTGCGTGTGTGGTGCTATGATTTTGTCCTAGACCTTGAGTAATTAGCAAGAGGCATTGTTGAATTCGACCTTGCCTTTAGCTAGTTAGTCAGTTTCTTTGTTCTATGTTTTTCTAGCATTCTAAGTAATTTAACTTGGAACCAAGTTACCATTCTCCGTGGGATCGACCTTGTATTTACATAAGCTATACTATAAACGGTTCGTGCACTTGCGAGAATTAAAGTTGTTGTTTTTAATAACTCATTTTAGTTGTTAAGAATAGGCTCAACACTAATCTTATTAGTCTTTTGAGTTGGAAAGAATTTCTGTAAAAACTTATTAGAAAGCTCACCCCAAGTACGAATTGATGCATTAGGCAAAGAGTATAACTAAGACTTAGCTTTATCTTTTAAACTGAATGAGACTAGCCTCATCTTAATCTGCTCATCATCAAGGTCTTGAATTTTGATCGTAGCACATATTTCAAAGAATTGCTTAATATGCATGTAAGGATCCTCAGTGGTATTACCATAATCAGTTAGAAGAAGATGAATCATACCATTTTTAAGCTCAAACCTGTCAACTGTGAGTTGAGGATAGACGATGCACGAAGGTTGATCGGTGACTTTGGGAATGGAAAACTCACACACGGGTTTTCGAGGTTGGACAACAAGCGCACCACCTCCTTCAACATTATTGTTGTTGTTCGGAATCTCTGCCATCTTGCTTGAACCTTCAGATTCGTAGCTCTTAGATTCAATGCTTGAAGAACTATAATTCCTCCTCAAACCAGCACGTACAGCAGCGGTTCTTGGTGAAAGTGGCTCAAGTGAACTTTGCTCCTGGTCAGATTCGAACATACATACAAAGGAACTCAATTCAGTGCTTTCAACGAAGATAACAACTAAATGCAAAAACTGAATACTAAAAGAAAAACCAACGAAAAGAAACAAATGAAACAATCAAAGTAATCTAACTATAGCACCATCGTTACCGGTTCCCCGACAACGGCGCCAAAAACTTGTTGAGCCTATCCTTAACAACTAAAAGAGTTATTAAAAACAACAACTTTAATTCTCGCAAGTGCACGAACCGTTTATAGTATAGCTTATGTAAATACGAGGTCGATCCCACAAAGAATGGTAACTTGGTTCCAAGTTAAATTACTTAGAATGCTAGAAAAACATAGAACAAAGAAATTGACTAACTAGCTAAAGGCAAGTTCGAATTCAACAATGCCTCTTGCTAATTACTCAAGGTCTAGGACAGAATCATAGCACCACACACGCACTCGAAATGAGGGGGTTTTTGTTGTTGAAATGAAAAGAAGAAAGTGAAATGAAAGTGCTCGAAAGTAAACACTGGCTGCAATTAACAGATTGTGAAACAATAATTGAGAGGTGTTAGAGCCTTGGAATCCACCACTAGTTTTCCTATCCAAGTTATGAATACATAGAAATTGACTCAAGCTTCATCAACAATAGATTATCACATACAAGCCTATGGTATCTAGGTGCAGGACGCATGATTCTCCAAAGGCATGTAATCGTGCATGGTATCTACACGACACGTGATCTCTAATATGCAACCTAAGCATGGTATCTACTTAGAATAAAGCATACAAGAGTCATTAAGCTCTATGAGAATATGATAATCACACAAGTCCTAGAACATGGTATCTGTCCTAGTCAACCTATGGTTATTAACCCCTTGAATGATTCTTAGGGCCATTCATGTGTTGCTTGTGAAAAGAGAGTAGAATGATGAATCTAAACCCCTTCCCAACCTGTGCTAGATTCATAAAATCCTAGTTAGCTACTCCAAGAAAACATACATCAAGCACATAATAAACTGGAGATTAAAAACTTGATAATGAAAGTAAGGAAATCAATTAACTATAAAATCATCCATAACATTGAATATTCATGACTAGGGCTTCATCTTAAGCCCTAACTAAGTGGATTAGTTAAACATAACTATGAATACAGTAAATAAGAAATACATAGATAGGATAAAGAAAAGAGAAGAACTAGCTGGTAGCAATGTAGTTCCCAGGACAGCTCCAAGCTCTCTTCTCTCTTTGTGGTGAATCTGAATGTGTGTATGAGAGTAATGGATGAAGTGAATGTGTGTGTCTGCCTCTCCCCATTGAATGAGTGTGCAGCTCTCTATTTATAGAGTGCAATTTCGTTCTCCCCTTGGGCTGGTGAAGCACATCTCTCTTAGCTGCTCCCAACTGCTCCAGATGCCCATACTTGCCAACTACTCCAACTAACATACTTGCCAACTGCCCCAGCGGCCAAATACATGCTTTGGTATGGTTTCTTTATGGAAAGCTTGAATTTTGTTCATCCTTCTGAGTTCCTGAGCTGATTTGACTCCCATGTGTGGCTGCCCATGTGTAGCACATGGCTCTAGGGATGTAGCCACATTAAATGTGATGGCAGCCAACATGTCATTTCTGTGAATTTGGTTCAGTCATTGACGTGCTGAGGGCTCCAGATTTATCCAATTGGGCTGCAATTTTTATATGTTATAATAGACACCCATTGGAACAACTTCTATCAAGGATGTCTCCTCATCCGACCTGTGTAAGTTGCTAAAATGAGGCATGCAAGACAACCTACGAAACTAGACTGACAAGGAGTGTGGCCAAAATTGGGTTTGTCTTCAAGCTCATATTCCTCTTATCCCAATCAGCCCTTAACAAGCATGGATTGCATCAAATGTCATCCCCTTGCTGTGTTAACCTACAAAACACACAAACATAGGTAAGAGACTCAAAATAAAGAGAAGCTAAACAAAATTACTAAGCAAAGAAGGCATGCAAATGTGTGAAATTATGACCTTATCAGATTATGACAATGTTGTCAATGCTTATGAAAAGATCAATGTTAATATATTCTATACAATTTGAGAGGATCATGCATTGGTCATTTTGTCTCATTATGTCTATGACATGTCATCTGAAGAATTGATCTTGAGGCACAATGCTTACAAGTCATTACGTTCATTTGTTGAATTTGCTGCCCTAATACTTGGCCAAATAGTGAACAACCACTATGAAATGCCTGATATGCCTAACAAGATGTTGGCCTCTGATAATTGTTATTGGATAAGAGCATGCATTCAGAGAATAACAAGCAAGTTTCTTTTGAACCATATGGGTAATGCTTTGAAGAGAGGAACTTCTATTAGAAAGGTAATAAGTTTGTTCTTATCTTCCTGCAGGACTGACGGTATATCAATGGCAATTAAACACAAAGTCAAATCTGCACTATCACACAACATCCTGTAAACACATTAACAGACCTTAATAAATATTTGAGATTAAAGAGGCAAAAGAGATTATGTCTTCTAGTAAAAAGGTTGGAGAGAGAAAAAATTTCTTTTATTTATATGAGAGAGAAAATAAAATTAATGATTGTCTATTTGAAAAAATTAAAACTACTTGCCATGTAATATTTAATCTCAACTATTGGAAGTGGAGTAATCTAATGGTCTAAAAATTGTGCCAAAACTTGTGTTAAAAACATAATGCCATGGATCCGCTGAAACGACCTGACCCAATTTCTACCTTGGAATCCGGTCGAATCCTGTTTAAAACTGACACCTGGTGACTGGGTTGTAAATGACCAAAATGCCCTGAAATACAATAACATAAACCCTGAGCTCCCAACTCGTGGCTGCGCCTGATAACTGTACGCTGCCTACATACCCTTACTGAGGGATCAAGCCACACGTAGTTCTTTCCTCTGTTTCTGATCTGTAACTGAACTGTTTACTATAAACCTGGTTCTAGGGTTGGCATTCCTGGAGTATCCGGGACTCCGTTTTACGATCCGTCAAATACTATACAATCCTGGGAATGTCTAGATTAACATATCTAAAAATGGTTACGATCCAACGGTGCCAAACTATTGAACTCGGAAAGCACACAAGATGTGAGATCCATTCGGGGTTCAAACGTTAACCAAATTGAGATCTGCGAAATCCTACGCGCTCGTGACGACACAAGGATCATTCTAAAACTAAAAGTGGTCTCTACCAATCTGCCCACGCGCCACCACACGCGCCGGCAATGCGTGGGTGGCTTGATCAATTTTCGACAACCGGAAAAACTCTGAACCACCAGCCCAAACTCCTAACTTAGGTAAAACACCCCATTTGGAACAACTTTTGTTCTTGTATATACCCCAAACATTGGCCGGAAGTGGCCGAAACAGTGACCCGAAAATCTGCTGAAACCTAACTTAAACAATCGAACAATCTACGCTTGAAATCTCTGAAATCCTACCTAACCAGCAGCTAAAGCATGAAAAATAGCTAGAAATCCATACCTCACTCGTCCGAATTGGTGCCCTAAATCGTTCGAACGAAGCTAGAGAAAATCTGTCAAAAACCGGCCATTTCTATGGCAATTCCGGCAATCTCCGGTGGTCCCAGGGGCTAAGACCGATCGGGAAGGGAAGAGGAAGGGGTGGCCGTCCGTTTGGGTCCGATCTCGTGGCCCACCGTGGCCTGTGGTGGCAAATTACCATTTTGCCCCTTGAAGTATTTTGACCAAAACTTCTTCGTTATAATTCCGATTTGAGCCCAATACGTGTCTAAATACTTGTTTCGTTGCATTCTACGCAACGGTGAAAGTGGAATGGTCAAATTCTTTCTCGGTCAAAAGGTCAACCTTCCCTTGACTAAATTAGTCCAAGGGCAAAATTGTCCTTTCTTCTTAATATTTTAATAATTAAATATTAATTAAGATTTGGGTTGTCACAATCTACCCCCTTTATAAAAATTTCGTCCTCGAAATTTACATACCCATCACTCGAAAAGGTAAGGGTATTAGGCCCGCGTCTGCTACTCGGGTTCTCAAGTCTGCTCGTTTAGAATTGCACTCACCACTTGCATCTCAATAACTGTATCTATAAGGCAATCAATAAAATCTGAAAGCAACACATTTATATCTGAATACCTAAGATGGCTTATAAAACTCTGAAAAGATCTGATAACTAACTGAATTTCTGATAATTCAAAACTCTGCTGCCAGTAATCCGTTATCTAGCTAAAATCCTCTTTTTCCTATGAGTGTCCGACACTTGGCTAATGCTGGGCGCAAAAGACTAATTTGCCCTTTTTAACTGAAATGAAATGAAATTCAAGTGTGACTTCTACCGAAAATTCGGCAGAATCTCCCGTGTAAACTGAACATTTCCCAAGAACATTCTGCCTGTAAAACAAGTATATGTTTAAATATATCTTTATATCACAACTGCCAGCATGTATCGGATTATATTCAAAAAAGAATCAAGCATCATAACACTCAAGTCTCAGGTTACAACAATTCAAATAAATAAACCTGCTCATAAAATTCATCTCAACTTTCAGATCAACAATAATACTCTGGTAATCTCACTCAGCAGCATGTAACTTCAAATATTTAAAAGCATATAATAAGGTACTGAACTCATGCATTCCTGCTTATACATAACTTACTAAGCAATAATCTTGCTGAAAAACATTGAATATATAGTTCATCCTGCTCTGTAATCCTTGCTGGACTCAGGAGACATCTGGTCAACCAGATTCGCAATTATGGCTCCCACGGTCCGAATGACTGTAAGACTCGTGGGGCAAAATATGCTAGAAATACTGGAACTGTTTAATACCATATCCAATAATAAAAGATAAAGGTTAACAACTTAAATAAAATCAAATCAAATAACTTAAAGCAAAATGGATTAAAATAAAATAACATAAACAAGCTCTGAAGCAAAATGTACCAAACCCACGTAAGGTTCATAAGTAACCATATATATATTTTCCATCTATTACTTGTAAAACAACTGTGATGTTAAATAAATAATGGTAACTGTATAAAATCCTCAATTTAGTTTAAAAGCATATCAAAACTTAAATTCTCTCCACCTAGGTGTACCCCTATATCTGATCCATCAATTCCTAATAACCGTCAATTCCTGATATCCGTCAATTCCTGATAACCGTCAATTCTTGATATCCGTCAATTCCCCTGGCAAGTCTCGGTGACACAAAGTCAACCCGAGCCGCAAACTGGCAGGACTCAAGGGACCGTTGTCAGCCTAATCCGCAAACTGGCAAGTCTCGGAGACATACCTCAATCCGAGCCGCAACATGGCACTGCACGGTTCAGGCGTCCCCGAACTTGTGGGGCAAAATAACCAACTGTCTCAAGGCAACTGGGGGGTACCCTGTGGTGGGTTTGAAAATCATAATCTGCTATTTACATAAACTTTCAATAAATCAGTTTTTAACTTAACTTAAAATATATATCCACATGTATATATATATATATATATATATATATCCAAAATCTGATAAAAATCAAGAGCTATAATTTTCCTTTTCAATCACTGAAAATATATATCAAATACTCAACTAGTTTGTTCACCATATTGACCTCGGATTAGCATATCATTCCAATATTATATTTATACTCTTACAACACAATTAGCCATATAAACAAATATAGACATGTGATAATATGTTTTTCATATGAAAACCTCAACAAATTTTTCAAACATAAGAAATGTCCAACAATTCTGAAAATAAGGATGCACATGTGATGCTATGTCTACAGGAAGTTAACCTAATGCTCTGATACCAATTGAAACGACCTGACCCAATTTCTACTTTGGAATCCGGTCGAATCCTGTTTAAAATTGACACATGGTGACTGGGTTGTAAATGACCAAAATGCCCTGAAAAATAATAACATAAACCTTGAGCTCCCAACTCGTGGCTGGGCCTGATAACTGTGGGTTGCCTATGTACCCTTACTGAGGGATCAAGCCACACGTAGTTCTTTCCTCTGTTTCTGATCTATAACTGAACTGTTTACTATAAACCTGGTTCTAGGGTTGGCATTCCTGGAGTATTCGGGCCTCCGTTTTACGATCCGTAAAATACTATACAATCCTGGGAACGTCTAGATTAACATATCTGAAAATGGTTACGATCCAACGGTGCCAAACTATTGAACCCGGAAAGCACACAAGATGTGAGATCCGTTCGGGGTTCAAACGTTAACCAAATTGAGATCCGTGAAATCCTACGCGTTGTGATGACACAAGGATCAGTCTAGAACTGAAAGTGGTCTCTATCAATCTGCCCACGCGCTGCCACACGCGCCAGCAGTGCGTGGGTGGCTTGATCAATTTCTGGCGACCGGAAAAACTCTGAACCGCCTACCCAAACTCCTAACTTAGGTAAAACACCCTATTTAGAACAACTTTTGTTCTTGGACATACCCCAAAAACTGGCCGGAAGTGGCCGAAACAGTGACCCGAAAATCTACTGAAACCTAACTTAAACAATCGAACAATCTATGCTTGAAATCTCTAAAATCCTACCTAAGCAGCAGCTAGAGCATGAAAAATAGCTAGAAATTCATACCTCACTCGTCCAAATTGGTGCCCGAAATCGTTCGAACGAAGCTAGAGAAAATCTGTCAAAAACCGGCCATTTCTATGGCAATTTCGGCAATCTCCGGCGGTCCCAGGGGCTGAGACCGATCAGGAAGGGAAGAGGAAGGGGTGGCCGTCCGTTTGGGTCCGATCTCGTGGCCCACCGTGGCATGTGGTGGCAATAGTGGCTCTTGGAAGCCACAGACTGAGCTGAAGAAAAAATGGGGGGGGAGGGTTCTGTCGAACCAAAGAGAGAGAGAAGGGTTTTAAAAATCTGACTTTTCAAATTACCATTTTGCCCCTTGAAGTATTTTGACCGAAACTTCTTCGTTATAATTCCGATTCGAGCCCAATACGTGTCTAAATACTCGTTTCGTCGCATTCTACGCAACGGTGCAAGTGGAATGGTCAAATTCTTTCTCGGTCAAAAGGTCAACCTTCCCTTTACTAAATTAGTCAAAGGGCAAAATTGTCCTTTCTTCTTAATATTTTAATAATTAAATATTAATTAAGGTTTGGGTTGTCACATCTGCCCCCATATATATATATATGTGTGTGTGTGTGTGTGTGTGTGTATATATATATATATAAGAGCAAATTTTTAATTGATTTTTTGCTTTAATTCATGCGCGGAAGGTAGCGTAGAGACGTAGAGTATAAACAAGATAATGAAACTCGGGATAAGAATATAATGAAACTAAAAACGATATAAACGATAACATTAATATTTAGCAAACTTACATGAAGGCAGAAGAGTAGTAGTGCTTAACAGAAGCTTCGCATAAGCAATACTTGGAATAAAAAACACTCAGACACTCAAGCACTCAAAACACTCAAAAGTACAAAGTTTAATTTTGGAGGCGATTATTTGTTCGGTATCGTGCAACTGAGCAGAGATCCTCCTTTTAAAGCCTTGGGGCTGTTATTGTGTCAAATAAAGACAAAAAATCACAAAGCAGCCTACAGTAGAGCGGCATCTTCACTTTGAGAATCTTCGCTGAATTTTCCCGCAAACAGCCAAAAAGGAAAAAGCACACTTTTACAAAAGAGAAATCTGAGTTAAAGCAGGAGAATCTTGCTTTAACCGGATAAAGAAAAGTGAAACTACAGGAAAGCATAAAATTACAATTTTACAAGTTGTCTTCTATCAGACAGAATATTACTAAGGCCCACAATAAAGCTCTGGATGGAAATTTTCTAGCATGTCTTCATTAGCAAAGGGGTCCACCTCATCTTTAGGCTGGGTGACAGATGCTGATGCCATAGATTTGTCGTCCAAATCAAGAATCTCGAGGACTTTATTTTTCAAGTCTTCTTTAGAGGATGATGATCCTAGCTGGTCTATCAACAGTTGTAGCCTTTGGGAAACACTTAAATTAGAAGAAGTGACCAAAGGTTGAGCAGCAGTAGAATCGGGAGATGGGATAAGAGCTGGGACGATCTTGGTGGGAGCCAGGTGATCCCTAGTGAATTTATCCCACCATCTGATTAAGATACTACGGACTAGATTAGGAATATAAGTCCATTCTTCATCAACATCTTCCGAAATAACATATTCCCATTTTAATATCCATGGTAGTTCATACATTATCATGAACCACACGAATAATGTTCTTTGATAAGGATGATTTTTATTCCATTTACAAAATTTCATTTAAAGGATTCCTTAATTTCATGAGGAAGGTATTCCATAGTAGGACCCTAAATCAGAAAAAAGCTCTTGAACCAATTAGGGAGTTCTTTCAGAGCTCTAAGCTTAAACTGGATGAACCAAGTATGGGAATAACTTTGATTTTGGAAACATAACACATATTCCATTGCCTTTTTATAATCCCAAAAATTATAAGAATATGGCCTAATTTCAGGATGAATAAATCTTTTTGCCCTTTCGGGGTTAGGGCCCTATTCTTCTAAGGAAATGACATTTAAAATTTGAATTTTAGAAAATGCTATGGTGTTAGCATTTTCACCTCTATGACGATGGATAATGTTAACAGACTTAGTTTCAAGTAGAAGAGTTTCATAGAAAATTCGAGGCTTATTCAAGGGAGGAAGATTATCCCTTAAATATTTTTCAGCCAGAAAATTAGGGTGTTTATCTAAATCATTCATTTCAATTATTGCCACCGGCATATTCATGTATTCATGAAAAGGATTTTCAGCGATATGCTTCTCCTTACCCTTATTGTATGGAGAAGAAGACATCAGAGGCTTTGGATCATCTGGGGATGACTTAATAAGAGCTGAGGAGCTTTTACTTGGGGTCATCTGTCTTGAACTTCTTGTTCTCACCCTGCAAAAATTCTCAAGTTAAAAAGTCCGGGAGTGCATTAGCCTCACCTTTTATAAATTCAATATCAAAATCGAAAGCAGAAAGAATTCTTGCAAAAATTTGTTTAGATGCTAGATTTTTAACATCCTTAAACAAAATGTCTTTGGCAGCTTTGCAATCTACTCTTATCAAAAATTTCTTATTTAAAAGATCACTTTCAAATTTGGAGACAGCATGGACGATGGCTAGCATTTCTTTCTTAACAGTAGAATAGTTCTTTTGAGCTTGTTTCCAGACTCCAGAGGTGAACCTGACCAATTGTTCAGAGTTATCAACTTTCTGTTTTAAGATTCCCCCATATCCTATTTCTGAAGCATCAATTTCTACAATTTTAAAGGCTTCTGGGTTGGCTAAAGCTAAACAAGGAAGTTCTTTGACTTTAACTTTCAGTCTCCTAATAGCTTTAGTGTGTTCATCAGACCAGGGAACCGGGTTCTTTTTCAACCTTTGATATAATAATTTTGAGTCATGAGCTAAATCTTTATAAAAATCCTTTATGTAATTAAGGCTTCTTAAAAATATTTTTTAACTGTTGCTTGTCCCTAATTTCATCAGGGAACTAATAAACAAAGGATATTGCTCGATCAATAGGAACTATTAGTCCCTTATTTATATTATGCCCCAAGAAGCGAACTTTAGAAGAAAATAATTTCATTTTCTTTGCTGACACTACTAAGCCTGCATGTTTCACAACTTTCAAGAAAATATTCAGATGTTTAAAGTGTTGTTCCAAAGAATTAGAATAGACTAAAACATCATCAATATAAACAATGGTGAAAGCCGTGTAAGGATTAAATATATCATTCATAATATTTTGAAATTCAGAAGGAGCATTTTTCAATCCAAAAGGTAGAACGTTCCATTCGTAATGTCCAAAGAGGACATTAAAAGCTGTTTTATACTTGTCCTTTTCGGCGATCTGGATTTGCCAATATCCTGATTTCATGTTGAATTTTGAAAAGATGGCTGCCTTATTTAGTCTATCCAAAGATCCTTCTTATTGGGTATCGGATATCTAACCCATTTCAAGGTTTTATTTAGAGGTTTGTAATTTATCACCAATCTTGGTACTCGTCTCTCTAATTCAGCTACGTTTTCTACATAAAAAGCGGAATAGCTCCAAGGAGATGAGCTTTTCCTGATTAACTTCTTATTTAATAAATCTTTTATTTCAGATTTACAAATTTCCATTAGCCTAGCATTCATTTGAATTGGCCTAGCTTTAGTTGGGATTTTCTTCTCATCAAAATCAGACTCATAGGGCAATTCAATTATGTGCCTTTTTCTATTCCAGAAGGCATTGGATATTTCAGCACAAACTTGACTTTTGAACATCTTTTGGATTTCATTAATTTTTTTCTTTTATCTTGCTATTTTGCAGCTGCTCTTCTATTCTCTTATGCTGCATTTCTTCTTTCAAATGATATAAATAGCTTTCTTTCCTTTTTTATTTTGTCTTGAATTTCATTAATATACTTATGCTTGGGTGGTTGAGAAAACCTAAAGATTATAGGTTGACCTTCTACCTCAGTTCTAATTCCCTCTTCAGAAATAGAAAAAGGATAAAGCATATTGATGAATGGTGTTCCTAATATAAGAGATTGGTTTGAACCTTTCCCTAGAACAAAAGGAGTTTCAAAACAAATACCCTGATTGAGCACAGCAGCGTTAGACAACTTAAATTGAATTCCCATTTTTGGCTATTCACGGCTGTATGTAGAACCTGGGTAGTTTTCTTAAAATGCCCTCATTTATACAGTTAAGCTCGGCTCCTGTATCTATTAGCCCTTCAACTGCAAATGTATAGGTTCTATCAATCACAATAGTTATCATCGCATACCATTTTTGAGCTATCACTCTATCTATGCTATTAACAAATTTCATGGCATTAACCTGTTCTTCTTGTAGGGATTCTTTTCTCACATGTTCTATTTTTTTCTTGAAAATCTTCCATTAGAGTTTCAAATTCTAATTGCTTTGATTTTTCTTAGTATCTTTCTCTGAAAAAGGGCAATAAAGTTCTAGAATTCTAACCCTATTTTTAACTCTCTAAGTTCTTCTTTCACATCATGAACTTCGCACTGAAGATCATTGAGAGTAGGTTCTTTCTTGTGAATTTTATCATTCATCTTGTTTACTATAGTTTTAAAGCTGTAGTTTTCAACTGGTTGCCTTACATTAGTTACAACTGGCTGCGGGTTACTTGGTCCTGCTGTAGCTAATGAGATGTAGCTTTCTTGCACTTCTTTCTTTTTATCTGGATCCTCTATTTTGTCAATTAAGTCTATTATCAAACTTTCTTCTTTGGTTAAGACACATATTTTGAGATCGTTGACTTGACAGGCGCACTCATTTTCACTATCTGAACTAGTTTCAGTATTAGATTCAAATAATTCTTCATTTTCGAGATGAGCTAGTTCATTATCACTATCTTGCTCAGAATCAGAGGAATTAAGCATTATTTGGCAAAGTTGTTGCTTAAGTTCTTCGCTAATGCTCAAGTTATTGATTTTATCCTTCATTTTATATTCGGATTTATAGTGTCCGACTTTTCCACACTTGTAGCATGTTGGGACCACACCTTTCTTTCCTTTACTAGCCTTCTTACTAGTTTCCCCTGCAGATTTCTTCTTCTTAAAGGTCCTATACGGTTTCTTAGGCTTAGACTTAGACTCGTATTTTTCATATGTCTTAGTCCTACGCCCCCCAAATTTCTTTCCCTTTTTATGTGGTTTATGTGAATAGGATTTCACTGGTTCAAAACGAAATTGTTCACCGAAGTCTCCTAATTCTTTTCTTCCTAGGGTTTTCTGCTTATCAAGCTGTTTTCTTTAATTTCATGTTCGTGCAAAGAGCTAATCCTTATGTGCAGATCTCATAGGATAATTCCCCATAGGTACATGACCCATAAGGAATGACACCACCATTTTTATCTTTAATTCTATTCCTGACCTTTTCAGCGAATAGAATTGGTAATCCAGAAAGAAATTTCTCTTTCCAAAAATCAGCATTACAGTCTTGTCTTGTAAACACCTTAGAATAAAATACATCCATATACCATCTAAAATGGGACATGGTCAGACATTTAAGATTCATTAGGAGTTCTCTAGACCTATCATGCTGCAATTCTGTAGTTCCTACAAAATGTAGAGTGATGGTGTAAATCAGTGAATTTACCGCATCTTCCTAGTAAACGTTTTCACTCTTAATGACTCCAGTTGCTAGATCTTGTACACTCTGCTGGCCAATGGCCACTTGAGCATTTAAGATTTGAGTTCTAGCCGAATCGCTCAGGTGGAAATCCCACCATCCTTTCAACTGACCGACAAAACCTGCAATAATAGTTTCAGCCACCCTTCTATCTCCGTTTCCTTTTATCTTAAAGGTTGTAGCTTACATCATCATATGTTTCATTAGATTAATGATCTATTATTCTGTCAGACCATTAATATTCCATTCAACTATAGAGCTTCCGTCATATTGAGCGGAATTCCACATTCCGTCTTCCTCAAACTGTAAATCAACTGGTGTGGGTCTAGGGTAGTAGTTTTTAGTCTTAGCAGTTTGAGTAAACCTCTTTTCAGTCATTAACCTATTAATTTCAGGTTGTTCTTCCTTAAACATTGTTTCCAAGTTATCTATTTCCCTTTCAGTGAGAACCGACACTTGAGGACCCTTTCCTTTATCTGACAAATTTAATCCTGATAATTTTTTGGCCAAGACGTCAACAAAGTTTTCATCTTCAGATAAGGTCATTCCCATCTTAAAGTTTTTATTGTCTAAGGCAGGAGGCGGTTTAAAGAACGCTTGACTCACTTCCCTATTCCTTTTGGTTTCTGAGGGTCCTAGTTCGGATTTCTGTTCCTTTGTTGAAACAGATGTTTCAATCCTGGTAACTTGCTTTCCTAAAGATTGTAGAAACAGGTTGGTGTAGTTATTCTGTTGAATGACACCACCGACATCTTCTTTACTAGCTGTGCGAAAATTATTGGCACTATCTTCAAGGAAAGTGGTTTCTTTGTAGGGAGTTGCAATTACATCCTTTTGTTTAATCACCATTTTGGGTGGATGTATGGCTTTGACTGACTTCCCATCTTTGGAAGTATAAGTCGAGAAGGGGCTTCCTATCATTTCTATATTTTTCCTATATTCAGGGATGTCATACTTTTTAGCACACCAATCTAACCACACAAAGAAAAAATAGTTGAATTTCTTTTATGAAAGCGGTGTGGGCTTTCCAGAGATGGTCTTGCCTTTCCTTCCTAAAGGTTGTTTCAAACCAAATTCTTTTATCAACATTTTCAATATTTAGATAATCTCTTTTAATATTTTCGTGTTCTATTTCAAAAGATTTTATCATATTTATTTCAAATTCTATATTTGAAAATGTCAGTTCAGGTTGAGGAGGATTTCTTTTGAAACCTAAGTCTGGAAGGGTTTGTTCAAACCTATAGGTTGGCCTCTGTATTTGTTCTTGAGTTCTCCTACGTCCTGCTAGAACCATTCTTTCATGTTCTAGGTCATAAGCTCTATCAGAGGAGGTGCTTGATCTGTGTGGTTCTATGTTAGATCTAGAGGGCGCCAAATCAATCCTAGTTCTTCTAGCACTAGAAAATTGTATTTCTACCTCTCCATCAGTAAATTGCGCGATCCATGTAGGCTCTTGATTTTCAAGGGGCCTTTTTGGAGCTACTTCATCCAAGATCCATTTTTCTAGCAGAGTTATATCACTCCACTTTATCATTTTTGGGACTGTCACGTTTGACTTTTCAAGATTGGTTTGGAACAAGGTAGTTTCACCTTTACTGTCTAATTCTTTAGCTTTGGGACAGACAGTGTTCATAACCTTATATGAAACCCTGTAAATAATTGCTAGATTTTGGGATCTTGGGTCCATATCATAACCCTGAGTTTGAATATTCAACGTTAAAGCTTTTAAGACATTTATATCAGAAAGTGCAACAGAAAAGTTGGGAAAACAAATAAGTGGGCTCAAGAGGCTGGGCCAGTACCTGGTATCAGAGCCTAAAGTCCTTAGAAGAGTTGTTAGTTTGAAGGTTTTTTGTCAAGTTTCCTTTACTCACTAATCATCGAGTTGTCTAGCTATATATATAACGGTGTCAAAAAATCACAAAAAGAATGTAATCCTATGTGTCAAAAAAGTCAAAGAATTTGGATCTATAACAACAAATAAGTGGGCTAAATCCAACTTTCAGTTATGTTTTTGGATCTACGTCAAATTTAAGATTTTTTTTTCCCTTTGTTGTTATTATATTATTATAAAGCTTGTTTTAGTCAATCACATAACAGCTTGCATGGCCACTAGTCGATTGGTTTTTTGGGTCGCTCTCTCGCTGTGTGAGGAGAGCCGTGCGTCATATCTAGGGTTTCCTCTTGTGTTTTGCCGCTGTCGTCTCGCGCTCCATTATCGTCGCTCTCTCTCTACCTTGGTTGTCATTGTCATCGTCTTCTCTTGTCGTCCCGCTGCTAACCACAATTGATTGGTTTTGTCCACATTGCTAGCCCTTTTCTTTCCCTGTGGATTAGTCAACCAATGCCATCGTCTTGGTCAATTGGGTCTCAATTCGCGTTTGTTCTAGAGGACCAAATCGCAAAGTAAAGTAATTGCATAGAAGTCCAAAATATATAATATAATTGCATGAGGAACCCAAGAGGATTCCAAGATGGAGCCGGACATGTGAAGTGTGTGACATAAATGTGAATGTTGGTTTGTCCCATAAAAGAGTTAAGCACACCTTATCAAGTTTCAAGGAAACATTTCTAAGACCAAGAGTGTGGTCTCCCAAGCTAACAAGTTCCTAGGAAAAGAAAGAGGGGACAGAGAATATTTCTTCAACCAAGAGTGTGGTCTCCCATGCAAACAAGTTCCTAGGAAAAGAAGAGCGGACAAATGAATATTTCTTCAACCAAGGAAACAGTCCCAAAGACCAATGGCACACTAGGCATGCCTATGTCTTGATATTCTAATTTTCTAAAAACTATAGGAGCATTCTTTGACTAGGCGGACAAGGGGAAAAGGAATCTTGGATAACCAAGGTCAATGTCCCCATTTAAATCAATACCAACATAATTTCGAAAAATTTAATTAATCCCACCAAAATGGATCAAAAACTAGACCACATGCATTCATCCTATGAACTCACTAGAACATTCATATGAACTCAAGAACACACAAAACACATAAATCATATTTTCAAGTGTCAAATTTCTTAGAGATAAAAATGGCTATCAACATCGAAATTTTACAATGCTCAAGCTATGAGTTCAAAAACAAAAACTTTTCTCATGAATCTTTTAAGCCAAGTGATAGTTATACTATTTTCCTAGAATATACTTCTAAGAAGATTGGAAGGAGGAGTTACCCTTGGTGCGTGCTTTCAACCCTATGATCGAATTCCACCAAAGTTGTTGAAGCTTGAATGGCTCCTTCAAAATCTCCACCTTGAGAAGTTCTCCAAAAAGTCGCCAAAGTAGGTAACCTCTAAGTCTCTTCACAAACTAGAACTTAAAAAGAAGATGATGAGTTTAGTGAGAAGATGATTATAGTAATCCCTCACTAAGATAGTATGAAAGAGTAGAGAGAGTTTTTGGAAGACTAGAGCTTTCTTTCTCCCTCTTGTTTTTCACTTATGACCCCTTAGGCTTCAAAAAGATGATAGTCATCTTTCACTTGAGTCAACAAGTTGACTCTAGCAACCAAAAGCCCATATGAACTCCCATCCCTTGAAATTGGGTCTCTTGGGCTCAATTTAATTTAAGTTGTCATACAACCCAATCTCCATGTCCAATAGGATAAAGCTCAATGAGCCTAGAATTCAAAATTCCCATTTAAAGCCTATTCCGACATTACGTGTTGTTTAAATTAATTCCATAATTAATTTTGCCTTAACTAATTAACTAAGCTTAGTTGATCTCTTCAATTCATCATCTCCATAACAGTTTCTCAAATAACTCAAGTTTAACGATGTGCGATCCATTAGGTTCTAATTAGTAAGGTCGTGGGCAATTTAAACTCTTCGTAATTGATTTCGAATTAAAACCCATTTTTAATTCTCCCTATTAATTAGGATCATTAGTCCTTAGGGCTTCCACCATCCATGAGTGACACCTAGCAGTATGTCATGGATATCCAAGCTAAGTATAATAAGTAGAGAACCTATTCAGTTGGAATTACAATGCAATACAGTCCTTCCCTATTACAATACTCTTAATCTCATTACTAGGGCATGGTGCATGTCAAGCCCCTAATGAGATTTTCACGTCTTATATGATTTGTATTAGTAGGACTAGAACATATTTCTAGGTCATACCGAATACTCTGATAAGAGATTTGCTATCTTCCGAGAATTCTCCTTCTATTACTGAAGAATAGAGATTCCATGTTGTACACTCACATGTCTCCATTAGTCAATCGAGAACCCCAACAATGCTTGTACCATGTCTGTAATTAGGATATGTCTTTATAGCATCATCGAAGATCCACAACCTTCCTACAAGACAACCATGGTGCCTCAGGGCTAAGACTAATTTGCATTATTGCAACTTGGAGTTTCTTGTTTGACATATAAGTAAAATTTCCATTCAAGAAAACTCTCATTTGATCGCATTCAGTAAACTCAATCTCTATTGAGCATCTACATACTTGTCTTAGTGTCGCCACACGAATGACTTGAGACCAATCATCCTCCCAATCGAGAAGACATAACATGTGTTGATCTTTCTGGATTGTCAATGCCCATTTGACAATCCTATGACTAGGAACATTTAGGGTATGAGGATAATAGAGGAAAGGTCTCCTAAATCGAAATTACTCTCTCTATCTCACATCCATTGGACTTATTGTTTAAGCATGTGTAACTGTTAATGAGACATTTATTGATAAACAAAAAACTTTCCCTTTAAGAGAATTAAATTAACATACGTCTAATACATGAAATATCCTTAAAAGATTACATCATATGATTGGCTTTTAGGGCATATTTCCAACAAGAACATCGCAGTAAGGACCTCATGTACATGTTGCAGATAAGTTGTCATGTAATTGTGATTGTCTTTTTTTTTTGGATTGGCTATTTTTAGTTATCTATTTTGGAGTGTGATTGGTTATTATCAATCAAATTATTTTTACTTATTGTAATGGGAAATTGACTTTCAAACATTTTCCGAGAGGACATATTTCTCCTCGAAAATAGTCAAACAATTTAGACGAAAAGAGAAGCCTCTCGGAAATAGTCAAACAATTTCGACGGAATAAGAAGCCCCTTGGAAATAGTCAAACAGTTCCGACGGAATGAGAAACCCCTCGGAAATAATCATCCTATTTTCGTCAAACGTACTTTTGGACGTTAATAAAGTTGGTGCCAAGTCTTCCGGCCAAATAAATTACATTTCCAACGACAATAGAGACTTTTTCCGAGGGTATTTCCTTTGTCATAAATAAATTTAAGGCCCGTGACATATTTCCAACGGACAACATTTTTTTGTCGAAAAAAACACTTTTACCGAGGGAATTTCGGGGCCCTCGGAAAATGTTGGTTGGCAATAACCCTTTTTATTTTTATTTTTGTAGTGATTGTTCTTGTAACAAGGTCGCACATGATCAAATGAGCATTCATATGGAGATACAAAAGTTCCTCTTTATATGGGTTCAAAGCTAGGAACAATATTGTCTTCCCGTTAGTGGCCCATTGGCAAAAAAAAACGATTGTCCTTAAGCATTATAGCTAAGAAAACAATTCTTGTAATGACCTCTCAAAGTAACCCTGCTATTCTCTTGACTAGAAAATATAAATAATGAGTGGACCCAATTCAATATAGGTAGCCATGTATTTCCGAAGACACCCATGGAACGTTCCTAGCCATTTTAAAGATTGGGAGATGACCATCAGATTTAACGAAGTGGTACTCCTTGCATAAAAAATTACATTTTGCTACTAAACTATAACAACTTCAATTATAATTATGACACATTTGAGGGATGAGATGCTAGAACTTATAGAATGCGATGATAAATGAAATTGATAAAAACGAATATTTTTTTAGGCACAACATTTGTGTAACCTAGTAAAAACTATTCTCCATAGAGGATGATAACATCAATACATCAGTTCCTTAAAGGTTAAATAATAAAGTGTAGATAATTTTTTCATCTCATTTCCATGGAAGAAAACTTACACTTTGCTACTATAGAAAACGCTATGCACCTACATCAAAATAGGATATGACATTATTATTCTCATGAGATCCAACACCAATCAAATGAAAAAGCCCATTGAGATAAACTTCTTGTGGTTTTGTATGGTCAATGGTAGTTCAACTTTAATAATGTCTCCAACTTTGACTTCCAATGCTCAAAACCCTCGCATTATTTCTACCAATAATCACAATCGACGTTGCACATGACCAAACGAGAATTCGTATAGAGATACCAAAGCTAGCAACCGTATCATCTTTTTGGTAAATAGGCTACAAAATGACAATGACTAATTTTAAATATAATAGATTTGAGTCTTTTTTGGAATTAGTTTGGTCAAAACCTTTAAATAGAGGAATACCAAAATTTTGGAGAAGAAGATGAATAGTAACTGCAACCAAGCACGCACACCACCAATGAGTGACGGCGCGTGGCCACTATTTCGGCAAGCTCCAACGCCAAATTTTAACCCTTTTGACTTGATTTTTCGATCCGAGTCCAATGGTACGTGTTTTGACTGAACCAAGTGAAAATGAGAAAATGGAGAAGACCTTACGATTATTAAAGTTTATGAAATATAGAAGACCTTAGATATATCACAGTGAAAATGTGAAATATATTCATGTGATGGGAGAAAGGTTTGTAAGATATTGAGGTGATGAGGGAAAAGCCTCTAAAAAGTGAAAGTTGAGAAATTTATAAATAAAAAAGGGGATAAGGGACGACTGGGAGCCAATTCATATTTTAAGGTATTCGAAGCCACAATAATAAAATGCAAGTATGAGACATGCAAACTTGGTGCCCAAATGTATGAATTAGCAGATTAGAAGGGAGTGAGTTCATAGCATCATTGCATATGCATAATTTACATATCTTGTCATGTTTAATGCATGACACTTTGCTTAACTATGATAACTGACCTTGAGGGGTGTCATTGTACCCTACTGGGCAATAAAAATGCTCACACCCTAATAGATGGTGCATGTTTCAATTCAAATTATGAGTCCCACTAGATGATTAGTCAAATGTTGTTTGTTGTTGCTTGTGTGATAATAGTATGGAATAAATTGTCTGATAGTTATCCTAGTGTGTGTAACTAACCACCACCACTACCACCACCACCACCACCTGATTAGCACTATTGGGGGTGGGGGGAATCGAACCTAGACCATCTATGTAGGGTTAAATACTCTTAACCACTTGAGCTACAAGCCCGTTGCACACCATGTCCATTTTAGTCATTATCCATCACAGCTACAACAGTTTTATATTAAAATCTACAAAACGATTTGATAAACGTAAAACTGCTTTACTTTATAGCTAGAGGTGGGCACATTCCGATTTTCTCCTCGAATGGAAAGCGGAACTTACACACGATCTGGTTTGGTTCAATTTTTATAGAAAGTGTCTAAAAGAACCAAGCCAAACCGAACATATGCAATTTGGTCATTTTCTTATCCGGAGAGATTTTGGGGCAATGACTGGTATTTTTGAGTAGATCGTACCGAGTTCAGTCCATAGACACGTAGTGGACTCGAATCGGAGTTGTAACGAATAAGTTAAGAGCAAAACATCACCAGTGGCAAAACCGTAAATATTTCTAAATTGGTTTTCAAAATATCAGATTTCCTCTCTCTCTCTCTCTCTCTCCTCTCACTTGCGCAGAAATACCCCCCCCCCCCCCCCACCCCTTTGATATTTTTCATCTCCACCGAAGCAACTTCGCACTTCCACCATCGCCACCACACACCTCCAAACTGAGCGGCACTGGTCCCGTTGGAACCACCACATTTCCCTCTTTTTGTTCCAACCCACCGCCGCCTCGATCCGCCATCGTGGTTGCCGGAAACCGCCTCGAAACAGGCCAGTTTGACCATTTGTGACAAATTTTTCTCAAGCTCATTCTCTCTCTTTTCTCCACCAATTTGGACGTATAAGGTATGGTTTCTCACCTATTTTCCGAGCTCTAGCTGCTTGTTGTGTAGGATTGGAACGATTGTGGCGTTTTGGAATTCAATTTTCAACCTAGGTTTTGGCCGGATTTCAAAGTGAGATTCTAGTCAGTTGCCGTCCAAATTGGACCTCCCTGTAGTTGAATAAAATGACCCTCGCCTCGAGTAGCAACTAGGGTAGGAAGGGTGAATGGTGGTTTGGAGTGCTATAAGCAGCGTGGGGTACTTCGACCACGCTATAAGCAGCTAGGGTATTCGTATTTTGAAATAGGTACTCCGACCACGCATACGTAGTAGGCGGGACCCTCTCAGGGTCAAGCAACGTGGGACTACTTGTGAGTGGACTTTGTTTTCAAATAATAATGCCTGGTTTTATGATGAAAAAAGTATGCATGATGCATTGACAATATATTTTGGGTTTGATATATTTGAGTATTTCTATATTGGTGTGGTTATGTGCCGGGTACTTGGGTTGTTGAAATGAGGTTGTGGAAAGAATTGAGTATAGAATGTCAGTTTGGAGTGCTATAAGCACTACCCTATGTACCTCCTCGGATTTGGGACTTTGGAATTGATATGGAAGATATTGGAATGTGTTGGAACTCGGATGCCCTTGACAGGGGTTCGTGGACCCTTAACAGGGTAGTCTGCGCGCGTAGGACTGGTCACAGGTGTACGAGTTTTGAGGGTCTCGGCTGTACGTGCTGGTTGAGAGTTAGTCCCCCAGTTGGACGGCTCGTTCCCTAGCCACATGGTCTATTAAGGACTCTTTCATGTGGACTCATCTATGTGGACTAATCAAACAATCACCCGGTTGGATTGTTTCCCCGGTTGGATTGTTATATATATATCTCTCTTATATTATATATTTATACATATATATATTTATATCTATTCATTCATTCTTGTTTCTCAGTGAGGATACTTCCTCGCTTGTCGTGCCAACGGGCATGTGTTTCGAGAGTTTAGTTTTGGGACTTATAAGATAAAGTTTAAATGGTGGATTAGTAAAGTTGCCTTATGTATTTCGGACTTGGCTTTGGTATTGATTTAACTTGATACATATGTACTTGATTATGATGGTTTTGGAATACATTTGGACTTCTTGCATGGTTTTCTAAACAGTGGGGTTATATTATGTTGGTTTACACTGAACTGTATTTTTGTCCACTCACACTTTTCTATTTTGCGCCCCCTAGCTAGTAGTTGACTAAGCTCCGCAACCGAGCCCGATCTTGTGCTTCCAAATCTTGAGCCTTTGCAGGACTCTTTCATCTTTTAATTCACTTTGAACTTTGTTTTTGATGTAATCGAATTTCTTAGATATGCTCTGTTATCGCCCGTGCTAGGGTTTGATTTATGAGGCCGGATGCCTTTGTTGTAAAATGTTTATTCGTTTTAAAGCATGCTGCTGGTTGAGGTATTAATTTGTGAATTTTGAGTAAGTTGAAAACTTGGGTAATGTTGAATTTACAAGGGAGACTCTGCCAAATTTTTGGTAGAAGGTCTCAATCTTTAGTCAGTGGGCCTGGCATCGAGGTGATGTCAGTATTACGACGGGATTCGTCCCGGTTTTCGAGGAAATCTGAGGCGAGTCTTGTCAATTGAGTTGTTCAGATTAAATTAACACTTGGGTAATTAGTCCCCATGGCTGGGCCAGCCAGTAGCCCATCATGGGTCGTTCCTGCTCGAAACCTAACATGTCTGCCCGTTTAAAGTTAATTCATTAAATTATATCTGTTTTAGAGAAAAATAACAAATAATATTATTATATTTATATTTTAAATTCAAGTTTATTTATTTTCTCTAATAATATATATTAAAATTTATTTATTTATATATATAAAATAATGATTTTGTTTTTGAAGTTCAATTTTAAAACCCAAACAATAATCTAGCAATTTTCTATTTAAAATTACCTTAAATTAAGTTATTAGCCTCTTTTTTCAACAAATAATAAATCTTGTTAGTATATACAAATTGTAAAAAGATTTAAATGAAGTTGTAAAAAAAATTACAAAAATATGCAATACATAAGTCAAATTTGGAGTGGATCCATATTGGCCCGTTTAGTAGCCCAACACGAGCATAGCCCAAACTCATATAGACTAGGGCCGTGGGCTTGGACCAAGATTTATGATTTTCATAAATGAGTGGGCTCGTTTATTAAATGGAGCGTCTTTAAATGAGCTAGGCCGACCTGATCTGTTTGACACCTAACCACTAATGTATAAGTCAAGGTTCATTTCCACTCGACTAGATTATACCAAAGTGACAAAAATTATACTGATCATAAAATCCAAAAAAAAATTCACACACTCACACACACTACCTTCCCACATTTAAAACGCACACCAACCAGATTCGATGCTATACTGTGGCTCAGTCCCACTTGGCAGCTGTGAAGCACCGCGATTATCACATGGCTTTGTAATTTTATATTTCATACGATAAAAAACACAGATAGAGATTCAGTGATTCAAACTCTTAGCTGCTTGCTTCAATCTTCAACCCTCCCATGGAGTACACATTGTCTGCAGCGACGCCGACAACGGTAGCTCTCCTTGCCGTCTCCAGAACCCTCAACAGTCGCCTCTCCCAGACCTTTCTCAGTCAACGCCTCCCGAGTCGTCTGCTAACTCGCAGGCTCACTTCTTGCCTTTCCAGCAGCTACGGCTTTCAGAGGCCTAATAGTCCTTTCTCTTCGTCCTCGCTGAGGAGCCTGTACCTCGTTGATCCTGCGGGACGGTGCCGTTTAGGGTGCGTTGGGAGCTCCGCTGCGTCGTTTGCTTCCGGCGGTGGAAATGGTGGCTTTGGCGGCGAGAGTGGCGGCAGTGGCGGTGATGGCGGTTCCGGCGGCGGTGATGCGAAGTCGAAGGTGGTTGCTGCTGGGTGCGATGAGATTTCGGCGGTCTCGACTGATGTCGTTGTTCTCGATGTTGGAGTAAGCATACACTATACATTACAAATCCCTCCTCTCTCTCTTACTCAATTTGTTTGGTGTTTTCCTATAGGGAATGACATGTGGGGGATGTGCAGCCAGTGTGAAGCGGATTCTAGAAAGTCAAGTAAGTTTTTCCTTCTTCTGCCTCAAATTTTCATGTATTTTCTGTTGGAAGTGAAATTTCATGCTCTGAAAATAGGCAAAGACACAGTTTTTGCTGATAAGAAAGTTGCATTTGGTTGTGAGGAACTGAATTTTCATTTGGAATTCCAGTTGTTGGATTTGCAAACTTATGAATGTGGATATGAAGCAAATATATACAACACTACTCTAGCCTTCATTTGCCGGACCAAATCGAGAATACCTTTCTATTTTATAGTAGAGTATAAATATTGAAATATATATTAGCATTTCTTCCTTAGTGTCTCACATTCTTTTCTTGTGCTATTGAAGATAACTCAAGTGGGAAACTAGTAGGTTTAAGATACCTGTTTTCCTTCTTGGAATTTTGTATTGTTCTCATGTTTATGAGAAGGAGAAGAAAAAGAAAAGGCTAAGTAATATATGGTGTTCTCTTTCCTTATCACTTAAAGGCATTTGAGAATGTTGCGCAGGTTGATTTCGTTGATGACTTTTGTTCTATTCTGTAAACTAAACCAATCTTCTTCCTTTTATTATCTATACGGCAGCCACAGGTGTCATCTGCTAGTGTAAATCTCACAACAGAGACAGCAGTTGTGTGGCCTGTGTCTGAAGCCAAGGTTACTCCAAACTGGCAGAAGCAGTTAGGAGAGACACTTGCCAAGCATTTGACTAATTGTGGTTTCAAGTCTAACCTTCGTGGTAAGCATTTCACAAGTTCTTCGCCTTCAGTGTGTTATTGTTATTTATTGTTTGCATTTGAGTATGGATTCCATGGTTCTCATTTATTGAACAGTTGTATGCTTGGTTAATCTTTGTCATGGACTCATGGCTAATATTTTTCGAGGGCGTTGCTTTTTCTTTACAATTATTGCTGGATAAAATTTGAACCTTTAATCACTTGTTCTTTAATCTTCATGCTGATTTGGGACCAACAGTTTGTAGATTATTTCTTTTGAGTGTGTTTGCTGTGGAATGAAATTGTGTTGTGTTAGAGTTTTCTCAGTTTGCTGTGGACTTCTTGTTCGCTGCTGGATAATTTTATTTAATTTTTTTATTCTAACAAAGTATCTGTTTCTTATTATACGATTTACACACACACACATATAGAAATATCAACTTGTTTTGCTTTATTAAGAACAAGATCTAAATAGGTCTTTAATAAACATTTCAAGAACCGGTGGTGATTGAGATTGAGATTACTTTATATATTGGCAGATGTTCAGTGCTGATTGTTCTGATTTTGGCTGTCAGGATTTTATTAGCACATAGTTGCATGGGTACGAGGATATAGGCTTCATCCTTAGATTGTTGAGTTGCAAAAATAGTTGCTCAGCTGGTCTCTACTTGTTTAATGAAGGGACAGCTAGAGTTGCATATTCAGTCATAGTGCATGAGAAGCATGACATTTGCTTGAAAGTGTTTGTTTTCTACCCTTGATTTCAACCCTATAAAGCTCTCTTTTCTCAGTCCTCAAGCACTCTTCTGTTACATATCAAAATTGTGATGCTGTGGAATTTTCTATATTGTTTCGAGAATTTGAGGATTGAAGTTCTTCTCAAATTTTGGGTTGTATTGGCATGATGCTATTATAATTTGTTTTTTAAGATCGAAATCATTTCAGCTGCTAAGATGGACGGAAATTAAGTGGGGTAGACTTTGTGCTTCTTTAGAAATGACGATAGCAGTTAATTTGGTCAACCGAGTGCAAAAAGATTATTATCTATTTAGGTCCCTCCGGAGAGCTGTTTCTCTAACACTGGTTGTCAAATTAGAACCCCAAACTTTTAAAATAAGAGTAGATATGATCACGAGTTTAGGGTTTTCAAATGATTTATGTGAAGCTTGCTGGGTTTAGTGGCAGGTCAGGGAGCTATGGAAGGAGATATATCACCATAAAAGTGCAAAAGATTTTTTGTCAGGCTCAACCATAATTGTTTATGGTATGTCCTCAAATCGTTGGATTTAATTTCAGTGACATGTATATGCACAGAATGATTTACATCTCCTCTTCAGTTTATTAGATGTAACAGAAGAGGCTTGAAAGTTGTTATTGATTCACAGTTACTTGCTTCTATAGGTAGTCCCAACCAGCAGCTCATTGTGGTGGATTGGTTTGAGGAGCATTTCTGCTATGGAGGAGGATTTTTCCGTTCCCCTTCCTACTCTCTGAGCTTAGCAATTCCTTAGTTCTCATTAGGAAATTAAGGACTCATCTTTCTATAAGTTGGTTGTATACTATGCATAAGATATTTGAGAATTAGACTAATTGTTTTCTCATATGGGCTTTTTTTTTTGTTGGTATATGTTTATCCACAATTGTGGAAAGCAGTCAATATCTTCTTTTCTTTCATAGGTTTTGAATATGTGCTTTGTAGTTGAGGTGTTTCTATTTACGAGGACACAATCATATGCACTGAAATTGTTATGTGCTCTTTATATGCCTTACTGGTTGTTTAGATAGAGTTTTCAGTTTTTTAAGACACAATTCTTTCAGTTTTTTTTCCTTTTGCAAACACAATGCATCCTTCCAAACCAAGGAACAATTAACCAGGCTAATACTTACCTTAGGAGGTAATTTAGCTTTCCAAATCACCTGGGAAGGTGTGAAGAGAGAAATAGAGGTATTTTCCTGAAGGTGCTTTTAGAATGAATTGCAAGAAAACAATCCTGAAGACTCCAAACTCCAAATTCTCCTATCTGCTCCATGAGAAACCAACTTGACAGATTCTAATTCGATAATAATGCTGAAAGTTCTTCTATTTTGAAATCGTTCAAGTTCCTATGGAACCCAAAATCCCAGCTCAAAGGAAAAAAAATAAAAATAATCAACACAAACATTTGCAATAGTAACATTATGATATTGAGATACCCAATAAGGGCGAGGATAAAGAGAACAAAAAGCTGTTTCTCCCACCCAACGCTCTTCTCAAAACCTCACTCTTTCCCCATCACCCACCTTAAAACGACAACAAAAAGAGAATAAAGTGGGTAAAGAAATTATACAAATTATACAAATGGAGGTTCTTGGTTCCTATAAAAAGAAATTATGCAAATGGAACTTCTAATTGAAAATGATATTTATAATGGAAACTTAATGTCGTTCAATTGCTTTTTTTTTCTTTTGCTTTTCTTCAATGTTTGGAATATGTGAGATTGTTTTTCTTATTTGTTGTGCACAACTTAGTCTTACTATGCACCATCTATCCTTGGAAAATACATTCTGTTATGTTTTTCTTTGTGTGATGAAGACATGGTATTTTCTTTCCTTTATTTTTATTCTGATTGGAAACACTGCATAATTACCAAAGTCAAGACTCAATTTGGTTTTCCCCCTTATGAATTAATTTGATTCTTGTAGTGGTTCAACTAATTGGTTACTTTTTATGTGCAGATTCAGGAAGAGACAATTTTCTCAAAGTTTTTGAAAGGAAAATGGAAGAAAAGCGTAAACGCCTGAAAGAAAGTGGTAGACATCTTTAAGTAGTGAGCATCTCTAGTATGCTTGTTTTTTCTTAAAGGGTGTCTAAATTGTTCTGTAAACTGCTTCAGAGTTCTATGTCTTTAACCATTGATGATTTATCTGCACTACACTGTGCAGCTAATTTCTACTTTACTGTTTTTTGTTAGGCAACGAGCTTGCTTTCTCTTGGGCTCTGTGTGCTGTCTGCCTAATTGGCCATCTCTCCCATTTTGTTGGAGCTAAGGCGTCATGGATCCATGCACTTCATTCGACAGGATTCCATCTGTCCTTATGTCTATTTACATTGCTTGGTCCTGGGCGCCGACTTATCGTTGATGGTTTGAGGAGCCTTGTTAAAGGGGCTCCAAACATGAATACTTTGGTTGGTCTTGGGGCTTTATCTTCATTCACTGTCAGTTCAATAGCTGCGTTTATACCAAAGCTGGTTAGTGCTTATCTCTCTTTTTCTTTTTTGGTTCTGGATCTAGTTGGTCTACAAAGTTTTAATTTGTACGTGGGATGAACAAAGGGGTCCTCTGTTATAAGTTAGTTATTTGATACTTGATACTGTTTTATGTCAATACCAATAAATTGGATACTTGTTTAGCATTGCCTGTTATCTTCTACTGGTAACTTCATACTTACAATATAACATGCTGCATAACATGCTTGCTTGTTACTGCATATTATCAATGCTGATTGCTGATCTTTGTAAGGCATTGCCTAAAAAGGTAACTGAATGAGTAGAAGGGGCTGATATATGTTAAACTCTGTTCCACATGCATCCTTGAGGAGTAATTTTATGCTTCAAATCTTCATGCCATACAGTCCACCAGGCTCTAATTCCAACTATTTCTTTTAGAAAATAAATATCTGAAATCATGTTGGTCCAACAGGTTAAATTTTGGAGGGCCTGGCCCAAACACTTTGGTTTAAGACTATTTTGGTCCTTTTTTTGTGTATGACCTATTCTGTCGTTTAAGAAAAGCTAAAGAGTTTGCCCCTCTCTTGCCCTCCTTCCCTACCCCCCCTCTTCTTTTGAACCTCGAAATTTGATAGAATTGGTTAAATTTGATTGAAACGTATATGTGTTGTGCTTGCTAACTCTGTAGCCTTTGTTGTGGATGCAGGGCTGGAAGACTTTCTTCGAGGAACCAATTATGTTGATAGCATTTGTCTTGTTGGGGAGGAATCTTGAACAAAGAGCTAAAATCAAAGCAACCAGTGATATGACCGAACTTCTAAGTATTATACCGTCAAAAGCTCGTCTTTTGGTCAACGACGGTGCAAAAGAGTTGGAATCAATAGTTGAAGTTCCGTCTAACAGTCTCTCTGTTGGAGATCAAATTGTTGTACTACCTGGAGTAAGTATGATACAGTCCTGCTTTTTTTATTATTCAATGTTCAGTCTTTTCTGTTAGATGCCACTGCTATTTTATGGATCACGCAATTACAGTTTCCTTTTTTGCTTTGCTTTAGGAACGTGTTCCAGTAGATGGAATTGTTAAAGCTGGTAGAAGTATCATTGATGAATCAAGTTTTACAGGAGAGCCATTGCCAGTGACCAAACTACCTGGGGTATGGTTATTGTTGTTTATTGAGCATGGGCATTTTCCCCATCTCTTCTATGTTACAAATTTTAATTCACATTCTAGAAGCTATTTCTGATATGACTTTATCATAATATTGGGGAATTTTACGTTTGTGCTAGAGTCAAGTTGCTGCCGGAAGCATAAATCTCAATGGAACTCTTACAGTTGAAGTGCAGAGACCAGGTGGCGAGACTGCTATGGCAGATATTGTTCGTTTGGTAGAAGAAGCACAGAGTAGGGAAGCTCCTGTACAGCGCTTGGCCGACAAGGTGATCCATTTTTTCTTAGAGTATTTGGACATATATTATACTATAGTCGCTATTTTGCAGTAGTGATATCCAAAGTAAAGGATTTTCAACTTATAATAGTGGCTTATTACTTGTAGGCGTGCACATGGGCTGGATTAGGCCGGTTTTGGTCTCAAAGTGACCTGAACCGACATTGTGGGTTTGCAATTTTTTGAAACCAAATTGTGTTTGTTCTTTCTCTTAAATCTTGACAGAGGGTGAAGTTGCCCATGGGTGAGGGGGCTTATGTACAAATGATTGCATTCTGAGTGTTTGAAGAAACACTAAATCTTTGGCTTTTCTGGCAGCTTTTGCTGCCGTCAAAGTTTTGTTGCACATTGGGTGCAATTCTGCATCCCTTATGCTGATAACTAGCTAGAACCCGATGGATTCCACACCTGGTGAGAGTATAGAATGCTTTCTCAGGTCTTAGGATTGAATAGTACTCACCTAAAGTTTGGTAGTTTTGGTGGAAATTTTGGCAAAATCCACAAAAAAACTAATTTCCAACAATATCAGATGTTGCCAATACTTTGGAGATATGCGAGAAAATAGGCCTTTCACTATGTTTCGACTATCGAACCTTGGATATTTCTGATATCTTGGTTGAAGTGCAAAGTAGAAGGTACACAGAAGTTTCACGGTATTGTTTGAACAAGTGACCCTGTGAGACTTGGATATGGGTTAGATACTTTTATGATTTTGTATTGCCATAAATTTTATCTTGTTCTAACTTCTAATTCAATGCATCGCTTACTAGTGAGAATCTTTTATGCATTACTCTGTGTTCTTGTGTTTATTTTTATTGTATTCTTTTTCTTGTTTCTGGACCAAAACTTTTAATCAAGTATAACAAAGCAACTTACATGTATGCAGTTGCCATAACTTAATTTGTCGATCACACTTACTTGAATGGTGTTCGTCTTTTGATTGGTTTGGTTTCACCAGGTGGCTGGGCATTTTACATATGGAGTAATGACACTCTCTGCTGCCACATTTTTATTCTGGAGCTTGATTGGTGGTCATATTTTACCTGCTGCTTTTCAAGGAGGAAATTCAGTTTCATTAGCATTGCAACTCTCTTGCAGTGTTCTGGTATGACCTAGATTTTTATCACACTTATAAACTTGAAAGTAACCCTAAGAATTTTTCAATACCATCAAGGAAGCTCATATCTTATCTTCTAGTTTGCCTCTTGGAAAGTTGGAAACTGGTAATTAATCATTGATTCAATACGAGTTTTACAATAACTGTCACTTAAAAGAAGGAAAAACTTCCTAGCTGCATTGTCTGATTGACATTTTCTTTTACTTTAAAAAAAATAATTCCAGTTTTCATTAATCTGTGTTTTCTGATTGCAGGTTGTTGCTTGTCCATGTGCCCTTGGGCTTGCCACACCTACAGCTGTGCTGGTAATCTCTCTGCAAACACTACTTACTGCCATACAAGGAATATTTTGTTGTTTTACTTCATTAAAATATTTTTTTGTTTTGGTTGTGACCAACATGAAACCTACATGGTGCATATTAATCTGAAAAGTTATGAGGGTAATGGGAACATTCATAATGTATCAACCAAAATGGTGTTTTAAACAAGATATTAAATACTGGTCTCCACGAAATTATCAAAGGCTTGAATGCATGGAAGTACGGATGGAAATTTTGATCTCATAAAAAACTTGAGGGAAACGAGAAATTATGAATAAGCTTGAAAATCTTCAAATGCAAGAGAAGTATATTTAATCAATTATTTATTATTTAGATTGTTTTTTGGGGAGAAACTTAAGTCTGTAGTAGGTGCGTTTAGAGTGGATAAAATGCGTGCATACAAACACTATTGAAATATAAACCATTATACAAATCATTTGAAACAAAAACTTAAGGTTTAGTTAGTACAAGAGCATTTGTAAGTATTGGTGTTTGTATGCACGCACTTTACTACTCTTAATAAACCTACTATGTGTTAGTCTGAGTTGTATAGTTGACTAAATAGTGTCGGAAAGTTTTTAATTAGTTGTAATTTCATGTAATTGCTAGAATTATTTTCCTTTATTGTAATTTTGTATAGTTTAAAAACCATCCATAATTTACAATCCCACTTTCTATGTTACCAACTTTAATTTGTGGAAACGCTATTACTTAGAAATGGTCTTGCACTTGTTATGCCATAAATATTTCTAATATTTTTGTTAATAGAATGTATATACTTTGTTTTTTATTGCAATGCCTTCAAGGCTCAGACCCTTTGATTGGCTTAGTCTTTCGGCCTATCAAAAGCTATATATGATGTCATAAAATGATAAACAGAACGCGAAGAGGATATGCTAATTTCTGAATTCAGCTTACTTTGTATTTAAGCAATTGCATTTTAGAGAAACCACTCCCAACAACCGACCACAAGGTAAGGTTGGCACACACTCTGCAAACAAAATCATTACCTCTGTAAGTTTCATTTGTTTGATAAGTGCTAAATTTGAATTTACTTGCGTATGATATATCAAATTTATCTTCAGTATTGAGTGCTTTCTAGGTTGGGACTTCATTGGGAGCAAAAAGAGGACTGCTTTTGCGTGGTGGAAATATTTTAGAGAAGTTTTCAATGGTGAACACTATAGTGTTTGATAAAACAGGGACTCTGACAATGGGCAAACCTGTTGTGACAAAGATTTTGACTCCTGAACGTTCAAAAGTTACTGACTTACAGTTGAGTGGTGACAAATTTTCAATCTCACATGACTGTTTCATTTAAGGGAATTGAATTTGCTGGAAACTTTTCTAATTACATTAGAAAATGGTTCCTTTATTTTTCTGTGAAACAATAAGAGTTCAGCATGCTTCTATGATCTCCTCTCTTCTTCGACCCTTGCCAACAATTGCAAGGGAATTTACAACTCTTAACTTCCTAGCCCCGATCCAAACCCAAACCGAAAGAAAAATAATAGAGAAGTGTAAATATACGTGGTTCACCCCAAATTAGGCTATGTTCAATGATCTATTAAATAAATAAAGAAATTAAAAATAGGTTCTTCACCCATACTAAAGTAAGATCTCTTTACTCAATATTGTTCAGAATAGAGAACCAAAACCAAAGGTCAACAAGCAGGATACTGAAACTGTTCCTCTTGCTTAATTGAATGGCATCTTATCACATATTGCTTATGGATTGCTGTCTAGCTGCATGTGTTGATGTAATTAATGTGTTTATGTGGTTTAGTGACATGTGCATTACCAATTGTTTCCTCTAGTGCATTTGTTTGATCTGTTTTACAATCCACCTGTACTACTAGTATAAATTTTGGGTGTTGCGACAAATTTATGCAGTTTTTAGGACCCAAATGCATTTGAAGTGGATGAAATTTTTTATGACTTGATTATCAGAGGTGCAACTCGACCAAGTAACTCATCCTTTTCATGGAAACACATTGCGTTACTTTAGCTGTTTTATAATTTACACATGACTACAAAGATGAGTACACATAACCCTATAGAAGTGATCTTTTTACCTTTATCATCAACTCAGTCCGGAGTCTTTCCAATCTGTATTTTTTAGCTGTTATATTGGTTAAGTAATTTATTATCTAGAAATCAGATCAGTTAAAGAAAGATTACAATTCAGAGCTTTTATCACTAGGTTTTTACCATTAAGATGAAAAATGGAGTGATTTTTCTTTTAATCTTTTAACAGAGAAAAGTTTAACCATACTTGGTCAGAAGTTGATGTTCTGAAGTTTGCTGCTGGAGTAGAATCAAATACAGTTCATCCTGTTGGGAAAGCTATTGTGGAAGCTGCTCAGGCTGTTAATTGCCAGAATATGAAGGTTCCTTCTTCTCAAGCTTTGTAAATGTGCTTCTTATGGATCATTTCGTCCTTAACTTATTGAAATGCATCTTGTTCCATACTGTTGAGGTGGATTTTGATTAATGTGCACAATATTTTATGGAGTGCATTCCTTACGGCATTTAATATGAACCAAAGTTTCTTAATAAGTGAACATATGATTCTTTCTCCTTCATGATTGCAGATCTGGATTTGTCGTCATTGTTTCAATTTTTCATTATCCATCTATGACTCACAACAACCCAATCTTCTATTCTTCAGTTTGGCTTGGATCGGTATGCAAGTTTTGTCAGTCTACATTTATTTTAAAGCCCACGAAACTCAACTGACATGGAAAACAAACACAGTAGACTTTAATAAGTGAAAATATGATTCTTTCTCCTTCATGATTTCATATCTGGATTCTTCGTCGTTATTTCAACTTTTCATTATCCATCTATGACTCACAACAACCCAATCTTCTATTCCTCGGTTTGGCTTGGATCGGTATGCAAGTTTTGTCAGTCTACATTTATTTTAAAGCCCACTAAACTCAACTGACATGGAAAACAAACACAGTAGACTTTGATAACTCAATAAACTGAGGCCCTGTTTGGGAGTGCTTTTGTAGGATGCACTTCTACTTAGACGCTTTTTCTAGAAGTGAAAAAATGCGAGTACTGCCTGAAAAAGCACTTCGAAATGCTTCATGAAGAAGAAGCTATCAGGCCCTCCTCCAGAAATCATTTTTAAGTGTTTTAAAATTCAAAAGAAACCTTTTCTGCCGAATGCCGCCAGAAGCGCTTTTGGTTATCTGAAAGCACTGCCAAAGTCTAAATAGGATCGCAAAAGAAAAGGAGATAACTTAGATGAGACTCATCTTATTATGCATAAATAAGCTTAATCAAATTGGAAGATGACTTAAGATGAGTTTCACTGCCAATTACTGGTAGGAAGTTTTACCCTAAGTATGAAGAATGCCCGTAAGAAAGTGTTTGATGGAAAAGAAAATACTAGGTTGAACTGTAAAATGAAAGCTTACATTCCATAGCTATGTAAAATAATCTGGCATTTGTATGGGGGTGAATGCTCACTACTACTGGAGCTACTAGCCCCCACAAATATTTGCATCTTCTAAAATATGTTTAAACAATTTAATATTGATCCTTTTGAAAAATGTAATCATGTGGCATAATTTTACCCTTGGTTTTGATTGTTTCTAAATGTGAATTAAGTTTTAAGCAGCAGTTTCTTAGGCTTCTCTGGTGTTGTGGCCTGGGTAAAGAGTTGTTTGAGGTTGTCTCCTTTCGTAGGTTATATGTCCTCTAATTGATTTTATTAAGGACAGATTTAGATTTTTTGTATCTTTGTGGGCATCTTGGTCTAAGCACTTTAAGGATGTTCCCTTTAGTGTGATTTCATCTTGACTGGGCTGGAGTTCTGTTCTTTTTTATTTTTTTTATTTTTTATTTCTTTTCCCACTGTATAGTATCTCATTTCTTACAAAGAAAAACAGAAAGCATTTAGTGAACATGTCGCGTTCTAGGATAGATATATTATCAAGTGCATGTATTAACTACTCAAGGTTCAAACAAAAAATCATGGTGCTGAGATCATTTACCGTAAACCTTTATTTCAGATTGTAGATGGAACATTTTTGGAAGAACCTGGGTCTGGTGCCGTAGCAACTATTGAGAACAAAAAGGTTTCTATAGGAACTTTGGACTGGGTTCAAAGGTAATTAATTCCTCACTGGCCCTTTTGTGGTTTACAGGTTTCAATGGAATATAATAGTTTGTATTGCTTCATATTTGCATATGAATTGCTGCTTGTGAATGTGTAATGCTTATGGGCATTGGTCATGGATTATGGTTATGTAACTCAAAAGAACTTAGAATCCTACTTCTAATTGAAAGATTTAGATTGATGTAGAACAACATAAAGGAGGGTTATGCCTATGGTCATGGTGAACTGTTACGGCTACAAATAACAATCTATATGGAGAAGCGTGCTTTGACTTATAAAATAAAAAGGTCTATAAGTAGCACTATTGTAGGAAACGGGAGAATCTTCGAGAAAAAAAGAAGATATGGACCTGCTGTAATTGGAGAGGATGAAAGAGAAGGTAAATCTAAATAGGAAAAGGGTACATGCATTCAGGGCTCCAAGTCATGAACAAATGCTCATTTCTTTAACTCCAAGTTGCCTTTGACTTACAAAAGTGAGCCTTATTTATATAGGGGCTTGACATATAAAGGAATTAAAAAGAAAATCCTAGAGATTTGTTAAAGAGTTGCAGACTTTTAAAGACATATTAAAGAATAGAAGATTCTTAGACCTTAAATGACTTTAAATTGATATGACTCTTGACCTTAACTTTTAAATTGATATGACTACTTAAAATGGACTGACTGTTTTGCTTGCCATAGACATTTTATTTTTGGACCAAAAGGCTTAGTCTTTGGCTTTGGCTTTGGCTTCCATAGAGGATATGTTTTTTCTTATTGTGATTTTAACCATTTGCTCTTGGATTGTGTGTTATCTCATATGTGCAGGCACGGAGTTAATGAGAATCCATTTCTAGAAGTAGAGGCCCATAAGAGTCAGTCTGTTGTTTATGTTGGCATTGATAGTACTCTTGCTGGTCTTATTTATTTTGAGGATCAGATAAGGGAAGATGCTGGACAAGTTGTTAAATCTTTATCTAAGCAAGGGATAAATGTATACATGCTATCTGGGGACAAAAGAAATAACGCAGAGTATGTAGCATCTGTTGTTGGTATTCCGAAAGAGAAGGTAATTATTTCTTTTTTTATTATTATTATGGGAAACAAAATTTTCATTACTTAGGAAACAAGGTACAAATGGTGAACAAGGAGCACTTTTAAAACAATACTTCATGAAACCAAAAAATCAATTCTACACTAAGAGAGATGCAGCAAGACAGTAACAAGAAAAATTGCCAAAAAGACTACCATACAGATGCATTCCGATCTGATAAAATAACAGAGGACAGCTCCTTGGTCTTTAAGGTTAAACACTGGAATCTTTAAGATAAGACTCTGATTTCAATCTTTACCTGTTATAGTTACTGCTGATTCCATAACTGAGGGTGGACAAATGAAACTTATTTTGATGGGAAAACAACATATGAGAACTGAATGAATTGCAGGGATATGTAATTAGTTAGAAATGGTGACTGCATTGTAGGAAGAAACTACTTCTGAATGTGAGAAATTCAAGTTATAAGCGTTCATAAAGCTTGGCTATGGAGAATTACTTCTGCCGAGCTGTAAAGATTATTTTAACAAATAAGGAGCAGATATGGCCTCCATAAGAATTGTTGGGATGCGAAGTTAGTCTGGAGGGGTTTGAGTCCATGTCCATGACAAGATCCCAAAGATGGGAGGTTTTTTATTGTTGCTGTCAGTTTATGGTGAGAAGGGGGAGCAGGGTTAGATTTTGGGAAGATTGTTGGGTACGGGAAATACCTTTGTGCTCAAGATTTCCTCGACTTTTCAGGTGTCTAGGGGTTAAAATAATAGGGTGGCTGTTATGACAGAGGTTTGTGTAGCTTTGCTTTTGAAGACAGTTACATGAAGAAGAAACTGAGGACAGTTTTGGAGAGTACTCAGGTTTTTCAGCACATAGTCCAGATAGGAGGAAAAGGAAACTGGATTCATCAGTCTTAGGCCCATTTGATTTACCTGTGTTCCACAATCTGACTATATATATTTATAATTATCCCTATAGTAGGAATTTTTTTTCCCCAAGTAATTTAAGTACTACATCTAAAGTGTTATACAACTTTAAGCAGAACATAAAAAGCTTTTCCTCTATCGTATTCAAAGGTAAAATCTATGCTGTGGATTGCAGGTGATATCTGGTGTTAAACCGAGGGAAAAGAAGAAGTTCATAACGGAACTTCAGAAGGATCAAAACGTTGTAGCCATGGTTGGTGATGGAATTAATGATGCTGCAGCGTTAGCTTCATCACATGTTGGAATTGCCATGGGTGGTGGTGTTGGAGCGGCTAGTGAGGTATCCTCTATTGTGCTACTGGGCAACAGACTTTCACAGGTACTTCTAGAAAAATATAACTTTTGTAGTACAACATAACTATTTGCTTCCTATCATGAACCATTTTACCAGTATAATTGCATCCATCCATTTCATTTCTAAGGGTTGAAAGGATGTTGTTCCTTACCTTAGTTAAGGGTTAAGGGTTTTCGTGCTGGTGGTGGGGTGGGGTAGAGGGCTTAGTTCTTATGGAACTGCACAGTGTTGGCTGTCATTGGGGCCTTATGGATGGAGAGGAATAGACGAATTTTTTAGGACTCCAATGGGATGTGGTCGAAGACTTGTGGCATATGGTGTTTCTTTGTCATCTCTTTGGGGTTGTGTTTCCAATGTTTTCAAGGTGTCAGTTTGTCTGCCTTATTGCTAGATTGGGAGGCAGCTATTAGTAGTGTTTTCTTTTGGTTTGTTCCTGTGGCTAGTTTTGATCTGGTCTTGTTTTTTTTGGTTTGTTATATAGAAGTGGATTTTGCAACTACTGGTTGTACTGTTTAATATTTTGTTAATAAAAGTTCTCTCTTAAAAGAGAAGTAAAGAAATAGTTGATCAAAAATCGGTGAATTCCCAGTTAATTGGGGGTTAGGGTGCTAGCAGCGAAATATCTAATAATAACTTTTTTAAAGCAATTAAAGATGTAAATGTAACTCTGTCATTAAAGTGCATGTTGGTACAACCACACAACTTGCTTTCTCTTGAGCAAAATAAGGGGCCACTTACCAGCTGGCCTAGTGCCTTTTTCGTTTTGGCAAAGGGCATATGGGAATGTGCATATATATGTGATCTGACATATTCAATTAACAGTTGCGGTTTCTTACTTTTCCTTTTAAGTTATCATAATTTTATAGAAGTTTTTATGACATGCATGATATGTGTGTCTAAGTGCAAAAGGAGTGCAACACAATAAGCGTACAAGAGAGAACTCAAAGGAAATTAATAATGAACTAAAACAAGGCTAGCTTATGAAGTTCAACAACAAAATTCCTCAATGGAAACGAAGAAATCCTAGCTTTCAGAAACTCTAGGAATTTGAGGAGCCCTGAAAATCAATTACTGGAGCTGTGCATGCCTCAATCCAGTGTTAACGTATAAATTCTTAAAAGGGTTATTTATGCAAACACCTCCCTTGTTGTTTGTGAAAGCATAAATTGGCACCAGATTGTATAGTCTGCTATATCTGGAAACCAAACTATAGATAGAGGCTTACAAGCCTGTTAGGAAAATTTGCTTTCACTGTCGTCCACAACTACAAATTGAAGAATGCAGCACAAATCTTTTCACCAGCACAGCTGAAAATGATTATTTGGAAAATATGAATAATGTTGATCACTGGAGGGCTGGAGGAAGGGTTAGCATAGTCTTCTTTTCATGTAATAAGCACTGTTGTATTGTATATTTGATCTTCATAACGTCCTCCAGGTACTTGACGCTTTGGAGCTGAGCAGGCTAACCATGAAGACTGTGAAGCAAAATCTTTGGTGGGCTTTTGCATACAATATTGTAAGTCCTTTATGGAATAGGAATAGCCAGTGTTCTATTTCCTTTTTGAAATTTTCTCCAGCACTAGAAGCTGAAATAGAATGAAAGAGATCATATTCCATCTTCTGGAGTTTCGTGCCACTGGAAACACAAGAATGAAAGCCTGTAGATATCACGAGCTTATGAGAAAGTTGATTTTGAATCTTGAGCATCTACATAAAATTTTAAAAGAATGGAATGGTGGAGCGAATATTGTGATTTTTATCTGGCTTTTTTGGGCTGTCAGATTTACTAGTTTACTCAAAGTGATTCAAAGTACTTTCAGTTGCCTGAAATAAATTAGAATGTGCCGTCCTTAGCTGCTTCCAGTAGCTGACAATTTCAGTAATCGAACTGTTTTATATACCATACTTGTTGAACTCAGGCAGACTTAAGTTGAAACTGCAAGATGTGTAAACCATATCAAAGTGCAGGTTTTGTTGATTTGGTTAGTCTTGTTGGTTTCCTTTTCTTTTTGTTTTTTTGACTACCCTTCTAATAAGGTGCTTAATACAAGGACAAACCATATTGTTTCTTTTCTTGTCTTTTTCTCCCTTTTCATTTTTCTTCCCCCTTTCCGTAGGATTGTTTCAAGATACTGTATATGCTTTGCTCTCTTCTCAGAAGCAATACCTGGTCTTATGCTACTAGCTTTTTACAGGTAGGACTTCCAATTGCTGCTGGAGTGTTGCTGCCGGTAACTGGGACCATGCTGACACCGTCAATTGCTGGAGCCCTTATGGGCTTGAGTTCTGTCGGGGTTATGGCAAATTCATTGTTTCTAAGATACAAGTTTTCATCAAAACAGGGAGAAATATATAGTGGATCTGCACGCACGAAAACTAACGGGTGTTCCAATCTTCTCATGGACAAAAGTGCAGAAGAACATCCTCATTCTGATGGTAAATGGAAAGGATGATAACACCAACAAAAAGATAGGGTTCTACATGTTCTACCACTAGATGTGGAGCAGCCTGATAACATGGCAGCAGATAGGGGTCCTAACCAATTCAGTTATCCCAAGAATTCTGAAAGATTGCCAAACCATTCTGCCGTATAAGTGAATTTAGGAATCTACTGCAGAACTGGATAAATTTTTTGGAGTTGCTTACATTTGAGTTGTGATGGTATTCTTCTCGGACCATATCTTTCAATCCAGGATGAGCGGCAGTTCATTGGTGTTGCCAGTTTTACGTCAACAATATCCTTCAATTCAACAGGGTATTGCGGTCTTAAGTTGTACCGAGTGTGACTTATGGGCTGTATTCTCAGCAATATTTAAAACACATTTTTGCCAATACTTGGCCTTGCATGGCAGACATTAAAACAACAAAGTAAGTGCTAGAGGAAATTATTTGAGAGACAATCTTCCAGTATATCCACAAATGCTCATCTCTAAACTATTGACGCGAACAACTAGTAGGATGAAAGTTAAGGGTTAGTTTTCTGAAAAATCTGTCCCCTGAACTTTTTGGCTTGTCTAATTTGGTCCCAAGAAACTCTTGCAAGTGTGTTTAATCAGCTCAAACAGTGACTTCTGTTAGAAAAAGTTGAAAGATTGGGTGTGTGAGAGGTGTGACTTCTGTTTCAACCATGTCACTCTTGCAATTGGACTTCATTTGTCATCTGCAAACATAATTCCTATTTTAATTTTGTCAAATCAATTTTTGACAATTTAGTCCTGACACTACAAGGAGAATTCTCTAATAAGTATTTCATTTCAGCAAATCACGAAAAGAAATTGATAATAAATACGTTAACCTACTGTAAACCCTATTGCGAAAGTTGCCAATCCAAGCCAGCCAACCAAACTCTAAACACAAGTAGTCGGTCGCACGAAAAAGAAGTTCGGTTTCGCGTCCTTGAAAGGTTAGGTAATTTATGAACTTTTAAAGCTATGGTTTTTGTGATCCAATTGTTAGTGGGTCTGGTAATTTCTCAACTTTTATGAGTGGGATTATATGGATGTAAAATTACCGCTCTATGAATATGTGTATGTCTTGATTTTTGACATTTTCTTCCTTCGCAATTCAATCTGTGTCCTCAATTTGGTTTTAGGGTTAAAACCATGTGGTATAAGATTACTATGGGAACCGAATTAAATCAAAACCCTAGGTCAAATAATTCCTTCCATTTGGGGATTATTTGACCTAATTATTCAATCTAATTGGGAGTTACTCAATTTAATTGAGGATTCCCCAATTAAATGGAATGTTACCTAATTAGGTTAAGAATTGATTTGATTCCTACCACAATTCCCAAATATATGAGGAGTTACCTAATTAAATTAGGAATTGATTTGATACCTACCACAATTAGGGATTTGATTTACATTAATAAATCAAATTAGAGTAAATCTAATCTCTAATTAATCAAATAAATTCCAAGATGGCCACACACAAGGGTTGAGGTACGTCTGAATCTCTAATGAAACTCTGCAGAAAATTCCTCTCTCTCTCTCTCTCTCTCTCTCTCTCTCTCTCTCTCTCTTTTACATAAGGCTCCGGCCACCTGGTTTACACCATAAATATATCTCCGTACCCTAGTTAGCTAGTGTTTTTCTCACAAACTATTGAACTAATTTAGGCATTGAAGGGCTTTTGGCCAACACCCCGCAGGTGTGGCCCTCTTATTTGTTCTATTTTGCAGGGAGAAAGAGGCGATGGAGAAGGAAGAGAACTTTCCAATCGAATATTCTCGTGGGCAAAATTTGCTCACACAATTACTTCGTATGTTTAAACTTAATTTGGTTAAAGTATGGTTATAATGTCTTATCACTATTATTATTTTATGTGGACATCGAACGCCATTGTAAACAGGGAGGAAAGGAAGGAGGTATAGTAGAAAATACATGGTGTCTGCACAGTAATGACGTATAAACGTCTGCATTGGGGAAAATATGTATATGTATCTCATATCACAATGTGAAATCTCAACATGATCTATGAATCACAAAGCATCAACTGATTAAGTGGCAAACCAGCGAAATGATACAATAAGAATAAATATACTAAAGGATTAACAAATCAGACTGTGACTGTAAAGCTAGAAAAAATATAAGCTGAAAATCTCGACAGACGGATAAGCAATATTGGCCGGTGAAGAATTAACTAAGTTTTGCAAGGTTCAATAAGCCACTAACAACTCAAAATTTTCAAATGAAGCAACAGAAGCAAGAGATCATATTGGGGCTTAAATCTTAAACCTTTTTATATGGATCTTTAAACTCAAAGTATTGGTGTGCTCTCCTAGACTTAACCATTTCATAAATGAAACAAAGAGAGATGAGAGAATCATACCCTTGGAGCGAATTCTAAAGCCAAGGAGGATATAGTTCCAAATCTTGTCTCCCTTAGATGAGCTATCTCCATATTGGTGCATCAAGGGATGCAATCTCCAAGTTCACCACACCAAATGCACTGATTTGATCGGACAATAAAGCTGTTAGAAAACTTATAGAGGAGAACCTAACCATACGATGCAAGGGAAAAACTTGCACGTTCAAAACCAAGAGAGATGATCAATACTCAAGACTCCAAATAAGACTTTGCAATCCCATCTCTAACATTCTACGTTTCTCCTCATGTCATTTGTCATTCTCCTTACACTTCAAATAATGTCTTTAATGCGTAGAAAGAGTTGACTTTTATTTTCCATGTCAACCCTTATGAAGCTTGAGTTTGGTTTCAAAGCTTGGGTTTTGCCTGTTGCCATGTGGAGGATGGTTTATGGAGATGGAAGTTAATAAACAGTTTCAAAGCCAATTGGAAGCTACAGGGATGATTCCTGCATGTATTCCCTTTATTGTGTTTTTCGTTTATTAACAATTGCGGTCAATATAATGTCTTCACAGAAGGGATTTGATGACGGTGGTTGGCATGACGGTTAATGGGAGATGTTATTTTTTCTCTGGGGCTAATTTCAGTTTCCTTTTTAAGTCTATACCAGAGAGAGAGAGAGAGAGAGAGAGAGAGAGAGATTAATAGGAGAATGGTAATAAAGTGCGTAATATAATTTCAATTTCCTATCATGTCTATACAAGTTATATGAATGCCATTCCAACAATAGTCGTTTCAATGTCAAAACAATTAGATGTGGAAGGAAGGATGTGCATTATAAATCACATTCACATAACCTTGACATTGTAATTACAGTACACTTTCCAAATGCATAACCGCAAAAATTGATGCGATGCATGGAAGACAAGCCACGGAGTACAAAACTTCAGAGATGTGACATCCTCAAGGATTGGGGGACCAAAATGGCCAACAATCAAATAGGGAGGAGGGCAATGAAATTCCAGAAGCTCATGGTTTTAAATTGCAGCAACAAGTCGTGTGCCACATCAATCTTCCATAACACCAGCTGTGTTCGTGTCTCGACTCTGGTTTAAAAGTTCAGATTTGCCTTATTTCCGTAGCAAAATCGCCCTTCAAACCATATATGTCATCCCAACCTGCATTAGATGCGAATGGGGCACGCTCAAATTGGCAATCCCCCTCCTGCAATTTTTTCTCAAGAAGGCATAGAAGTAATTGATGATTAACTTCTTAATAAACCAGGAATCTTTCCGGGCCCTAATATCCCCATGACCAAGAAGATAGACAACCCCCGATTCTTTGGCCTTGCGTATAAAAGATAGTTCCCTCTCAATACTCTGCTCAGCATCATAAGCTGTCTGGTCTGCTGGAGGCCCTGACTTCACCTCCTCTGATGTGCTTGCTTCTGATATAGGCTCGCTTGACTCCTTGTACTCAGCCAGGAGAGGAACACCAAGTGAGTAGACACTTCCGTTGGGAGCTATGAGAACTCTTGAGCACGAAGTCACATCCTCAGAGTCTATATCACCATCATCCCCATCGCTCTCTAGTGACCGCTCCTGAGCTTCCCGACGAATGAATTTCTCAAGGCTCTCAATTAGTAGCTGTTCAAACGTCTGGTGACTTTCTTTACGAACATCCTTGTAGCCATACCTGTTGAAGTTATGACATCAGACAGGGAAGGCAACTAGACATAATAGGATAAAAAGGCAAACTAAGGGAAAAACACTCAGCTCTAAATTTTGCACAAGATTCAACAAAGGCAACGCTCAACTCTCCTAAATCACAGGTATTTAGCATCTTACCTGGCAATGCAACGAAATATGTGGTAGTTTTTTGGGCAGACACGCCGGAAAAGAAACCTTTCACTTTGAGGCACTACAGGAACTGGAACATACTTTATACATACAAATATGATCATCGAGTGGATTGCCGGAAGTGTGGTTAGAAAATGGCCAAAAATTGCTGGTATTCCCTTCACCAACTCATTATAAAGCAAGCCAATTCCCGGTGCTCTGATTGTCCCAAGATTGCAACCCAATTCCCGCATCAAATCCATTGACAGCTTTTGCTTGACTTCAGTTTCATACTTAAGCTTGCTTCCATAGTTCCAGATAAACATTATAAAAAACATAATTATGGCAAAGACCAAAATTATCCAACTTCCATCTCCCACACTCCACAAAACTGACGAGAAAAAGGTCAATTCCAACCCCAGGAAAATTACTATGAAACTCAGCACGATGATGATGTTTATCTGCCATATAAGAAGCATAACAATTGTTACTAAAATGGTCGTCATCATCATCACTCCTAGCTCAGCAATGCCTGTAGTAAAAGAGGGTCGTTATCAAGAAATTAAAAACCTGTATATAAATTGATTTTATGCAAAAATTAAGCTCATCCATGGGGATACTCGAAACACAATTGATGGTAACTGTTGAAATTATTCATGAGAACGCATATAAGTTATTTGGAATATCCTATGAAGTTAAGTAGGACTGACCTATAAGGTTCCAATTTAGAGAGAATAAATTTTTAAATGAGGTAACAAAACCGAAATTCACCAAATACAAAAAGGGATATTCCATGGAGTTTAGATGGTATATCCATAAAAGATGAAATATAGTATGCAATGCATCTAACAAAAAATAACAAAGGCTCCTAATTAGTACAATTGTTGTTAAACATAAAGAATTTTAAACACTAAAATATTATAACAGATGCAAATTTGCACATCTTAATGGATTATTTGATTTTATTATCCACTATAATTTTCTTTAATAACATTCTAAATTAAGGAACTTGATAAATTTTGAAACGCATGACATTTGATCTTCAGCATTAAAAATATAAATAATATAATTGAGGGACTAGAGTAAACAACAGAAGAAAAAAGGATAACTTTCTTATAAAAATAAATAAATAGCAGAGAGAGGATAGCTTTAAGACAAAATAACAGCGCGCGCACACACACAAAAGCAATAAGAAGAGGAGGCTAGAGTGTTGAAAGAAAACTAAGTTGTCTAGGCAAGTGTGTAAATATTGGTGACTACTACAAGGTGCAAAACATTTCCTCAGATCAGATACAAACCTTAACAGTCAGTTAATGGAAAACAAGTCAGTTTATAAGACATCTACAAGTAACCCAAATTTAAAACCTTAGAGTTCGTTAACAAACAAAGAACAAAGTTGAACAAGAAATGAGACTAAATACTTTGGAACATAATGAGTATTACCATATGCATTTCCAATCTCATCAATGCTTGAAATAGTGCAGACAGATACCAGGCAAACCACCAGCAAAAACCAATTCACGACAGGGATATAAATTTGCCCCATGAATTTCCGGGAGGTATGTATGATTTTAAGGCGAGGGAAACAACCAAGTGCCATCGATTGTTTTATGCATGAAAATGTGGCCGTCGTCATTGCACGACTAGCAATCAATGCAGCAATATTAGCAACGAGGAACACGGGCCAGAAAACACCACCTGCAGACAAAGAAATGGTATGATTTCTCCAGAATTAACTTCCATCTAGAACTTATGCAAATACAATGTTCCAAAATGCAAAGGGATATTAAATGAGTAAATAACATATCTAAGAATTAGTGACCAAGTGTGACTCCTGAAAAATTCGCAGAAAGTCCAAACAGATGACAAATTAAAGGGAAAAAACCATTGAAGCTTACTTGGAATAGAAGAAAAGAAAGCTTGCTCAGCTCCATCTGGGTTCTCCATAAGGTATGCAGCTTGACCCAAATAACCCAACATAAGGCATGGCAAAACAAGAAGCACAAACGTAAGCTGCAAACAAAAGGTACCCAGTAAATTAATTAGAATTGAAGTAATGCGAAGGCCAACACCATAGGCTGAGACACTTTGATGTATCATAAAAAAATGTAGAAAAATTGATCCAAAAACCACTTATTTCTACATTCTTTACCTGGACTGATCGAACAGAAAAGTAGCAAAGATCCGCAAACATTGCCTCAGAACCTGACACATACTATGCCATCAATAACAATAACATAAAAATATGTAGTTGACAAAAATGAATATAAAAGCTTAACACCTCATAAAAGACACAAATTAGAATCGCAGTTCATCATAAATCATAAAAGACACAAATTAGAATCGCATTTGCATATAAAAGCTTAACACCTCTTTTTCTTCTTTTTCTTTTTTCAAAAGGAAACACAAGAATGCAAGCTAAGGGATAGAGTTAGCAGAATTTTTTTTTCTTTCATTAAAATGGAATAAAACCATTCAGCGGACAAGTTGTCCACTGGTCTACTAGGTAGAAGACGCTAGCTAAAGCATTAAAGAAAGACTGCAAAGCATAGCTAACCAACAAAGACATATTGCAGCAGACCAACAAAAACTGGTTTACAGAAGAATTCCAATATAGCTCGAAAAGAACTACCTTTCAATTCTGAAGATACCGACACCTACCCAACTTTTTCCACCAAAAAACTTCTACCTCTCACACAATAATGCAACACACAAAGCTGGAATCGCCCTCACCCAACTCAAATGGGCCTCCCTAAACACTCTTCTCCACAAGGTTAAAGCAATAGGACAATGGAGCAACAGCTGACCTGAACTCTTCTCAACAGCACTTTTACACATCACACACCAGTGGGTAGAGAGACACCAATAAAGGCCATCTCCTCTGAACCGTATCATGAGTACTCACCCTACCATGAGCCATAATCCAGGCCAACCCCCATAACTCACGAGGTATTTTGGCCTTCCAAATTGCACTAAAGGGAGAAAGACAAGAGTTACCCATAATTTTTTTTGGCATAAGATTTAATACTCCCAAAGACTCCAACGTTCATACCCTTTCTATCTGCCCTAGATTGGACCAATAAAGCATTCTATAAGAACGCCAATAACTCTGCTACTGAAGGCACCAACACTCTAAAATCAATCTAGGTAAGGTGGCAGAATTTTCAGTTCACCATAAAACATTAATGGATTTGTTTCCTGACTGAGTCTCATTGTGAGGGAATACAGACATTAAGATAATTTGTATGTTTTATTTTGTAAGAAATGGAAATTTTTTTATTAAGGAAAATTATTTCGGGTTGAAAGTAATCCACTCATATGCTAAAATAGAACAATAAAACTCATAAAAGAAAAGGTAAAAAAAAATTAATTACACAAAACAGTAGACCAAATTTACAAGTGGAATCAAGGTTGCAAACATTTACAAAGGACAAATATAGCAACTCTCACGCATCCCCAAAGTCCAAGTTTTCCAGATTGATTACCTGTAGCGCACAGAAGACAACCCCCAAGAGAATACCAAGCCTTAGTCGAGTTCCTCTTGAAGAAGTAATAGATGTGAACAGGATTGAATGCCTTCAACACACTGCTGTCATATTTAACAAGGTTGTAAATCCCAATGCCCCCAAGGGAACAAAACCATATGAATAAGGCAGGGCCTACAGCCAGGCCAACTTTACTTGTCCCGAATTTCTGTACACTGAATAAAATTACAAGAAAGGCAACTGAAATCATCACCACTTGATCTGCACCCAAATTTAAGAAAAAAGGATAGTAAATATTAAATAGTAGGTCACATTAAAACAGCATAAGCAGCTATCATATGTACAACGATGAAATAAAAACCCAAAAGAGAGAGAGAGAGAGAGAGAGAGGGGGGGAAGGAATAGGAAACAAAGATTTTCTACCCAGTTAACCACTTCAAAAAACTGCTTTCATGAGATGAATCATGCATGATTTGGTCAAAACTTAGAACCATGTGTATATACGAGCATGACGAGCTTTGAGAAATCGATACAACACAACAAAGGAAGCCCTAAAGGCAGATATAAGAGGTAAAATGAACCAAAAATAAATAAGATATAATAAACAAAATTCTCAATTTATAACCGTCAGTAATTACTTAACCATCAGACTGGGAGCATTCAGGCATGTCCTGATGCACGTGTTAGAGAAGCCCACCAAGGCAAGACTTACCTAGAACAAATTTAAAATGGTAGTACAGACACACTATTTACACTTTTACTGCTGAGAGACACAAAATGATAGTACTTCCTTTTGCTAACCACAAGTCAAACTGCACAAAGCTACAAGTAACTGCGGTTCAATGAGGAAAAGAGAAGAGGTCATATTTATGCTTCACATCAGAGTTGCACACTAATTACACTTTTAATGCTGAGACACAAAAACAAAAGGTAGTACTTCCTTGTGCTCACCACAAATCAAGCTGCATCAAGCTAAAAGCAACTGTGGTTTGATGAGAGACTGTGTAGCCCCTCCAATAGAATCATGAATGTAAACTGGCAACTATGGTCATATATCAACCCCCCGCCCAAAAAATAGTGAAAACAAAAGCAAAGACAAATTTGTGAGACTTGCTCAACAGCGTAAACAATACCTTGCTTAATTGCATCTACTCCAATCTTTAGACCACTAACAGCTGACACTACTGCATTAAGAAGAACAAGAAAATTAAAAAGCAATCACAATGTAATACAAAACATAAAAAAATTTATGCAGACCCACTCTTTGCAATTTAGAGCAATACATCCAGAAGAACCGCTGCAGTACTTCTTCATTTCATTACATCAATGGTAGGTTGATCAGTTGCAACAACAAATAAAATAACAGATTGTGCAAATACCTGACATAGCTGGTGTAACAACCCCATCAGCTATCACCATAGCAGTACCAGCAAGCACTAATGTCAGAAGAAGCTTTTTCAGAGTCAGAGAAGCCTCAAGCCTTTCCTTGATTTTTAAAGATCTTTCGAGTTCAGGAGATGGCACCTTTAGCCTGAAGCTTGATATCCGGGCATCTGACGGAAGCTGGTTTGGAAGAAGACTGACCTTAGCATGTCGACAGATCAATGAATACAAAGCAAATGTACCACCTGGAACAGTTAAATAGCCATAAAATAGATAATACACATTCAGGCAAACGTTTTCTTTTGTACTACATACATAATAGGTAGGTTTGTATTGAGAGAGAGAGAGAGAGAGAGAGAGAGAGAGAGAGAGAGAGAGTGAGTGAGAGAGAGAGAGAAGATGACAGAAAATGAAGGCTTGATTTACAACGTCTGGCATACCTTCACCATCATCATTAGCCCAAAGAACAACCAGCACATACTTAAGCAGGGGGATCAAGATTAAGGTGTATAGAACTAGTGACATTGCTCCAATAACATCCTCATTTCCATTAATAGGTGCCTTTTTAAACATGACACTGAAGGCATACAATGGACTTGTTCCAACATCACCAAAGACAACCCCAAGGGTCTGAAAAGCAATTATTATTTTCCTTCCAAGACTGAAATCCTGCAATTAAATATACTTATTATTAGAAGAAATTCCAATCACAATATTTGTGCCCTACGCAAAGAAAGTATACATCTCGATAATTCAACAGTTTAGCTTTCAGTATCATTAACTCCTTCCCTTGAATGAAAAATAAGGTTAGCAAAAACCAAATTCTAAACATAAAAGAAAAGAAGAAAGAAAGAAAGAAAGAAAAGGAAAAAAGCAACACAGGAAAAGAAACAAAAAGGAAGATACATGTTCCAAGAAAAGAACTCTTGTATCAAGGTTCCCTCTTTCAGTACAAAATTCAAGTCCGATTTAGATGAACCATATCTATCTATGAAGTCATATTAAAGAAACAGGATACTTTAACTAGGATGAACCATAAGGCAGATGATGAAGTATTAGGAATACTAATCTATTAATCCATATTGGATAAAACTGCACACTTTCTCCAGGGGCCACAGATAAGGCAACTGGATTAACTGTTTTTGTGAAGCACAATTGAAAGTTACCATCAGTTGCCTACGTACTTGTCCAATGTGAATTTCTTTTGTTTTATCCATAGGAACATAATTTCATTAAAAAGGAATGGAACAAGTCGTCCATCTGACTAGAAGATACAAGCTAAACAAAGCAACAAAGACTGCAAAACATAGCTAAGCAACAAAGATGCATGGCAGCAGACCAACAAAAGCTAGTGTACAGAAGAATTCCCATCATAGAATATATAGTCCAAGATGAAAATTCATCATACTGGTTGGTTTATAATTACAATCTAAGTTTAAATATTACCATCTTCCAAACATGATAATGCTAAGTTGCTGAAAACCTAAAACTCCACCTCCTTCATAGATGCACAAGTTAACATATGACTTAAAACATTATAATGCTAATCCTCCCAAAATCAACTGACAGCAGCATGCCAATCCGAATGAATAATGAAGAAAGCACAATCTCTAATGCAGCCACTACCGATGGCAGCAAGGAATACCAAAAGCCACCCTACATCTCCTTCCCTAACTTTTCCTCAAATATTCGAGAATTTCTTTCAGAACAAACCAACCAAAAACCCAGGCATAACCCTGCACTTCCACCAAACTTTAGCGTTCTCCCCGGAAAGCATAATGTTATGGAAATAAAACGATATAAAAGAGGCCAGGACACCAACCACAACCCTACCTCTCCAAAGAGCTTGTCTTGCCTCTCCTAAGAGCTTGTGCCACAATCCAAGAGCTACTGGACAAAGTAGAAATACATTTTCTACATTTTCTACTCTTTTCTCACCAATAGAAAACCAATTTGGTCTCCTACGTTGGATAATACCAATAGTACTGACCCTCCCATGACCAACTACCCAGTTAATTGTACTTTACTAGGTAACTTCACCTTCCGAAACAATTGGGATTGTTTAAAAAATGCTTCCTTTTAAATTAATCTAAAATCATTACTTTGAGGAGAAGAATGGATTGAGCATAGATTGTGTTCCCATAATTGTGAACTTGTTTATCATTTTAACTTCGGTATATGTGTTATTAGCATTCTATTTTATTTCATGTGGAAGGTTCTAGCAGAAGCATCACAAATTCCAAAGTAAAGATAGTAAACAAGTCGGGAATTATGATGACGCAATATATGTTCAATCTATTGTTCTTGTCAATGTTAATGAATTCTTCCCCCACCCACCCACCTAACAACCCCTAAAAAAAAAACTTTATCTATATTACCACCGTTAGAAGATCCATTACTAATGTTTGCCTTAAAGAAGCCACTCATGCCATCCTCATAACCCCTTAGTTAAAGAAGAAGGGCAAAAAATAACCTCACAACCCCAAAATGTATATGACACAATAGGCATTTCATTTATTTATTTTATTTTCTTAGCACTAAATCCTTCCGGAAATACAGCTAGCCAAAAGGGGAAATCAATCACACAAGTAAGAGTTAAACTCCAAGCTGAAGAGTGACAAAATCTTAAAGTGGATTGGATACTCGCTTCAACATAAACATTGCTAAGACATTTCAAGCAACATTCACCAGAACTAAAATAATTTTAAAAACCCAAAAAATAAAAAAGGGCAGCTTCACAAGTACGTGGATCGGTATTGTTCCATCTAGATTCACATCAGATGTCCAAACCAAAATATAAATCAACCAAAAAGCAAAGAAAGACCGATGTATACAATAAAACACTATAGGGAAGTAAGAGAAGACAAGCATTGATTTCTAGTTCATGCAAAGCAATGCCAAAAGAGCGATGCTACTGGCACAGAAACCAAAATGCAAATCGTAAAGCTTGAAGCACCTCATATTCGTTTCGCAGAGCGCCGGGGACCTCGAGCGCTTCGACGTCAAAGGAATCGATGCGAGGCCCAGTGCGAATCAAGCGCTGCTCGGCATTGTCGTCGTCTTCATCGTCCTCCGAATCCACAACCGTCCGATGCCTCACATCGTCCTCTGCCTCCTCATAGTCGACCTCGGAGTCGTCCTCGTCCTGAAAAACCCACCGCGAATCGATGGAGTCCATGGATGCTAGTCCGCCATTGATCTCGCCCCTCTCGAGACCTTCCTCCTCAGCCATCGACGACAACTGTCAATTTTATTTTTATTTTTTTTTACCTTTCCTTTAAATTTTGGTATTAAGAATACTAGAGTGGGATTTTGGCTGGGTGGGTGTTTGGATGGGAGGAAAGTGAAGGAAAATTTTAGGGTTTGGCATAAGAAAATGGGAGAAAGAGGGAGAAAATTTTCTAGGATTTGGTAAATGGAAATGGAAATGGAAATTGTTGGAGATTTTGTTTATTTCGGGCAAAATATGGGGTTGAGCTTCAACATCTCACGCTCGCTGTGTTGCTCGCTCTAGCTCTCTCTTTTGTTGCTCTTGGATGTGTGTCCGATCCGGCCCGGTCCGGTCCGAACTGGTTACAATTTGCTCTGTGTTTCGACACGTCATTAGACTGGTCCAAAGAGAGGATCCAAAAGTAAATTTAGGTTTTAGCCACGAAAAAACTTTCACTTTTAGAAAAAGTTAAAGTTTTTTAAAAAAAGATAGAAAAATCTCTTAACTTTCAAATTATAGACATGCAAATGTAAAGGATTCCTTAGGAAATCAAAAAATAAATAAAGGCAATTTTGTCCATTTTTGCTTCTTTTACAAAATTTCTCTCTCCTTTGTGTTTTTCCAAAGTCTCCCAAAATCAAATGGTCGACTCCCAAGAGAGACCAGCTTGTGACCTCACTGCTCAATCAATTCGATCGTTTTTTCACTTTTTGTTTTTGCATTTAAATCATAGCCTCTTGGGCACATTTTATTTATTTTTTCATAGTTTTGTTTAATTTTTTATGTTTTTTTTTTTTTTTTTTTTTTTTTTTTTTTTTTTTTTTTTATAAAAAAATAATAATAGCTGTATTCCATAAAAATAGGATCCATTATTTAATTTTTTTTAATATGAAAAAGTGTGCATTTACCATATTATTCTCATTTAATTCATAATTTCAATTCTTAATGTTTGCATTAACCAATGACATTTTCTAGTATTTTGAATGTTTCACTTATCAAAATAGAATTTTCCAACAATGCAAGGAATAGTGAAAATTCCCTAGATATTTTAGCTTAGGTGACAGTTCTTTTGTAACATCGCACTGCATTCCTCGAAAAGCATCACCTTTTCATGCTCAAAAAACCGTCTCTTGTTGGTGCATATTTCCTTTAGGAATTTAGCATAGCTTGGAATTTGTTTCATTACATAAAGCAAAGGAATATTAATATGAACTTTCTTAAACAAATTAAGAATTTCATAAAATTAATTATCCTTCTTATCCTTTTTGAGACGTTGAGGGAATGAAATAGGTGGCACATAAGCTTTCACTGGCTCGGGAAAAAGCTTAGATGGAGCTATAGGTGGAGCTTTTAAAATTTTAGTGGTCTCGGAACTAGGAGCAGTTTTGGAATTCTGTGCAATTTTGGGAATTTTTGCCTCAGGTGCCGATTCCATTTCCCTCCCATTCTTGAGTGTGATTGCTTTAACTTATTCTTGATTTCTCGAATTCACCTCAGTTTGAGTAGGCAATGTACCTTTTTCTCTTGCAGTAAGAGCACTATCCAATTGGCCCATTTGAACTTCCAACTTCTAAGTAAGAGCTTGTCAATTATGCAAAGCTGTTTGGTAGCCTGCATAAAATTGTTAGTCTATTGAGCAAGCTGAGCAATTAAATCTTATTGCAGGTTTCTTCTCTATTGGTTGGGACTGGGCAGGTGGTTGCCTAGGAGAATTCTAAATATTCTGAATAGTACTCCATTGAAAATTGGGGTGTTGTCGCCACCCTGGATTATAAGTATTGGAGTATATGTTATTCATCTAATGGTTGAAAGTATTCACTTGATTGCCTTGTTCTTGCAAGTAATCGGGGAATGATCCACTTATTGGGCAATTAGCTGTAGAATGTAAATTTGCACAAATTCCACAAACTGCATTAGTAGATTGCACGTATTTAAAGAGAGCTGCTATTTCCATTCCTATCCTATTTCTTCACACACCTTATCTTTTCAACTACCATTATTCCTAAAATACCCTTTAATATATATATATATATATAAAGCAAAAGGTGGAGAATGGTGAAACATTCAAAATATCAGAAAATGCCCTTGATTAATTCAAACATTAAGAATTGAAATTATTAATTAAATGAGGATAATATGGTAAATTCACATTTTTTCATATTAAAAAAAATTAAAATTAAAAACAAAATCATATAATAGATCCTACTTTTATGAAACATAACTACTCATATTATATTTTCTTCATTCTAAAAATAAAAAAATAAAAAATAAATAAAACCAATTGACACATGCATGAGCATATGCCAAGGGGCTAGTTATTAATTATAAAAAGAATATCATAAGTCTACCAACAACAACCTTTCTTTTCTTGGTTGGATTTTTTTTTTATTTGTCTTGCCCATACTTCTATTTTGACTATTGTCTTCAATACAAAGTATGCCATGAGTGATTGATGATGTGCCAGCTCTGGCTTCTATCACTCTCTTACTAGAATTATTTACACTCAAGACAATTTCCAAAAGGAGTTAATGCTCTCAGGGGTCGTTTGCCATGGTAAACTGTTATGAATTGTACTAAATTCTGGGTTTGTCTCAGATTAGCTTGGATTGGCCTAAGCTGGATTAAGTACTGACCTACGTTTGATGCTGGGTCGAACTAAGAAGATGGATTGTAAAAATAGTGAAGACGTATGTTTGGTGCTGTGTCGGACTAAAAATTAATTCTTATAATATTTAAATTTAATTGGGGTTTTTGACATAAAATATAAATATGTTGACGCAAAAAAATGGCTCGGCACTTTCCCGCTCAACTTAGTGATGGTTGGGCCTTCGGTATGCTTGGGGCCTCGGTAGAGCACGTGATTTGCAAGATAACAAACGCTTGGTAAGACCTAGAGCACCGGTGCGATACCAGCCGAAGGCTCTCCGATGCTTAAGTAAGTACGGATTTAGTAAGCTTAAACTGATAGATCAATAGGCGGTATGCCGTAAGTTCTGATTACCTCCATTTTGGGGAATTGTACTCCTTTTATAAGCCTTGGGAGGTGTGCTTGTTGTGTAGATTTTCGATGTGGGACTGTAGACATCGATTGTGGGCCTGCTACGTGTCCTGGAGAAGAAGGTTGCCCTAATCGAGGAATCGGTAGACTGGGTGCCGAACGCCACCATGGTTGGGCACAATCCTTGTCCATGTGTCTAGCCCTCATTGGTTGTTCATTTTGGGTATAAACAGGAGTCCCCCAAGTTCTCTTTCGAGAGTTCTCGGAAGGGAACTTGATATTCTCTTCGGCAAGCGAGATCCCATCCGACCGTTTGGTAATTCAGCTGATGGAGGGGCTCAATCTTGGCCCTTCCGTGCGTTCCCATTTAGAAATTGATGTCGGGAAAGTCAAAAGGTCGCTTCAAGCGAGGAGTGATGGGACTGAAGGGCGCTTCGTCTTCCGTGCCCCACGTGTTGTCATGTCATCCACGAAATGAACGACACGTGGCGCGTGTACTTATTAGGCGCGACGCATTAATGCGCCGTTTGGTTTTTCGCGGCGTACCGTTGCGAACCCTCGCCCTATAAATAGGGGTCACTCAGGAAGGGAAAGTCACTTTGCATTTGTGAGAGAAGCGAGAGCTTTGTTGAGGCGATTTTCGACGAGAGCTAACGGTAATCAAGGCGATATTCGACGAGAGCTAACGGCAATCAAGGCGATTTCTGGCGTTGCAAACGGCAAGCAGTTCGCTGACCTTCCTTCGCAACTTGAGTTAAGGTACCGTTCGATACTCTCATTAAACTCTCTCATTTAATATTGTTGTTTGTTGCACGTCCTTTCTTGGCATGAACTAGTCTGACCATAGGGTTCCGTTCGGTAGTCTAGTCGCCATAGGTAGTGAGGTAGGAATCGGTAGGCTAGTCTTCTGCATGGCCCTTAGTTTCCTTTTATGTGTTTTGTAAATGTCCGATAGCGAGTCACTATTTGAGAGTGAGCCCAATGCGTTCGATGGGGAGTCATCGGATGGTCTTTTTGATTCAGATAATGAGGCTGTAGGCCCCGATGCCGAGGACGGAGAAGATACCGATGTTGAGATACTCGGTGAAGGCCCAAGCTCTGTTCCTATACACGGCATCGGGAAGGGGCTGATGACTAAACAACCAGTGCCGTTGGCCGTGGTCTACGGTGACGGTCGTCACGTCGGCATAGCCTAGCACGGTGAGTCCAGCGCTGGTCACTAATCAGAAACCTCCACGTCTGGCCGTGGAGAAACAACTACCGACACACCTTCCCTAACAACCTTAGGGTGCTGATAGGAGTACCGAAAGAGCACCTGTTCGGTGTAGATTACCTAGAGCCCAACAAGATTACCGAACGGGAGATTTTCAAGTACCGCGCTGAGTACTGCATCCCGAATTCGGTGAAGATAAGAATCCTGGGTCCTACCGAGTCCCTCAGCAAACCGAATGATGGTGAAGTCGTCTTCTTTACCGACGTGCTTCTCCAAGGAGTTTGGTTGCCGCTGCAACCGGTGGTGCAGAGAATATTGGCGCAGATCGGCTATGCGCCGGGTCAATACAACCCTAACTTCTGGGTGGCACTGATGGGAGTGGTCGCCGCGTTCGGCATTGCCAAGGAAGGAGAACCTTCCTATGAACAGTTCACTTACCTCTACAGCGTTACTAAGTCTAAGAGTGCCGACCATGGTGGCTGGGTTTAGGCTAACAACTTGAAGGCTTCCGAACGCGGCCATTTTGTCAGTTTTGTGCCGACCTCCCAGAAGTCATGGAGGAATCAGCAGGTGCTCCTTTCTAGCGACTGGGAGTCACGGTCGGGATGGCCTGTCCGCTTCCACATCCCCACCATCTTCCAAATAACCGGTAGGTCGACGTGCCGTTCGTTAGGTCGATTGTCATGTCTTTCTTGTCAGATCTCAAACGTTTAGTTTCTCGTGCAGGCAAACTGAAGTAGCCGAGCCCTACGTAGTCTGAGATTCGGCAGATAGACAGGGTGAGGTTGAAGGTCCCTGTCGTTGAGAGGGTGTACCCCCCTGTTTCTCTTCACTACGAATTTGGTCAAAGCCAGACTTGCCAATCCTGCCGAGAGTAAGTGGACATCATCGTTGCGTCCATATTTATATTTTACCAATGCCTTACCGATCTCCCTGTTGTGTAGTGACGGAAGAGAGGAAAGCCACCGAAGCCAAGAGGATGAACGAGTCCTCCAAGAGGCGCTTCATGATGGGCCTTCAAGGGAAAAAGGCGAACCGGCAGGCGAGGGCGGAGCCGGTACCGTCGACAGGGGTTGATCCGGAAGATTAAACCCTTGCCGATCGTCTCCGACAGCTCAACGCCGGGTCGGCGCCCAGTAGTGCCGCCGAGGCCAACTCGGCGCCGAGGAGAGCGCCAACTTCCAAGGCTTCTGCCTCTAAGGCCGTCGGGAAAAGGCTGTTTACAGTGAACCTCGAGGCAGAGCCAATGCCAAAGCGCGGTCGACAGGTGGAAATGCAGAGGGTTGTCCTGGCTGCCGAGGACGATGATAATCTTGCTGCTCCGGTAACCCTCGCATGCCCATCGAAGACAGTCCAATTTGCAAACCATATGATCCTTGGTTCCCAAATGGAGTTGTCAGAGAGAGACGAGTTGCCGAAGAAACTTCTCCGGGAAGAGGCCGGTCGTGCCTTCCGTCTCCAAGCCTCAGTAAGTCTTCTTTACTCTTGTACTAGTTTCCGTTAGCTTTCCTACTTGATCCTGACATGTTGCTTTGACTTTTAGGCGTCCATGGATATGTGGCTGTGTATGCGGCGTGCTATCAATGCTGCCAAGCGGGCCAAGAAGGTCTACGAGGATGGTCGTGCGAAGGTCGCCGAAGCTGGCAAAGCACTCCAGGAACACGCTAATCTACTTAAAGACAAGTAGGCTGCCGAACGGCAAGTCCAAGCTTTGAAGGCTAAGTTGGCAGAGATGGGGGTGGCCCTGGAGGTTGCAGTAACGACGGCGAGGGATGCCTAGGCCGCAAAGGATGCGATGCATGTGGCTCTAGAGCAGTCAGAGCGAGCCAAAGCGGCGGAGATCGATGTTGCCATCCAGGAGGTGATCAGAAGCTACCATTTGTCAACCGAGTTCTCCATCCTGCTGGACAAGGAGGTGGGTCGGAGATGACGGATCTGCTTTACCGTTTCAAGCGGTACAATCGTGGACGAAAGCTGAACCTTAACTTCATCGCTGATCCTCCTCCCCTACCGGAAGGCCTCACCGAGGAGATGATAGAAGACTACGAGGGGGAGGACGCCCTATAAGTGGTCCTTGCCGTCGAGGGCTCTGCTACTGTCGAAGAAGCTACTGTCGATGCCTCTGCCAAAGCTTAAGTAGTATTTTTTATAATAAAAAAAAATGTATTTTTGTATCTGCCATAAGGCAGCTCTTCTGAACTCGTTGATGCCGAGGGCATATTTTTACTTCGAGATTTAATATTAACTTATTCAACTATTTGTCAAAGTGGCTTTACTATCGAGTAGTTGTTAGTTTCGTAATCGTCTTCACAGAAGGTTAACTGTCGAAGGCTGGTAAAAGCAGGATGCTAAATAAAAGAATAACTGTCGAAGGCTAGTAATCGAGCGAACCTTTAATCAGTAACGAACTGAGAAACTAGTCATTTATTTGCCGAGGGCTAAATAATAGTTTAACTGCCGAAGGCTAGTAAGAGATTAACTCCCAAGTGAACCTTCAATCGGTAAGACACTTAGGACTTAACCATTTAATTGCCGAGGGCTGAATAAAATGTTAACTGCCGAAGGCTTAGTAGGACACTACCTCCAAAGTGAACTTTTAGTCGGTAAGAGAGTCGATCTAAGCATTCTAACTGCCGAGGGCTAATCATGCGTATGGGCGTAGGCTATTACCCATTTCACAATTTTCAAGTGTAGATAGTATCGGTAGGACCAAAACTCAAGCCTATTTATTGCCGAAGGCTATTAAAAGTTTATAAAGCGTAGGATGCTGCATGATCGATGGTCTCTACCATATCTTTTTAATAAACGAAAAATAAATAAACACACCGAAGGTTGTGAATATATTTAAGCTTGATGCTTTTTCATTAAATCTTGCCGAAGGCCAAGATACATTCGGAGTTTGTTTTACAATTACAACCTGCCATAGGCTAGGGGACTACTTGAAATAATACTTCAGATGTTCGACGTTCCAAGGTGACCGAGAGTCTTGCTATTGGAGTCTCTAAGTCGATAGGTTCCCGATCGGAGGATGCTGATGACCTCGTAAGGCCCTTCTTAGGAAGGTCCGAGGGTTCCTTCCGTGGGGTTCTTGGTTGCCAGAGAAACTTTTCGCATAACCTAGTCCCCGATTTGAAAAGAGCGGGAACTGACTCTTGAGTCGTAGTACCGAGATACGCGCTGTTTGTATGCCTCATTTCGAAGGTTGGCTTATGTTCGGCGTTCTTCGATCAGGTCGAGGCTCAATGTGAGGGCTTCCTCATTAGCCTTTGGAGCAAAGGTTTCCATTCGGTAAGAGGGCTCGCTAATTTCTACGGGGACTACTGCTTCCGATCCGAAAGCGAGAGAAAAAGGTGTTTCCCCGATAGCCGTTCGATATGATGTCCGAACGGCCCATAATGCTTCTGGAAGCTTCTCCGGCCAAGCTCCTTTGGCTTTGTCAAGTTGTCGTTTCAGTAGCTTCTTGATGATTTTGTTTATTGCTTTGACTTGACCGTTCGACTGTGGGTGAGCTGGGGAGGCGAAGAATAGATTGATCTTTAGGCGAGTGCAGAACTGTCTGAAGACTTCCGAATCAAACTGCCTGCCATTATCGGTGACGATCGCATAGGGGATACCGAATCGGCAACAAATGTGAGTCCAGATGAAGTCTTCCATCCTGGCTGCCGTTATAGTTGCTAGAGCTTCGGCCTCTACCCACTTGGTAAATTAATCCACGGCAACCATAGCATACTTGACCTGGCTTTTGCCCTACGGCATCAGACCTATCTAGGCCAGTCCCCATTGGGCAAAAGACCATGGGCTTACAATCGGCATCAAGGGTTCGGCAGGGATATGAGGCACGTTACCGAACCGTTGGCATTTGTCGCACTTCTTCACTAGTGCATTCGCATCTTGGTGCATGATTGGCCAGTAATACCCTTGCCGAAAAGCCTTGTGTGGTAGCGATCGGGACTCCGAGTGGTCACCACATACGCCACTATGGATCTCCTGAAGGACGTAGTCCCCTTGTTTTGTGGTGAGGCATTTCAGATACGGCGTGGTATGGCCTCGCTTGTACAGGACATCGTTGATGACTGTATATCTTGCCGATTGGTACCATAGCTTTTGGGCATGAGATTTGTCTTGGGGCAGGGTACCGTTCGTTAAGTATGCGTAGATTGGGGATGTCCAAGTGTTCTCGTACCGTACGGTGCATACTTCAGAGGTTATCGTGCTTGGTTGGGCTAGGATTTCCACCGGCACCCTTCTACCGACTTTGTCGTTTATTGCCGAAGTTAGCCGTGAGAGTGCATCTACGTGGTTGTTCTCGGACCTGGGGACCTGCCGAATCTCGTAGGCCTGGAATTTTTTAAGGAATTGGTGTGTTGCCGAAAGGTAGGCAGACATGGAAGCGTCCTTCACTGTGAAGTCTACCGTTATTTGATTCACTATGAGTTGGGAGTCACTGTGAATGCTGACCTGTTGTGCACTCATGCTTTTAGCTAGCCAAAGGCCGGCCAAAAGGGCTTCATACTCTGCCTCGTTGTTGAAGGTTTTGAAGTTGAATCGGAGGGCGTATTCGACCTTGGCTCCGTCTGGAGTAGTCAACACCAGACCAGCTCCACAACCTTGTTGATTTGCCGAGCCATCGACATGCATAACCCATACAGGGACGGAAGGATCGAGGCGTTCAACATCAACATCTGAACTGGCTGGTTCCGATGGTACCGAAGGTGTAAGCTCGGAAATGAAATCAGCAACAGCATGACCCTTCTCTGCAGGCCTTGGCTTGAACTGTATGTCAAATTCTCCGAGCTCAATCGCCCATTTGATCAATCAGCCGGATGTTTCTGGCTTTTGCAGCACCTGCCGAAGAGGTTGATTGGTTAAAACCGTGATTTCATGCGCTTGGAAGTACGGGCGGAGTCGTCGAGCTGAGATTACGAGAGCCAAGGCAAGCTGCTCCAAGGGGGGATACCGAAGCTCTGCGCTTTGGAGTGTTTTGTTGATGTAGAAAGTCAGAAGTTCTACCTTCTCCGGCTTGCGTATCAGCACTGAGCTGACGGCAGTGCTGGATACCGAAAGGTAAAGAAATAGAATTTCCCCGGGAAGTGGCTTCGACAACAGTGGTGCTCTGCTTATGTAGTTCTTTAGGTCTTGAAATGCCTTATCGCATTTGGCAGTCCATGTGATATGTGGTTTGCCCCCTTTCAAGGCCCTAAAGAACGGTATGCATTTATCGGTGGCTTTGGAGATGAAGCGTGTTAAGGCAGCGATGCGTCCGGTAAGGCTCTGGATGTCCTTCTGCATCATCGGCCTCTCCATGTCGATTATGGCCTCGATTTTTTCGGGATTCACCTCGATACCTCTCTAGCTGATCATGAACCAGAGGAACTTTCATGAAGATACACCGAAGGCGCATTTCGTCTGATTAAGTCTCATTCGGTAGTCCTTTAGTATACCGAACATGAGAGTCAGATTGTGGAGGTGCTCCTCTGTCGTCCGGCTTTTTACCAACATATCGTCGACATATACTTCCATGATGCTGCCAATATGTTTGGCAAAGATTCGGTTGACGAGCCTTTGATATGTTGCCCCGGCGTTCTTCAGGCCGAACGACATGACATTATAGCAGTACAACCCTCTGTCTGTAATTAATGTCGTATGCTCGCTATCGGCAGGGTTCATAAATATCTGGTTGTATCCCGAGTAAGCGTCCATGAAGCTTAGCAGCTCGTGACCAGCAGTTGCGTCCACAAGCTGGTCGATCCTGGGCAACTGGAAGCTATCCTTTGGGCAGGCCTTGTTCAAGTCAGTGTAGTCTTGACACATTCGCCATCCGTCCTTGGACTTCCGAACCATTACTGAGTTGGCAAGCTAGACAGGGTACGTAGCTTCCTGGATAAATCCAATGGTTTTTAGCTTGTCAACTTCGGTACGCATAGCCTCATACCGTTCAGCATCATATGAACGGCGCTTCTACCTTACGGGTTTATAGGCGGGGGAGATGCTGAGCGAGTGGTTGATGACCTCCGAATGATGCCGTAAGAACTCAATGAATTGAGCTCGGAGGCATGGGGCAAGTGCGGTGGCGATTTTGACGCACCGATTGGGTTACTCTTCATTCAGGATCACCGTTTCCAGTTCTTCAGTAAGTTGTGTTTGTGGCGTCGGATTCTCTTCCCTTGGGTCGTCAACAGGCCCGCTGCCGTTTGGTGCCCCTTGGACGGACATGGCTTCCATTGGCGGTTTGCAAGCTACGGACTTTAGTGCCGTTGCATAGCATGTCCGCGCACTGAGCTGGTCTCCTCGAACAGCGCCTGTACTATTGCAAGTCGAAAACTTCATCAGCAACATGTGGGGGGACAAGTGCGCTTTAACTCTAGTAGGTGTCGTCCGTCCGACAATGACATTATATGTCGTTGGGCAATCAACGCCGAAGGTGATGTGAAACGACCCGACCCAAATTCCACTTTGAAATCCGGGCCGAATCCTGTTTAAAACTGACACCTGGTGACTGTGGGTTATAAAAGACCAAAATGCCCTGAAAACAGTAGCATAAACCCTGAGCCCCTAACTCATGGATGCGCCTGATAACTGTAGGCTGCCTACGTATCCTTACAGAGGGATCAAGCCACACGTAGTTCTTTCTTCTGTTCCTGTCCTGTAACTGGTTTGTTTTACTGTAAACCTCACTCTAGGGCTGACATTTCTGGAGTAACCGGGACTCCGTTTTACGATCCATCAAATACTATACGATCCTGGAATTACATAGATCAACATACCTGAAATGACTACGATCCAACGGTTCAAACCTGCTGAACCCGGAAATCACACACTAGGCGAGGTCCGTTCGGGGTTCAAACGTTATTTGAATTAAGATCCGCGAAATCCTACGTGCTCGTGGGGACTAGGAGATTATTCTAGGGCTGACTCTGGTCCCCACCCTGCAGCCCACGCGCCGCCACACGCACCGGCAGCACGTGGTGCCTAAAGCGATAACACTCCTCCAAAAAAACTCTAAATCACGGCTCAAGACTCCTACCCTAGGTATAACACCCTATTTGGAGCCACTTTTGTTCTTGGACCTACCCCAAAAACTGGCCGGAAGTGGCCGGAATCGCACCCTCAAAACCGGCTGAAACCTAACTTGACAATCAAAGTATTTACGCTTGGAATTCCTGAAATCCTACCCAACCAGCAGCTAGAGCATGGAAAATAGCTAGAAAACCATACCTCACTCGTCCGATTTGGTGGCCGGAGGTGTCCGAACGAGCTCTGTGAAATTCCATAAAAAACTATCCAAACCGCCCTGTTTCGTGGCGGTTTTCGGTGACCACGACGGCGAATCGAGGCTGGGATGGGCTGAGACTGAAAAAGGGGAGTGAGGTAGTTCGTTTGGCACTGGTCTTGCTCGATTTGGTGGTCTGGGCTGAGAGATATCCCCTTTGAAAATCAGCTGGTCGGGCTGCCGACATAGGAGGAATCTGGGTTTTTAAGAACTCAACTTCAGAATATTTACGGTTATGCCACTGAACTTCTTTTGATCGTAACTCCTTTGTTACAACTCCGATTCGAGTCCACTACGTGTCTATGGACTCGTTTCGTCGTGCTCTACGCAATAGTATAACTGAAATCCCCAAACTCCTTCCCAGTCAAAAAGTCAACTTTTAAGCTAATAAAAAATTCTAAAGGTATAATGGTCTTTTACTGGAATAAATTAATAATTAAACATTAATTAAGGACTGGGTTGTTACATGATGGGTAGATTGATGCTACCGACTGGCTGGACCAGATCCCCAGAAAAGCTAAGTAGGGTAGTTATCTGTCGATTGACTTGGCTATTGGCAATTCTCATTCCTCTGAAAGCATCGGCAAAAATTACGTTTACCGAGCTTCCCATATCGATCAGTACCCGCTCTACATCGCAGTCGGCGATTTCAGCTCGGATGATCATCAGGTCATCATGGGGGTAAATGATCCCTTCCTCTTCTTCACGGAACGTGATGGGCCCGTACATATGCCGAAGACTTGAGGATAGTGCGCGGCCCGTACATATTGCTTTACCGATCGGTTAGATGGTCCCGCCAGAGTGGGGCCTCCACTGATGGTGCTGATCATGTTGATTTGTCGGTTCGCGTTCGGGACAGGTGCCTACGGTGGTCTAGCAATGTACTGATCCAGCTTTCCTTCCCGAATCAAGCGTTCAACGATCTTCCTCAAGCTTATGCATTCCTCAGTGTTGTGGCCGTTGTGCTGGTGGTATTGGTAGAATTTGCCGGTATCCCGATTATCCTACCAATTGGGCTTTCAGTGATTTGGCTTGGGTATTATCTCGTTCTCATTCATCAGGGCAGCCTCATAAGTGGTATTTAGCGGGGTAAAGACTTCTTGAGTGCAATCGTGATTAGGTAGGGGAGCGCGGTGGTCATTCCGACCGTATTTTCCTCGTCCTTTCTTTGAACTTCCCTGTCGATTATCACGGTCGTCTTTCCATTTGTGCCCTCCGAGGATTCGTCAGTTCTTCTAGGGGCATACGGTGATCCTTGCCCGGGATAGCCTTTCAATGCTGGTTCCTCCTGCCGAGCCGAAGGCCCGGACTTGGAGTTGAAATACTCAGCCTTGGCGTGGATTGCTGCTTGCTTTATCAGTTCGTCGTAGGTGCGGCAGTTGCTACTGTGCACAAGGTACCGAAACTGTGAGGACCGAAGGCCACTCTTGAAGGCACCGTAGGCTGCCTTTTCGTTCGTTTCCGGACACCTCGAGTATTCATGATTGAAGCGTGCAGCGTATTCCCTAGGGGTCCTTTTCTCTCTGCCGAATCGTGTACAGATCATCGGCAGAGTACAGACGGTCTGTCTGGATCATAAAGTGATTGAGGAAAATTTGTTTTAGTTCATCGAAGAAGCCCATCGTTCCCGACTCCAGACGGTAGAACCAATTCAATGCGGCCTCATTAAGGGAGGATGGGAACAACAGGCATTTCCCATCGTCGCTGATTCCTTTACACCTTATTGCCAATTGGAAGGAATTGAGATGCATTAAAGGGTCTTCGACACTGGTGTAGAACGGTATGCGAAGTGGTTGTATATCCCTATCCTGCCGTGAGCGCTTTATGCGTTCGGTGAACGGTCCGGGCCGAAGCTTGCCCCAGTCTGGTTCTTAGGAGCGGGTCCTATCGTTTTCCATCTTCTCGGGGTCTCGGCTTGGGACCTCCTCGAAACCGTAGTCTTTGGAAGGTCTCTGCGGACTTGAAGGCCTTGCCTCAGATAATCGCATGGGAGTTGCTGAACGGTAGGTTGATTTGGTGGTTTGGGAAAGGACATACTTGTCGTCGGATTCTACTTTCGATTCCAAACCCCGTACCTTCCGAATGGGTGACTTGCTCCCCAAAGCCCTCATTCGTGAGTCTCTCAACCTAGCATTGACCCTGATTGGAGACCTTTGCCTTTCGGCATCCTTATCAGTGATCCGATGGCGACAGTCGGTGTAAACCTTCTTCGGTACGTGCAGTTGGTCCCAGGGTGCCGGAACTACCAACTGCCTAGAGGGCGCAGGCGTTGCCTTTTTCCCCTTCTTACCTTTCTTCTGCCGATTAGGAGTCTGCAGACTCTAGGAAGATTCGGTAGTTTGGATATTATGCGTTTGTTGCTGATTGAGCAGTTGCTGAGTTTCGTCAACTTTAGACGAGAAAATATTGTTATGTTCTTGGAGTTTAGCCATGTCCTTCTGGAGAGAGGTGATTTGGGCCAAAAGTTCTGCTTCAGCAGTGGTTTGGATCACGGGTGCATTACCGAAGGGAGTACAAGGGGGCAGCACAAGGCTTGCTCCCCTTTGCCTTCCGAACGGTAGCCCTTCTTTTGATAAGAACATTGGTACTGAAGTGGTCCCCATGTGTTCCAGGGATTATGGGTTGATTTGTATCGTTTTCCCACTGACAGCGCCAAACTATTGATGCAGAAAAATGGCTCGGCACTTTCCCGCTCAACTTAGTGATGGTTGGGCCTTCGGTATGCTCGGTGCCTCAGTAGAGCGTGTGATCTACAAGATAACAAAGGCTCGGTAAGACCTAGAGCATCGGTGCAGTACCGGCCGAAGGCTCTCCGATACTTAAGTAAGTACGGATTTAGTAAGCTTAAACTGACAGATCAGTAGGCGGTATGCCGTAAGTTTTGATTACCTCCATTTTGGGGAATTGTGCTCCTTTTATAAGCCTTGGGAGGTGTGCTTGTTGTGTAGATTTTCGATGTGGGACTGTAGACATCGGTTGTGGGCCTGCCACGTGTCCTGGAGAAGGAGGTTGCCCGAATCGAGGAATCGGTAGGCTGGGTACCGAAAGCCACCATGGTTGGGCACAATCCTTGTCCACGTGTCTGGCCCTCATTGGCTGTTCATTTTGGTTATAAACAAAATACAAGCTACAAAGAAACCCAATTCAAAGATTTATAACAATATATGGGAAAAAAAAAGATTTAAAACAAATAAAATTCTATTTTTTTATATGAAGAATAAAATTATGATATTTGTTTTTTAGCTTCTCAAGATTAGTCTTAGTTGGTAGAAACATTGTTAAAGGAGCTAAGCTCACTCTATGTAATTCTGGGTTTTTCAGAGACCAAGTAAAACAATAATTAAAAAAAATTATATATATATATGTATAATTTTTGTATTTTTGACTTTTGACTTCAAACTGAAAAATATAATTTGACAAGGTAAAAATTGCTTGCGATAAAGAAAGCATCACATCATGGATTATTAAACATGTTTCAATATATAAAAATATCAAACATTTGTAAATTACTATAGTTTGATTTTCCAAATGCAATATCAAAATAATTATTGTAATATTTAAATTTAATTAAGGATCTTTATCTAAAATAAATAAATGCTGCCAAAAACAAAAAAACCAACCCCATTCAAAGATCAATAATTAAAAGAAAACAAATAAAATTTTGATATTTTTTAAAGAGAGGCGTTGGACTCACGTGTTCTATTTAGCGAGCGTGCTATTTAGCGAACCACTTTTCAGGCTCACTGTATTAGACGAGCGAGTGAGTCATTTTTTTCACTATTGGACTATATAGTCTCATTTAAGTTAGTCTCGTCTCTCACCAAATAAGGGTTTCGAGTGCTATTTAACCTAGTCCAATCCAATGAGGCGTACCAAACATGGCCAGATCGTTGAACCGCAGACATCCCAACCAAAAAAAAATCCCTCATGTATGTTGGCATACACTGTTTTCAATCTTCATACAATGATAGAGTCCATTCACCATCCTTGAGTTCAAATTTTTCGAGATTTTTCCACTATCTTTTTTCAAACTCTTCATTTGTAGATGATCTGTGAATGAACTTTCCAAATTCCGCCAAAAAAAATCCATGCCGTTTAATTATACATGGCCAAGATTTTCAAAAACCTTCCCCAAAATATGCCACAAACAAAAACAATGATATGCATTTGGAAACACCTCTGAGATAACTGATTTTTACAATTTTTCATGGTCAGTGATTATTACTTTTGGAGCTTGCCTACCCATAGCTTTCAGCCACGTTTGCATTAGCCAAGAAAATGTTGTTGTACTTTCATCTTATACCAAAGTTTTTTATTGTAATCTGTGATGCATTTAAAAAATTAAGACTTATAATCCCCTGAATAGTTTGTTGATTCCCATAGTAATTATCCGTGTAAGGTTATGTGAGTTGTGGTTTTGCCTTAAGTCTTTAGAAATCATTTTATAAAGAAGTAAATTTGTCTTTAAAATTTTGAAGATAAGGTGGGTAGGAAAACAAGACAGATGGTGAAAATAGCAGCACTCTATTTAAATGGCAAATTCAACTTCTTTATTCGGGTTAAGGAACTAATATATGTTATTCTTGCACTTATAATTTAAATGATTTGCATATAATTGTCAACCAATTAAGCCGTTAGTTTCCAAGCTCCCTCGAATCAACAACCTGTCCCACTGCAAATGAATGGTCAAAATTAAAACTCACATGAATTCTGAAGCAATATGCCCAATATATATATATATATATCAGTCCCCTTTTAATGAGGAACGCCCTTTAGGGTATCATACAATTTTTTTCTCAATGATCCAAACCATCTATTTTTTAGGTCTTCATTCATAGATCATCCTTACAAAAAATTAGACAAATCGGAAACTGTTTCTACATCCAATTGTGTCTTACAAAATCAATGAACATAGTGCTTCAAAAAAGTACTAAAATTTCAATAACTCAATTGAGTGGTCAAATGATATCGGATTCAAGTGATTTTTTGTAGAGATGATCTTTAAATGAGTATCTACAAAATAGACGGTTTGGATTAGTGAAATACAATCCAGAGTGGGGCCTACAAGGGGTGTCCCTCAAATAAGCTTATTTGAGGGATCCCTAAATAGAAGCTCTCTCTGTATATATATATATATATATATGTGGGGTGGGTCGGGGATGGCACCATATATTTTTGACACAAATTTTCAACCATTAGATTAGAATGGATTGAATGGCTGAGATTATGTTTCATTAATTACTTAAATTAAATTAAATCTCTAATGCCAAGTAAATTTCATTTTTATTTATTAATTGTGATAATCCCAAAAATCACTCAATTATCTTTCCCCCTTTTGTTTTCTTTTCATGATCTTCTCAATTAATAACCTGCGAAACCTCACCATTACCTTCCCCTTGCCATTGTCATCTACACCAACCGAGCATTCTTCCACGACATAGAAAATCTGTCTCAAGCTACCAATATTGAAGAGAAAATAAGATATTAATATTTAACCAAAAAAGAAAAAGCCCAGATTTGTTGCAATATTTCTTCTCTACCGTTTGGTTGATCTCTCTCTCTCTCTCTCTCTCTATGTTTTTTTTTCTAACATCTTAATGGCTTACAAGCTTTTATTCATTATGATTAATAATAACATTAAAAAGTATATATGGCAGAAGACAGTTTGCTGTGCAGTTCATTGTGTGTGTGTGGATGGGGTGCTATCCCCAAGCCTTTACTTCGGGAGTCATAATCTATGTATAACTGTAACAACCCAAAAACTAAGCAGTAAAAAAAAGCAAAAAACAAAGTTAGGGATAGAGAAGAAAAAGAATCAGAAACCTGTAAAGCTTTTAGAAGAAAGAGGAGGAGGATGGGAAAGTCATTAATTGAAGAATTCTAGAGGATACGAAATAGGAAGATTTTATAAAACATTGATTGACAATAGAGAAATAAGAAAGAGAAAGTCAATTAATAATTATTTTTAATATATATTTTTCTTAAAAATATATAATTAGTTTAGTTAATCTTAGCCATTCAATTCATTTCAATCCAATGGTTGAAAACTTGTATAAAAAAATATAGTGCCACGGATCCGCCCCCTATATATATAATGTCAATGAATGAAGGCATGTTACATATATATAAATAAAGGCTTTTTTGTAGAAATGTCACATCAACTTATACACAAGTTTCAATTTGTCATTTAATTTAATTTTGTTTTATAAAGATAAATGTCACCTTAATTTTCCAAAATCCATGATTTGTCATCTGACTTTAACGTCATCTAATTTTCCATCAATTTTCAAGGGTATTTTAGTAATTCTAATATGTAAACCCTTCATGAAGCTCCTTTTTTGAACAAAAAATCAGAGAAAACAAGAGCAATACTTTTGCGCATGAACAACAGTCAAACTTTAGGGTTTCAAATTATTTTTTAGGGATCTCTGCGAGTTGTCCAGTTCCAGGGACATTGGCATTTATGGCGACTCCATGCCACTACCCTCCAAACTAAGGTAAAGCTTTGCTTTCTACTTGGGAATCTCTGAAGTTTTCGTTTTTATATGACAATGACAGATTTGATCCATGCGATCCTTTTTTCTTTCTTTATTTTCTTTTGCTTTATATGCTATTGCTTTGTTTTTGTGCTTTGGGTTACTGTGTATTGTCCTTTTGCAAGTAAATTACTTTGTTGTATGGGGGATGTGTCGGCTGCAATTGTTACATTTTATATAAATGTTAATTCGTGTGTTTGTGATTTAATTACCATGAAAATTCACCATGGGGTCACTTTATAGACCCCCCCAAATATTACAAGCAAGTTAGGAGACCAAGGATGCTCAGATGTAGGGAGCCAAATGGGATTCGACCTCCTTCAAGATCAACTGCAGCAAGTGTGGCAAAGAAGGCCATAATGCTACTACTTGTGAAATGAGGAAGCAAGCAAAAAGACCTCGAGTAAAGATAATGAGCTTTTTAATTTTGGTTTTTATATTAAATGTTGAGAAGTTGGCAATGAAATTTGATTTGGTATAGGTGAATGGAGGAGGTGATCCAAGAGGGCGAACTTCAGCAAATCCAAGCAAACAACAATTACAGACAAATGGAGGAAATAAGACAAGTGAAATCTCAGCAAATCAAGCACACTTTGTACCAAGAGGAATAAAATCAGCAATAAATATGTATGAATCCAGTGAATAAGTCTCAAACCCAAGTTCTTCTACTACAAGAGCAAGCACAATGAGAACCAACGCCAAGTCTCATGCCAAGAAGAATAACGTATGGAAATCATAAAGCACCTAGGTTTAATTGATCTTGGTATCATGCAAAGTTTATATTACAAGCAGATAAATATGTCACAAACAAAAACAATGATAAGCATTTGGAAACACCTCTGAGATAACTGATTTTTTCAATTTGTCATGGTCAGTGATTATTACTTTTAGAGCTTGCCCACCCATAGCTTTCATCCACGTCTGCATTAGCCAAGAAAATGTTGTTGTACTTTCATCTTATACCAAAGTTTTTTAATTGTAATCTGTGACTCATCTAAAAAATTAAGACTTACAATCCCCTGAATAGTCTGTTGATTTCCATAGTAATTATACAATTCTACTCCCAATATTCAGTGGTATGAAATCTGTTATTTTATTTTTATAACAAGATCATGTTTTTCAAAATGTTTATTTAATTCGAGTTTTTCTTTAACTTTACATTTTAAAGATTAATCTGATACTTTTACATATCTCTTTAGTTTACATTTGTCAAACTTAGATTTATGTAAATAGCAACTAATTAACAAAAAAAGGTCTGATTGTAATTACACCGAACTTCATATAATTTAACTGAAAATTTCCATTTTTTTTTATAAAACCTTTTATTTATTTAACTTTTCATAAATATGCCCATTTTAACATGACATTTTATAATATATAAAAAACCATTCAAGTCCAATACTTAAAAAAAACTCAATGTTGTACTTTCTTTGAAAAAATTGTAGCACACTAAGAACAAATTAGAAAATGACAAGTGGCTAATTGAGGTTTTCAAATAGGCTTTCTAAAGTTTTTGTATAAAATGTCACGTTAGAATGGGCCTACTTGTGAAAAGCCCATATTTATTTGTTGGGGAAGATGCATTTGCATTAGGAGAAATTATACAATACTATAGTAGTACCATGTGGCATTGGTATAGGTGGTGGTACGGACAAATGAAATGATGACATATGGACAACAACTGCAATGGAAGGAGAAACTAACGTTATTAGTGTTAACGTTACCATCTGAGAAACTTATCATACCTACCTTATCTGTTTTACCATCATCGACAACCACTGCCATTTTTGCAAGATTCTTTTGCCATTTGAGCTTATGATGAGAAGTAGTCATGTTGATGCGAAAAAGTGGCTCGACACTTTTTGGGCTCAACTTAGTGATGTTGGGCTTTTGGTATGCCTTAGGTCCCTGTGAAGCGTATGATTTGCAAGATGACAAATGTTCGATAAGACCTTAGGCATCGGTGTGGTACCAGCCGAAGGCTCTCCGATGCTTAAGTAAGTACGGATTTAGTAAGAACATCCAACCCACCCAATCCTTTGAGAGCCTGCAGACTTCGAGTTGGCAGAGAAAAAGCAAAAAGGGGCAAAGGCAACGCTTGCACCCTCCAAACAGCTGGTAGTCCCAGCTCACAGGGACCAACCTCATTTACCGAAAAAGGTCTACACCGATTGTCGCCACCGACTTAACGACAAGGAAGTCGAGAGACAGGGATCTCCGATTAGGATCAATGCTCACTTAAGAGACTCCCGAATGGGGGTTCTGGGAAACAAGTCATCTATTCGGAAGGTACGAGGTCTGGAATCCACCGCAGAATCAGACCATGAATATGTCCCCTCTAAGACCCATGGGACAACTTACCATTCAGCAACACCGACACGGTACTCTAAGGCCAAGCAATTGAATCCGCGGAGACATTCAGAGGACTATGATTCCGAGGAGATTCCTAGCAGAGGTCCCGTCGATAGTCAAAATGTTGTTCTACCATTCCGTGATATGGCATAGGGTGGTACTTGATCTCAGTCCCGCACTTCTTTATTCGGAATCAGACAACGAGGAACTCAAAGGCTCGCTACTTCAAGGCGAAATGATGGGACTGATTGACGCTCTGTATTCTGTGCCTTGCGTGCTTTCAGGACAAGACCAATCGGTAGTCAAGGCGATTTTCGACGAGACCAATCGGCAATTCAAGTCACTTTCCACCATCTATAGTTTGAGGCAAGGTACCGTTCGGCACTCTTCTAACTACTCTTACTTATTCTGTGCACGTCCTTCCTTGGCATGAGCTAGACTGAACTTTGTGCAAGTAGGGTTATGTTCGGTAGTCTGGTTGCCATAGGTTGCAATGTAGGTATTGGTAGGCTAGGCTTCTGCATGGCCCTTAGTTTCCTTTTTCTGTGTTTTGTAGATGTCTGATAATGAGTCTCAGTTCGAGAGAGAGCCCAATGTGTTCGATGGGGAATCATCGGATGATCAATGGGATACAAATAGTGAGGCCGAAAGCCTCGATGCCGAGGGCAGAGAAGATACCGATGTCGAAATACTCGGTGATGGGACAAGCTCTGTTCCTACCCACGGCATCGAGAAGGGACTTATGACCAGGCAACCAGTATCGTTGGCTGTGGTGTATAGCGACGGCAGTCATGTCGGCGTGGACCAACATTGTGAGTCCCAGATAGGGGACACTCGGGTGCCGGATGAGCATACCTGCAATCAATCGGGGACCTCCACTTCTGGTCGTGGAGAGGCGACTGCCAAACCTATTTCTCAACCAAGGGTAACCATAGTTCATCGGGGAAACCCTAGGGTGCCTATAGGCATGCTGAAGGAGAATATGTTCGGTGTAGATTATCTAGAGCCAAATAAGATGACTGAACTGGAGCTGGCCAGGCCTCGTGCTGAGTACCATATCTCGAATTCAGTAAAGATGAGGATCCCGGGTCCTACCGAATCACTTAGCGGCCCCGAGGACGGCGATGTCGTCTTTTTTACACACGTTCTTCTGCAGGGGGTTCGCTTGCCGCTTCAACCTGCTGTGCAGAAGATACTCGCCCAGATCGGGTACGCTCTAGACCAATACAACCCCAACTTGTGGGTGGCCTTGATGAGGGTGATTGTGGCGTTCGGTATTGCCGGGGATGGGGAGCCTTCCTACGAGCAATTCTCCTATCTATATAGCATCACAAAATCCAAGAGTGCCGATCATGGAGGTTGAGTTCAAGCCAACTATCTCAAGGCTTCTGAATGGGGGCACTTTGTTAATGTCGTGCCGACTTCTTACAAGTCGTGGAAGAATCGGCGGGTACTCTTATCTGGGGATTGGAAATCGCCTTCGAAACGCTCGTCCGTTTTCATATTTCCACCACCTTCCAAATCACCGGTAGGTCACCAGAATGCCGATTGGTAGGTTACCAATTGTGTCTTTTCTGAGAGATTTTTAATCGTTTTTCTGCCGTTTTGTAGGTAAACTGAAGCAACTGAACTCCACTTGATTAGAGATTCGGCAAGTTGATAAAGTGAGGCTGAAGGTTCCTGCCGTAGACAGGGTATACCCCAGATTCCTCTTCACCCAGAACTTGATCAGAGCCCGTCTCGTCAGCCCTACCAAGAGTAAGTGCACTTTGTTTGCTTTGTACACAAGTCATGTCGACGCCTTACCGTTTGTTTGCTTTGTACAGTGATAGACGCCAGGAGATCTGCCAAGGCCAAGAGGATGAACGAATCCTCCAAAAGGCGCCTCATGATGGGCTTGAGGGAAAAGAAGAAGAGACGGCAGTCGGAAGCAGTCCGGTTCATGCGACAAAGGTTGATCCAGAGGATCAGACCCTTGCCGATCGTCTACGGCAGCTAAGCGCCGAGCCGGTGCCCAGCAGTGCGGCCGAGGCTGATTCAATGTCCAGGCGAGGGTAGGCAACTGAGGCTGCCGCTTCTAAGGCCGTCAAAAAAAGGCCAATAACGGTAGATCTGGACGCCGAGTCGGTGCCCAAGCGTGGGTGGCAGAAGGAGGCGCCGAGGGCTGTTTTTGCTGCCGAGGAAGATGACGCCCCTACCGAGCCTATCACTATCACATGTCCATCGAAGACTGTCCAATTTGCGAACCAAATGATCCCTGGTTCGCAAATGGAGCTGTCTGAGATCGAGGAGCTCTCGAAGAGGGTCCTTCGGGAGGACGCCGGACGTGCCTTCCGTCTCCAGGCCTTGGTAAGTTTCTTGCTCCCCATTTATGGCTACCATTCGCTCTGACACTTCTTCTGACTTTTTGCTTCCTTTCAGGCGTCGATGGACATATGGTTACGCATGAAACGGGCCATCTCTGCTACCGAGCGTGCAAAAAAGGCTTATGATGATGGCAGTGCCAAGGTTGCCGAGGCAAACAAGGCTCTCCAAGACCACGCTCATCCTCTGAAGGACAACCAGGCTGCCGAACGGCAAGTCAAGACTTCGGAGGCCAAACTGGCAGAGATTAGGGTGGCTTTGGACTTCGTAGTGACGATGGCCAAGGATGCCAAGGCGGCAAAGGGTGCCGTGCAGGCGGCATTGGAGGAATCAGAGCGGGCCAAGGCAGCAGAAATTGATGCTGCCATTCGGGAGGCGATTAGGGCTACCGTACGTCTGAAGAGTTCACTGTCCTGCTGGACAATGAAGTGGGCTCGGAGATGGCGGATCTCCGTTACCGTTTCAAACGGTTCAACCCCGGACAGAAGCTGAACCTGAACTTTGCTGCCGATCCTCATTCTCTACCGGAAGGCATTATTAAGGAAATGATTGAAGACTATGAAGGAGGGGATGCCCCGGAGGAAGCCTCCGCTGCCGAGGGTCCTGCCATTACCGAAGGAGCTCGTGACGAGACCACTGCTGATGAGGGTGATGAAGCTGCTGGTGAAGAGGCTACCGTCTGATCTGTCCGTAGTTTTGTAATTTTCTTTTCTTTTTGTATCTGCCATAAGGCAGCTCATCCCGAACACCTTGATGCCAAGGGCATCCATTTGAATTTGATATTCTAACTGTTCAACATTTTGGTTAAGTTTTACGGACTTTTAGTTTATTATTGACTAGATAACGGTTGCCGATGGTTAGCATCTTGCCAAAAATTAATCGGAATCATATTTTCGGGAAGAAAGTGCAAGTGAACACGCTATCGGTGGGATTTAGGGTTTTCACCATTCTATTGTCGAGGGTTAATAAAAGGCTAACTTACAAACATAGAACTGAAGTGGTTTGATTATCGGTAGCTTGAATGTTTTAAGCATTTGTCCATTTGAATCTTGCTTCATCGATGGTCTCTACCGCATCTTGTTAATTATCGAAAAAGTAAACAAATACCCCGAAGGTTGTAAATATATTTAAGCCGAAGACTTTTCATTAACTGCTGCTGAAGGCATGAATACATGTTCATTGTATTACATTTTTATCCTGCCGTAGGCTAGATAACTATTTGAAATAGTATTTCAGATGTTCTACATTCCAAGGATGACCGAGGGTCTTTCCGTTAGAGTCTCTTAGCCGATAGGTCCCCGATCGAAGGATACCGATGACCTCATAAGGTCCCTCCCAAGAAATTCCGAGGATTCCTTCCATGGGGTTCTTGGTTACAAGAGAGACTTTTCGCATAACCCAGTCCCCGATTCGAAAAGAACGGGGTCGGATCCTCGAGTCATAGTATCGAGAGACGCATTGCTTGTAGGCTTGATTATGAATGTTGGCTTGCGCTCTCCGTTCTTCGATCAGGTCGAGACTTAACGCAAGGGCCTTCTCATTAGCTTTTGGTGCAAAGCTTTCCGTTCGGTAGGAAGGCTCACCGATCTCCACTGGGACAACGGCTTTCGATCCGAAGGCTAGAGAAAAGGGGGTTTCCTCGGTGGACGTTCGGAAAGATGTCCGGATTGCCCATAGTGCTTTAGAAAGCTTCTCCGGCCAAGCGCCTTTGGCGTTGTCGAGCTGCCGCTTCAGCCGTTTCTTAATGATTTTGTTTATCGCTTCGACTTGGCCATTTGAGTGGGGGTGAGCTGGCAAAGTGAAGAATATATTGAATTTTACTTGGCCGTTGTCGAGGTGCAGAACTGCCTGAAGAGTTCCAAATCAAACTGCCAGCAGTTATCCGTGATGACTGTATAGGGGATACCAAATCGGCAGCATATGTGAGTCCACACGAAGTCTTCTATTCTAACGGCGGTAATGGTCGCCAAGGTCTCGGCCTCTACCCATTTGGTGAAGTAATCTACGACAACCATGGCGTACTTGACCTGATCCTTTCCCTGCGGCATTGGGTCGATTAGGTCGAGTCCCCATTGGGCAAAAGGCCATGGACTTATGATCGGTGTTAAGGGCTCAGCAAGAATGTGGGGCACATTACTGAATCATTGCCATTTATCACACTTCTTTACTAGTACATTCGCGTCTTGATGCATAGTCGGCCAATAATATCCCTGCCGAAAGGCCTTATATGCCAGCGATCAGGATCCCAAGTGGTCACCACATACGCCACCATGGATCTCCCAAAGGACGTAGTCCCCCTGCTCAGTGGTGATGCATTTCAGGTACGGAGTGGTGTAGCCGCGCTTGTAGAGGACATCATTGATGACTTTATATCTTGCCGATCGGTATCGTAGCTTCCGTGCTTGAGACTTGTCGTGGGGCAGAGTACCGTTCGTTAAGTAAGCGTAGATTGAAGACATCCAAGTGTTCTCATACCGTACGGTACACACTTCGGAGGTTATCGTGTTTGGTTGGCTTGAATTATATGTCAAATTCTCCCAATTCAATTGTCCACTTGGCCAATCAACCAGACGTTTTCGGTTTATGGAGTACCTGCCGAAGCGGTTGGTTGGTTAAGACCATAATTTCGTGCGCTTGGAAGTATGTGCAGAGTCTGCGAGCTGAGACTACAAAGGCTAAAGCTAGTTGTTCCAATGGGGGGTACCGACTCTCTGCGCTCTGCAGCGCCTTACTAAGGTAAAAGATCGGTAGTTCTGCTTTCTTCGGTTTGCGTATCAACACCGAGCTTACGGCAGTGCTAGATACCGAGAGATAAAGAAATAGGACCTCCCCTGGGAATGGCTTGGATAACAAAAGGGTTTTACTCCTGTAGTTCTTTAAGTCTTGAAATTCCTTATCGCATTCGGCGGTCCACGCGATATGCTATTTGCCCTCTTTCAAGGTTTTAAAGAACGGCACGCAGTTATCGGTAGCCTTGGAGATGAAGTGCGTTAACTCGCCCAGTAAGACTCTGAATGTCCTTCTATGTCTTCGGCCTTTCCATGTTGATTATGACTTTGATTTTTTCGGGATTGGCTTCGATCCCTCTTTGACTAATCATGAACCAGAGAAACTTACCCGAAGATACACCGAAGGAGCACTTCGTTGGGTTCAGTCTCATTCGGTAATCCTTTAGTATGCAGAACATGAGGCCTAAGTTGTCTAGGTGCCCCTCTGCCATCATGCTTTTCACCAGCATATCGTCGACGTAAACTTCCATGATGCTGCCGATATGCTTGGTGAAGATTCGATTGACGAGCCTTTGATATGTTGCCCCCGCGTTCTTTAGGTCGAACGGCATGACATTGCAGCAGTACAATCCCCTGTCTGTGATAAATGTCGTATGCTCGCTATCGGTAGGGTGCATGAATATTTGATTGTACCCCAAATAAGCATCCATGAAGCTGAGCAACTCGTGACCGGCAAAGCGTCCACGAGCTGGTCGATCCGGGGCAACGGAAGCTATCCTTCGGACATGCCTTGTTTAGGTCGATATAGTCTTGGCACATTCGCCACCCACCGTTTGCCTTCCGAACCATCACGAAGTTTACCAGCCGTACAGGGTACGTAGCTTCCCTAATAAAGACAATGGCTTGGAGCTTGTCAACTTCGGTTCGCATGGCCTCGTACCGTTCGGCATCATACGAACGGCGTTTCTGTCTCATAGGTTTATAGGCGGGGGAGATGCTGAGCTTATGGATGATGACCTCAGGGGATATGTCTGGCATGTCATCATAAGACCAGGTGAATACCTTCGCATGATGCCGTAAGAACTCGATAAACTACCTCCGAAGAGATGGGGTGAGTGTGGTGCCGATTCTGACGCACTAATTGGGGTGCTCTTCATTCAGCACTACCGTTTCTAGTTCTTCGGCAGGTTGCGCTTATGCGTTGGGTTTTTTTTCCTTGGGTCGTCAATGGGCCCGTTATCGTTCGACGCCCCTTGGACAGACATAGTCTCCCTCGGAGATTTAGAAGCTACTGATTTTAGCGCCGTTGCATAGCACGTCCGCGTGCTGAGTTGGTCCCCTCGGACAGCGCTTGTGCCATTGCAAGTCGGGAACTTCATCAGCAACATGTGGGGGGACAAGTGCGCTTTGATTTCAGTGAGTGATGTTAGTCCAATTATGACGTTATATGCCTTTGGGCAGTCGACGATGAGAAATTGGTCATAGATCATTGTTTTTCAATGAGATACGCCGAAGGCGACGAGCAGACTGATGCTGTCGACTGGTTGGACCAGGTCTTTAGAGAAACTGAGCAGATGTGTTATCTGCCGATTAAACTAGCTATCTGCTATTCCCATTCCTTTGAAAGCACCGACAAAAATTATATTTACCGAACTTCCATTGTCAATCAGCACCCACCCCACATCGTAGTCGGCGATTTCAGCTTGAATGATCATCGGGTCATCATGGGGGTAAATGATCCTTTCTTCCTCCTCTTCACAAAATTTGATGGGCTCCCACCCAACCTTCGGCACTTTGTAGTGCCGGTTGACTTCTATGCCGAAGACTTAAGGGTAGTGCGCGGCCCGTACATATTGCTTCACTGAATGGTTAGACATACCCGCCAGTGTGGGACCTCTGCTGATGGTGCTGATCATATTTATCTATCGATTCACGTTCGGGACCGGTGCCTGCGGTGGTCTGGCAATGTACTGATCCAACTTTCCCTTCCGAATCAAACTTTCGACGATTTTCCTCAGGCTTATGCACTCCTCAGTGTTATGACTGTTGTGCTGGTGATATCGGCAAAATTTGCCGGTATCCCAATTGTCCTGCTGATTGGGCTTTCGGTTGACCGGTTTGGGTATTATCTCTTGTTCGTTCATTAGAACGGCTTCATAGGTAGTATTCAGCAAGGTGAAAACTTCCTGACTACGGTCATGATTCGATAACAGCGCTCGGTGGTCATTACGACTGTACTTTCCCTTTTCTTTTTTTAAGTGCCCCTGCCAAGCGTCATGGTTGTCTTTCCTTTTGTGGCTTGCTGAATACTGATCAGTCCTTTTGTTTGGAGGATACAGTGGCTCCTGCGCCGAATAATTCTTTAACGTCGGTTCCTCTTGCCGAGCTGAAGGCCCGGACTTTGAATTGAAATATTCGGCTTTGGCGTGGATTGCCGCTTGCTTCATTAGTTTGTCATAGGTGCGCCAATTGCTACTGTGCACTAGGTACCGAAAGTGTGAGGACCGAAGGCCAATCTTGAAGGCGCCGTAGGTTGCCCTGTCGTCCGTTTCGAGACACCTTGAGTACTCGTGACTGAAACGTGCGGCGTATTCCTTTAGGGGCTCGTCCTCTCTTTGCCGAATTGTGTACAGATCATGGGCATAATGCAAACAATCTGTCTAGATCATGAAGTGATTGAGAAAAATTTGTTTCAACTCGTCGAAAGAGTCTACCATGTCCAGTTCCAATCGGTATAACCAATTCAAGGCCGCTCAGGTAAGCGCAGATGGAAACAACAGGCATTGCCCTTCGTCATTGAGACCTTTACATCCCACGACAGACTGGAAAGAGTGAAGATGCGTCAAGGGGTCTTCTACATCGGTGTAGAACAGTATGTGCAGCGGCTGCACATCCCTATCCTACCGGGAATGCCTGATGCGTTCGGTGAATGGCCCTGGCCGAAGCTTTCCCAGTCGAGCTCCTGAGAGCGGGTCCAGTCGTTCTCCATCTTTTGAACCTTTTGAAAAAAAAGTCGAACGACGGGACCTCTGCTAGGAATCTCCTCGGAATCATAGTCCTCTGAATGTCTCCGCGGATTCAATTGCTTGGCCTTAGAGTACCGTGTCGGTGTTGCTGAATGGTAAGTTGTCCCATGGGTCTTGGAGGGGACATATTCATGGTCTGATTCTGCGGTGGATTCCAGACCTCGTACCTTCCGAATAGATGACTTGTTTCCCAGAACCCCCATTCGGGAGTCTCTTAAGTGAGCATTGATCCTAATCGGAGATCCCTGTCTCTCGACTTCCTTGTCGTTAAGTCGGTGGCGACAATCGGTGTAGACCTTTTTCGGTAAATGAGGTTGGTCCCTGTGAGCTGGGACTACCAGCTGTTTGGAGGGTGCAAGCGTTGCCTTTGCCCCTTTTTGCTTTTTCTCTGCCAACTCGAAGTCTGCAGGCTCTCAAAGGATTGGGTGGGTTGGATGTTCTGTGTATATTGCTAATTGAGCAGTTGTTGGGTTTCGTCCACTTTAGACGATAGTAGGTTGTTATGTTCTTGAAGTTTAGCCATATCTTGCCGAAGAGAAGTTATTTGAGCTAGAAGCTCAACTTCGGCAATCATTTGCATTATGGGCGAATTGCTGAAAGGGGTGCTAGGGGTAGCGCTGGGCTAGCTCCACTTTGCCTCCCGAACGACAATCCTTCCTCGGGCAAGAATACAGGTACTGAAGTGGTCCCCATGTGTTTAGGGATAATGGGTTGATTTAGATCGTTTCCCACATACGGCGCCAAACTGTTGATGCGAAAAAGTGGCTCGGCACTTTTTGGGCTGAACTTAGTGATGTTGAGCCTTCAGTATGCCTCGGGTCCCTGTGAAGCGTATGATATGCAAGATGACAAACATTCGGTAAGACCTTAGGCACCGGTGTGGTATCAGCCGAAGGCTCTTCGATGCTTAAGTAAGTACAGATTTAGTAAACTTAGACTGATAGATCAATAGGCTATATGTCGTAAGTTCTGATTACCTCCATTTTGGGATAGTGGTCCTCTTTTTTCGGCATTGGGAGGAGTGCATGTTGTTTAGAATTTCGATGTGGGACTGTAGACGTCAATTGAGAGCAAGCCACATGTCTTAGGGATGGGAGTTACCCTAGTTACCGGATCGGCAGGTAAGGTGCCGAAGGCTACCACGGCCAGGCTCAGTCTTGTCCACGTGTCCGTCCCCTATAGGTTGTTCATTTTGGTATAAACTTATCATACCTACCTTATCTGTTTTTACCATCATCGACAGCCACTACCATTTTTGCAAGATTCTTTTGCCATTTGAGCTTATGATGAGAAGTAGTCATATTGCTCTCCTTCACATAGCTGCTGAAGAATTAACCCAAAAATTGGTCTCCTGTAGTGACTTTGTTAAGTTTAGGTGAGGAAAATTGACAACATGTTTGTATGTTTTCCTTGGGGCTTAGGCATATAAGGACAAATATGAGGGCACTAAGATAAAAAGGTCTAGCCCGACCAAAATTGGACAAACTGGTTCAATCACTGTCCAACAATGACATGAAATCACTCACTAAGAGTGACATTGAACAACTCTCGGGTCAATGTCTGACAGTAATTGGACCGGTTTGTCCAATTTTGAAGGGCTGAACCATTTAAACATTTTGTCTTGTGTGAAGGACATTTTTTTTTGTCATTTTCTGATTTTTATTTTCTTTAAATTTAATTGAAATTATTCTTGTCCCAATTTTTACTTGTGTGCTAGTAAAGAAAAGGGGATTATTAGTTTGAGGATGTTTGCTTCAAATAATGTCGGTCCATTTTTTTTTCTCTAATTGCTTGGGAGTTTTGGACTAAACGTGGGTTGTTAAATGGGTATTTTAGGTTCAAACAATAGGTGATCAATTTTTAAGTGGGATTTATTGAATAATTAACAACTCACAATTTTTGTTGTTGTTGTGTGTGTTTAAGAAATTTTAAGTGGGATTTATTGAAACAATACCCAGTGGATTGAATGAGAAAACAGTCATGGTCATGGCGTCTCAGGGGGAAATAAAGAGCAAAAGAATAAACAATTTTGTGGAACTTTGAGCGGTGAGAAGGAGGAAGGCTGTGGTGCTCGGTACTCTCTCTCTCTCTCTCTCTCTCTCTCTCATAAAATAAAACCCCAGTAACAGCAGCAGCGTCCTCCCTCTTTTGGCATTGAATCGATGGGCGGTATTGTGGGCGATCTTCGTTTCCGTTATGAAGGCTGTATGATTCATTTTACGCGTTTCCCTATGGCAACGGGCATTCCGTACGAGATAGAACGCGTTAGTGATATGGAGAGCAAAGCAAAGTACAAATTATTGTGCGGAAGTCTGAATGGTTTCTGTGAATTGGCCAAGGATAAGGTTGACGATACGTTTTCTTGTATCCTTGTCCACACGCGAGAGCCCGCCCTGGAGTATGCGGTCGGCTCCCAATATTAGCTGTCGGGGACACTAGTCTACTTGCGGTGAAGAGTTTCTCTCTTTTCGTAGCAGGAGGATGCGATGTAAACTGGTTGGAACTCCGACCTAAATCAACCCAAAAGAGAAATAAATAATGTATGTATAAACACGCCTTTTGTCCTTTTTTTATGTAGCCATGTTAAATAAAATATATATGAACATATGCTTTTTGTCTTTTTTATGTAGCCCATGTTGGCTGTCAGCTTTTTTGGTTTGCTTTTTCTCTTTCTTCCTTCACCTTGTGCAGGTTGGTGGAATTGAGTTTCAGTGTTTATTAACAGCCATAGATTCGAAGTGATCTAATGGCTGAAATTTGGGCACATGGGTTACTGTAGAATTTGGCTTGTTAATTAAGGTCCAATATCCTAAAGAGAAAGGGATTCCTAAAAGGAAATTGGTTTGGGCTTTCCTTTTCTTAATTCAGCTCCCTCTATATAACTCCACTCTCTCATAACTAGTTTCACTCAAAGCTCCCGTTGGTGTGGTTTGGAAGTTGCTTGTTCCAAGCTTTCTTCTCCTCCTCTTCCTCCTCCTAACCAAGATGAAGCTCATCATGAAGCTCTTCGGCTGCGGTTTCAACTCCTCCGAATGCAAAGAGACGGTGGAGACAGTGGTGGTAAAAGCGCGGTTCTTGCAAAAGAAGAAACAAGATGAGGTGGAGAAGATGAAGAGTGACATCGCAAGTCGCCTTCGGGCAGGCGAAGACCCCATTGGCAGCCCTGCTCATGTCCTGATCAAACGGGTTATAAGAGAGCAGAATGTTTCCGTTGGGTACGAATTCATCGAGGCCTTCTGCGATATGGTTGGGGGCAGACTGTCGACCATCAAAGAGGTGAGGGAATGTCCAGAGAACTTGAAAGAAGGGATAAGTAGTCTAGTCTTTGCAGCCAAAAAGTGCTCTCATGAGATTCCAGAACTGGTGACACTTAAGAATATTTTCAAGAAGAAATATGGAAAGACTTTTGTCTCTGCGGCTACGAACATACGACCCAATTGTGGTGTGGATATCATGATGATGAAGAAGCTTGCTGATACAAATCCTCAAGGTGACGAAAAAATGAAAATTGTGCAAGAAATAGCCGATAAATACGGTATTCATGGATCATGGGTAGAGATTGCAGGAAACAACTGCAATGCTTTGGTCAAAGTATAGAAGAACACAAACGTCATAGCTACCAATTAAGCTAATGTATAGATTGATCACTATTACCTTCTTTTTTTTTCCTTTCTTTTAACTCTATAAATTTCCTTGTTGTCACACTCTTTCTTTTTTCTAATTGACTACGAAAATAATCTTTCCTTTTTATTTTTGGTTGTTTGAAGATAGTTTCTTGTTTTAGAGCAGCACCAGTCATCTGGAGAGCAGTGGTTTGTCTCCACGGTGTGGTTAAGCCCCATTCAAATAACTACATTCAAATAACTTGACGAATTTCTTCTCTGGATCAGCATACATATTGGTGCTTCAATGAAACATTGGCCCCATGTCAATTTTGGGCTAACTTCAAACCACATAACTTGGTTTTTCAGAAGAAGAGGATCAGCACTCAAATCCTCCTAATACTTTTCATTTTGGTGTAACTCTTAAACAAACAGACCCAAGCTCAACAAAGTGTCATTCATGCTACACAAGTTCTTAACTCACATCCTCTGCTGTATTGTTTCTCATTTGACACCCCAAATTCGGTGGCCAATGTCTACTCGAATGAAAATTGGATGTTGTTTATGTAAAACATTTGTCTACAATTTTGAAAATATATTCATGAGATGTATATCCTTGGATATGTAAAGCATTACCTTTTTGGTTTTTTAGGGAACAGCGTAGCGACGGATAATTCAGAATCAGAATAGGTCCAGTCCAGGGGACAAATCAGTAGGAAATGCTATTTCCTTTTTTTTATTTTTTTTTATTTCAATAATCGAAGTATTAGTAGTTTCCTCAGTTTTCATGTTCTTCCGAGATTTCCCTATATAATCTGTGGGTATTTTATCATCAATCCTCTACATATGCTGTAACAGAGGCCTACTTATTTTTCTGTTTATATCATCAAGATGTTCATCTGAATCAAACTGTGCATTCCGCTCAAAATCTCCCCAAATTAAGTTATTGTCCTAAAGGACATATCCTTAAAATTCATTGGTCAATTTTCGCTCAAGAAATTCTCTTTTCTGGTTATTTGTTTAAATATTTCTCTTGCATATCACATACGCTCTATTCTATCCAACAATTTCCCAGAGGTCAATGATAATCCGTGGCATGCGTGCTGCAGGAGGAACAGATGATCCGGGTCAATTTTCTGGTGTTGTTTTGATGAAGTGATGAAGGTATCCCTTGTACAATTAGGTATAATACTGTGTGCAAGATATATATATACACCAATCTCGTTCTTCTGGTCCACGGGGACCAGGGAGTTTCTTGGTGACCTTGGGGTCACACACCATCCAACCAACGAGGTCGTGTGAGGACCTCCATAGCCAAATTTTTTGGCCGCCACAGGGTTGCATGACCCCTCTTGTCCCTCTGTGCATCCGTCCTGATTATGTGTTTCTTTTCATCAACTTTGATTAAGCAGATTTGTATTATGTGTCTATATTACTCCCTGATAAAAATAATAAAGATTCAGTGCATGTTTGGTATTCTATTTGAATTCAACTTTTTAAACTTAAAAATAGAATTTGAGTCCAAAACTTAAAAAAAAACTTTCTGTTTTCTTTTTTTAAAAATTTCTAGAAACTGTTTTGAAGTTGCATACCAAACAAGTTTTTGAATATATATATATATATATATTAAATATACAAGCGATATTATACTTTAAACTAATCTAAACTACGAGAAGGAGATTCAAACCCGGGTGTAGAGTGGGGAGCACATCCGCTCTAGTCAACTTGACTTAGTCCATGTATGCACAAGTTTTTGAATATTAAAACATAGATTTTAGAAGTCCTTGTTGTTTTAAGTTTTTTGAGTTCCCTACTTGAATAAGATACAAAACAAGTTTTTAAATCTAAAAAATGAATTTTAGAACTCATTGTGTTTAAGAAAAATAAAAAGTTTTTGAATTCCATACTTAAATAAGATACCAAATGCCATCTCAATTACTTTTATTAAAAAATAATAATAATAAAATTATAAATATATAAATAAAAAGGAAAAAAAAGGCAAAGACCGACTAAACGCAACCAAGATTGAATAAGGATAGAATAGAAGCCTCCTCCGATTCCTTGGAGAAAAAGAGATCGTCAAACCTCTATATATATACAAATCCAACTCTTCAATTCCACAACATATATGACCCATCAGACGACACATTGTCTCTCTTTCTCTTGTTTTGTTAATCGAAATAAGTTTTGTTTCTGATTGTGGATGCTTAGTTTCCTCATTGAATCTTTGATTTGTTTGGTTAATAGCAGGTAAATAAGCAAGGGTGGAAGGAGGCCAGCTAGGCTAGGACTATGGAGGAGATGCAGAGGAGGAGCAAGAAGAGAATAATGATGAAGCAATGCAACGAGAGCACAACGCAGACGCAGTTGATGGACCTCCCATTGGAGATCCTCTTTGACATCCTTTTGAGGCTGCCCACAAGATCACTGTTTTCTTTGCTTTGTGTCTCCAAGACCTTGCGTAGCTTAGTTGACTGCCCATCTTTTGCTCACAAGCATTCAGAGTATATTGCTACGTCCAATTATGAAGATTTAGACCCGCCTCATGTTTTGGTTCTTACCAACTCCCAATTAATCACCTTGCAAGCTCTAAATCCATTGTCCCCCATTAACGAATTTGCCTTTGACATTTCCAACTCCATTGGAAACGGATTCAATCTAGAGTTCGAGTTTGTTTCGTACGGCTTGCTTTTGTTTAAGGTGAAAGAGGCAAATCATGAACTCCTCCTAGTCAATCCTCTCCGGGGAGAAGTTCTAAAGCTCCCACCACCGCTGCCACACTGCGGCTATGAATTGTATGCTATGGGATACGATGTCATGACTAGCACCCACAAGATTGTTCGTCTTTTTGGACCCCACGGCGACCAGGACCACATGGTGGCCCAAATTTATGTCCTGGGCACAAGCTCCTCATCGTCATGGAGACAAATATCCTCGGTTCCTCCACTACCTTGTTGTCTAAGCAGCCAAGCCAGTGTGTCTGCATATGGAAACATGCACTGGCTAGTTTATGTTCTCTCTTCTGATCTTGAATTGAGAATACTTTCTTTTGACTTCAAAAGGGAAGAGTTCGAATGGACTCCTCATACCAACTTTCCAGACTTCGACGAACGTATTGATCTTCACCTGATTAATTTTAGAGGACGTCTCTCCATTGTTGATGTTTCTGCAATTTCACCACCTCAAAAAAGTGACCATGACCAAATTGAGATATGGGTGATGAAAAGTTACAAAAACTTTACGTGGGAAAAAAAGTACGCCGTAAAAATCGTCCTTGATCCTTGTTGCATGAAACCATGGGAGACTCCTCCTCATTTCCTTGGTGTTGGGCCTGGTTCTGTAGGTGCTTGGGAACATGGCATCTTTCTCAGGGATCTTAAATCTAAAAATATGGTTGTGTTTTTGGATGTCGATAGTGGTGGCTTCAGAGCCGTACAAGTTGGATCATCTTAATTTAGAATCTTCTTCCAACAGACGTTGCGCTAGCTTGGCTTTAGGTTAGTAATTCTGGAGAGCACTGGTTTGTTCTTCACCTCATAAGCAAGCTATTGCAGGTTTCTGACCAGGCTGTTTTTGGGTCCCTGTTCCAATGGTTCAATTCACTATCAAAAATGCTTATGAGCTTCAGATGCAGGATTGTTCACCTCATCCACAGGTGGTTCCTACTTATAAACCGTCTTCATAAGTTCTTTCCGGACCTTAGCCCTGACTCTGCCTTCTTCATAAGTTCTTTCCTCCTCGTTTGAAGTTAAATTTGATGGCTCAGTGCAAAAATCTGATGCAACTATTGGTTTTGTTCTTCGAAAGAGTGGTAATGTTCTTCTTGCTGGTGCTAAGAAGATTGGTTTGGCTAACATTGTTGTGACTGAGTGTCAAGCTTTACGTACGGGATGGTCTTGCCTTTGCCATTAACAGAGGATGTAAGAAAATCCGAGTGGAAGGAGATTCTAAATTAGTCATTGATTGCATTCTCCGCCAAGCCCAAGCTCCATGGACTTCTTGACTGCTCATGCAGGATATTTACCATTTGACCTCCTGTGAAGTGCACTTTCGCCATGCTCATAGAGAAACCAATTTTTTGGCAGACGCCCTAGCTAATTTTGGGCATAGATTTCTCCTCCTTGTTTATGGGAGAATGGCCTACCTCGGTAATCATTGCATAATACTAAAAGGAAAAAGCAGCTCTGAACCTACAAAAACGAAAAAACAAAAAAAAAAAAAAACCCCATCTTGTTGATTGCAAAGATGTGTTACCCCAACCAGATAATTCTGATCAGCTAAACGCTGAGATTTTAACTTCATACTATGCCTAAATTGGTGTGTGTGTGTGTGTGTGAGAGAGAGAGAGAAACAATCCATACTAAGTTGTACTATTAAACTATGGGGGCATCAAATATCTAATCTGACCCATCAACAATTCACCCTAAACTTATGGCTTTATGGTCTGTACAAACTCAGTGAAGCAGCAAAACTCTTTCCTACTCAATTCACACTGGTTGCAGCCTGGTGAATTTCTTCTGCAGCCTGGTGAATTTCATCATATGCGCCCGTCTCCTCATTGAACGAGTACCTATATTTGGAAAGAAAGAAAAAACACGTATAAGGTTGCAAGACACATCTTTGGCAATTACATGAACCAACTGACCAACCCATTAACAATACAAAGTAGTGTAAACCTTCCTTTCAAATCTATTCCAATAACTCAGTAGATTATGGTGGTCAAGCCAAACTTTCATTTAAATCTGTGTCATCTTTCTATTATCGTCCCCAACATTATCAGTATATCCAGAAAGTTTTCAGTTGCCATGCCTTGTGTTGTCATGACTTGTAATTGGTAAGCCATGTTCCTGACCACACATAATGACAATTTCAGATGGAAACTACTTCAAATCTAATACACTCGAAGTCAAACACAACAGCCGTAAGTACCGCAAGTACCCCTAACAGACTTTATTTGCCATCTAAACCACTCTTGCTTTCCTTTTTTCTGGATGGGAGAATAAGTAATTGAAATTAGTTGTAATTTATGTGCTACTATTGCTCAACAATGCATGGTTATGCAGTAAACTAACCACATAGTTACAATGAAGAAAACAAGGTATGAAAGGCCCAGAATCCCAGATAGCAAATGGGCTAATAACAGAACTGTATTTGAAATTTTGTGTTAAAGTGCAGCTAGATCTACTAATGTGCAATTTAAGAACTTAAAGGACGTAAGCCTGGAAACTTCTAACCCTTAGACTATATAAAGAACTGAGAATAAACCAGGACCTATCCAACTAACAAGTAACCAACCAGTACGAAAATTCAAAACATGCAAACAAAGACTTATCCACCCAAAAAAGAGCATTGCATAAAAAACAAAAAGCAATGGAATCTAAAAACAAGGACAAGCTTTCTTTACCACAGCCCCGACGCAGCAGAGCAGTAGAATCCGGTAGATGGATCATAATAATATCCCAAACTGCTGCTATAATAGTACCTAGAAGGATTAACCAACCATAGGTTATATTAGTCCAAAATAGCCACATAAAAATTTGCTCATATATAAGTGAAAGTTCAGATCACTATTTAGCATCAAGGAAAAGCAACTGGACCAAGGATCACCAGTCAGACCAATGGATTTCGAAAGTAATTAAATATTAAAAGTAAATTTCGAAATTAATTATTGGAATAAAATTACTCAAAATATACAAATGAAGAATAACGAATACGATTTCCATAACCAGAGGATTTTCTAAAGCATTGATTTATGCATACAATGTTTGTAGTATTTTGACAAATTTAATTCATGTATATGTATATATTAGAACATTTCCGTAGCATCCATAGACAATGGGGATGCCCTGCACCAACGAACAGTACCCCTAGCAATTCGAATGCTAGTGTTAAAAGTAGATATTGAAATTAATTATTAGAATAAAAATACTCAAATATACAAATGAGGTCCTTGTAAACTAATAAACCCTATTGGGATGGAAACAACACTTAAAAAAAGGAAGATACACAGTCTGCTCAAACGACAAGGCATCACTCTAATGGGGAACCGTCTGCTCTTGAATGGATTTCTATAAAACTCAACTAATACATTTGGATGAGATTTCGACCTTTATAAAATAGTACAAAACTTCCACAGTTGCAGCCCTCCCCTTACACACACACACACACACACACACACACACACAGAGGGCATTGCTTCTCTCCATACAATCTGGAAAAGTAAAATAGTTATGTTGCCAAACTCTCAGACAGGATAACATTTCCCCATGTAGTTTAAGGTTTAGGCCGGAGCAAGTTGCTTTTATTGGCATCAATCTCTTATCATGTTTCCTTCTTTTTTTTAAATCTCATTTCTGATTTAGTTGATTACTCTAGGGTGTAAAATCACCCTACGAGTTTAGATTTTAGTATTACATCTTGAGTTTTCGAGAAATAAAGCTTAAAATCTAAGGGAAGAACCTGTGCGGCTCACCTGGTACTAGTAAAAAAATGAAAATAATTGCTCTCCAAGTCAAATGACCTATGGTGCCAATTGACAGACGTACACATACGGATGAAAGCTAACAGTTACGTCAGAGCCATATTGGGACTTAAATGTTTAGGTTTCATCCAATGAGGACGCCAAATGACCAGCACTGTAATTTTTCCTCCTAACGGTCAACCGGCACAGGTTCCTTGCTTACATTTTAGTTTTTAACTGTCGAGTTTTGGTCCCAAGAGTTAAAAGCTAAACTCTAAGCTCATAGGGTGATTCAACACCTCAGGTAGTCAACCCTGTCAAGAATGGGATAAAAAAAAATATAAAAAAAGGGAGATGAAATATATTGACCCACCAATCGAAGCAACTTGCTCCTTGCAGCCTACAAAATCTAGAGATTTAAATCCGGAAAAAATATATATATATATATTCTATAATACGATGCCTTGCCGATCGCCTGGCCAGTGCATGCCGGTCGACCGGCAGTGCAAAAATCTGGTTTGGACATCAGATTTAAATCTGGTTGACCGGCAGTGCAAAAATTGGTTAACCCTATAATAGAAAAGCTGTAAACACATACACACAAACATTTAATAGCAATAACAGCAAACCGTCTAAAAGTGGGTAAAGAACAAATGCCAGCAAGCAAATGAATTCAATTAGTCCCACTCCATTCCCCACAAAGAGCATTTCTCCACCAGGTCTAAAGAATAGATGATTAGCATTTACCGACTAGACAAGAAGCAACTAAATACTATTATGTATCAAGTCAAAATCAATCGTACCAAATAAATAAAACAAAACAAAATCAATGAGTACGCTATACAAGTACAAGCAATCAAGGATTTTATTTATTTATTTGGGTGGAGAGAGAGATAGAGAGAGTACCCAGAAGACTCATCAAACACATAATCATTTTGCAAAACTCCATCTGAAAGAAACCAAAAAAAAACCAAAAAAAAGTTAGAAAGCAACTGCTAATAACCCACCCAAAATGTTAAATTTTCTAATCAAAATCAACAGAAAAAAGCTTACTCTCAGAATAAGCGTTTACGTTGTTTGAAGGCAGTGAGCTGACTCCATCAGAATTAGGGCCGCAGATCACATCACTTCCTTCAGAAGATGGTTTAGCAATTACATGTTCATCATCTTCCGCAAATATATCAAACGCATCAGCACCATTAATTGTGGTTTCTGCAGCGGGTGCATTAGAATTGGAAGTACCAACAGCAGTTTCAGGCAGTATTGAAGAGGGTACTCCAGGACCGGTTACATCAGAGGAAGTGCCCCACTCCATACTGAGAACAGATTTCCCCTGGTATGCACCAGTGGATGTGCCTTCCCTTCTTGCCCGAGCTAAGCTCTCATATCCTTCTGAAAAAGAAAGGATAAAAACAATTATATATGAGCATAGCTAGCTCTAATTGGTGTCATGCTGTATTTTAGATTTCACCCATGTAATGTTAGGTTGTTTGATCTGTGTTGCTGTTGTCGTTGTGTAGTCCAGTTTGTCCAGTGGACAACTTGCCCATGTTTTGAAATGTTTCTTTTTATTAATGAAAGCTTGTTTCTTATAATGATAAAATAAAATAAGGAGCAAACTTATGATTAACACCCACCAATCCTTTTCTTTTCTGTTCTCTATTTATCTTTTCTTTTAAAGATGTGAATATTCATTACGAAAAGAATGATTTCCCCCAAATGATTATTATTCCAGAGCCCTTTTGTGCAATTCAGATAACAATTCCTTTAAGTCTGATGTCGAGGAACTTTTTTTTCTTTTTTTCTTTTTTTTTCTTTTCAAACAGAAGAGCATCTTCTTTTGAGACAAAGGTGAACTTGCTGAAAGTGTTAATTGTCTCTTGACAGGTTTCACATTGATGATTTTTGTTCATTTGATTTTTGAAAACTCTCGTTCTTATGTAATTGGATTGTTCACTCTTGCTTTTTCTAAATGACAGCTATTACTTATTGAAAAGCGAATTATAGAAGAAAACCTCTATACCTGGAGAGTTGGAGACTATCCCCTAAAAGTGAATTAGCACGAATATAGAGGAAAATAAACTACTTAAATCTTGGATTGACTAAAACACATTAGATGGCTATTTTTGTAATATTCTTGTAACCAGTTTTCCCATAAATTTCAAACTTGAGAGCACCTGGTTTTGGGATGATTATGTGTGATTATAGTTTATTTTCATGTTATTTGAGATATCTTTCAAATGGTAGTTCCCCATTCCATTGGGATTTATCTTCTATATAAGCTAAACATTCATAAGAGAAAAACATACAACCTCAATTAATGAACTGTACTAGCAAAGATTGATTTCTTTTAATAGTCTTCTTCCTAAAAGACATTCTAAAATCAATGGTTTTCTAAGTCCTAACACAACCCACCATCAATTACTATCTCAAAATCATAATTGATCCAAAATATTATTCTCAGGTTGTTGAAAACAGCAAAAATAACTCAGATTTCCAAACTCCCTTGTCTATTTCAATTCCAAAGCCAAACTCAGTCCATCTCAACTTACTTTTCCAATTCTTGTTTCATTAAATCATAACCCTAGTTTCCTCAAAAACCGTATTGTTGCTTCTGTTCCAGATATCAACTTCTCTTTTTAAATTTGACCAACAAATTCTTTGGGAAGTTGAGCATTCACACTTTTGGCATCCATAACCTTCAACTTCTCCCAAACACAGGTCTTGCAATTCAAGCCCTTGCAACCTATACTGATCACAGCATCCTTGATTTATGATTTCTGAATAGCAAAGCTTTCCTACACCATTTGGCACCAAACACCTCACATAAAAATAAACAGACATGGCAAAGAGTGGTGCTATTGACACCTCCAATATGTTCAGCCCATCCAGCTACTATTCCAATCTCCACAGAAGTTTTCAAAAATTTTAGAAAATAAATAATAACTCAAACTTTACTATGCCACCGACCAAAAAATCCTCAAACTACCCCTAACCTTGCTTTTCCACTGCCCTTACCCTAATTTCTTTTCTTTACCAAGTACAGATGGTGTAGGCCATGACCACCACCATGGTGCAGTGCCCTTACAAAAAATAATTAATTAAAAAAAGCCGACATGGCCATGCGCACCATAAACTGGAAAAACCAGGCTACGGATGCTATAGCCTGGGCCCTGCCAGAGTCAGATCTCCAATGGAAGGCATAATTTTCTTCAAGTTAAAAGTGTAAATCTTACTAAACTAAACAACACAAAGAAGCTGACAAGGCATCATAACTATGTTTATCCATGCATACGCAAAAAATAGTTCACAGAGACAGACCATGATTATAGCTTCTCCTCTTAAGCTAGAGGGATTAAAAGATTGGTAGAAGAAGAAAATTAAATACCAAAATTCAGAAAAGTGAAAGATAAACCATATCACTGACCTGCCTCACGCTCAAACATTTCTTTCTTTTCATGATAGACATCTGCAAAACAAAACTTCAACCAATAAGCACTCTGCCAAAACAGAAACTGATTCCTTACCAAAGGTTTACGGAAATAAAACATATTTTCTAAGTGCCTGTACTAGATCTGACTAAAACAACTATGCCAGATTATACAAAACTAATGCAGTTTTCCTAGAACAATAACACACTTAACTGGATTCACCATTATCCATCAGGTTCGTGGCATCTTCAGTTAATTGGTCAAATACACGCTTTGTTTCAGCCGACATCTTCTCCTTCTTGTTATTTGAAGTTCCCTTCAATCTCCTCAAAGCTTGTAAAACCTGCCACAGTAGAAATTTTTACTTCATACAATTGATGTTGGAAGTGGCAGGCAATCAACCAAAACATAACAGCTACTTTAGTGCAATTTAAGTAGCCAAAAACAATATTGCATTTGAATTATTTACAACAATCCTTTGTGTTCCAAACAAGCGCCCTTCTGCATTCATGCAGTCAAAGTGCCAAAATTCCTACAAACACATATGGAGTGTAAGCCCTTAATTTTCAGGACCAATTTCACATTGTATATTGCTCCTTGTGTTGCATGCCAATCTTGCATACGATCATTTTCTATTGTTCTTATCTTCACGATATGACCATATTCTACTGTTCTTGCTTTGCTAAATATTACGCTAGGAAAATCTAAAATTTGCCGAGTGTTACGTGACAGGCCCAAGCACAACAAAAGTTGAAGGTCCAAGTCCAAGGAGGCTGTCTAGTCCTGTGGCCCACCTTAGAGAGGTACACACTTACATCTGTAAGGTCCAACCTTATCCACAGTAAGTAGACCCAACTGTAGGATTCACTACCTAAGTGTACTTCTGATGGACCACTTGCATTTTCTCCATAAAGACTCATTTGTTTGGACGGTTTTGCTTCAGGATAAGAGGGGTCCACTAGTTCATTTTATCTTAGCCCAATTATTTTGCTAAAGCTAGTGAAAACTGTCCATTATAAAAACTAGGCCCTCATTTGGTTTGGCTAGATCAAAATTGACGCCATCAAGGAGGAGGAAAGATCCATTGGAGAAGCCAAACCTTCTCAAATGTACCAGAGGGGCATTCAATTTTCAAACAAACCCAAACAACCAAGGAGCTTCACCGCCATTTTCCCCACTCTAGTTGAATTGCCATCTCGAGAGTAAGAAGAGGATCACTATTTGAGACATAGAGGACAAACTTGTAGGCACTGGTTCACTTTTCTTATACCTTTGCAATCCTAGGTCATCAATGCACACTCTAGCCTATGTCATAGGTTATATCATTTTTGCAGTATTTTATAGTGTTTAATGGTTTCTTCTCGTACAACACAGACAATGTTAGATTTAGCACTTCACATAGTTGAAATTTCAAATGAAAACAATTAATTCAAAGAAGAAGACTGAGTAAGATCAATGCTAGTATACCGTTTCCCCTGGCTCAAGCACATCAGCAATACGTCTTTTAATCTTCCCAACATCATCAGAAGACAAATCTTGGACATCATCATCATCTTTTGTTACTGCAAACCCTTTTCCAGCATATTTTGTATCAACTTCAACACTATCAAGCCATGCATCCTACAAAATTCCACATTAAATTGAGAAACTGAACACATAATTGTAACCATTGTTTTAAAAGGCGAGTCGTAAGTGTGCCTTCAAGAGCATTTTCCAGCTTGTAATAAGCTCTCGGCTATGCTGTGTTATTTAGCTTTAACTATATGTAAGTAGCTCCGTACCTCCCAGCTTATTAATTTTTTATTTTTTTTTAATCTATGTGAAATGTGTGCACAAGCACTAGAATGACAAAGATGATGTGATATCCATGATGACATTATGAAGCGAAAAGTGGCAGAAGAAAGGAACGAAATATAGATAATAAGCAGTCTGGGGGTTGATTATTATCTTGGATGACAATAAGTACTTTATTTCAATTATATTAATCTCCATTTTTTAATCATAGAATTGAATTCTTGAAAGGTTTGCACCTCACTGTTCTTGTGTTTGACATAAAATGTCTCAGTCTCGAAAATATTTGTGTAACAAATTCAATTAGTTGGTATTCTCAGTGTACTTCAAGAACATTATGCATTTTCACGTGTTCTTGAACTATTCTACGACAAAAAAGATAAATTCCAATTTTAGTAAACTTGTACGGAGAATTTTTGCTTTGACTTTGTTTTTCTTTTAACTGAATCAAGTCATTGTATTAATTAAAAAGAGACAAAAAAAACTCAGTATACATATATTAATGCTTTACGAGCATAGTAAAGCAGTAAATTCCAGGACCTAATTGTACTAGATACGCTTAATCACCCAAAAGAAAACTAAAAATTGGCTTTTAGAAGCAAAACGAATAACTATTTATCCTTAAAAAATGCTACACATGTTTACCTCGACTTCATTTTTATTGGCATATTCAACAAAATTTCCATCTGCATCAAAATAACCTTCTTCCCTCTCCTTGTTCAAGTTGAAAGGTTCTATTTGAATCCCATCCTCGACAAAGTCCTCGTAATCCTGCCAAAAGATACCCCAATCATTGGCTATCCTTTCCACTGATCCAAATCCAATTAACAGAAGAATCTGGCAATCATCTTGACTCACAAAAACGCTGCCAATTCAGGAAAGAACCATTCCAAATTACAGATGTACTCCTTTAACAAAAAACATGCATGGCATTATTAATGATTGTGGAACTATTGACATGTAAAAACAAATGTCTCCACCACAAGAAGATAATAATAATGGTCAAATCACATGATTTGTATCTTAAAGCAACGACACAGACTAGATGCTGTATCAGGGAAGTTTTCATTGAAAGCATTAACAACAAGCACACAGCCTCAACAACACCATGTAAGTTGTAACTAAGAAGTGCATTGTTACAAAATGACAAATATAACACCAAAAAGAAGTAAAATTCTAAACTCCTTAGGAAACCAACCAAATGCAGTTCATATCAGCTACAAACTTCAAAGGTTCAAAAGGCTTATTCCCCGAAACAAAACGTGAGGAATGAAAAGTTAAATGTGCACATGTTACATATGCACACACAGCTGAAGCAACATAGCATGGCATCAATAAGAGAGCAGAAGTCAAACAACGCAAAATGATAGTGATAGAAGAAAAAGCACCGAACAACGAAAGCATTACTTTGATTGCAATGTCGAAAATTGCAAAGGAATCAATCGAATACAGAATATCACACACACCTTGTAAGTAACTTCAGCAGCAGAGACATCGTTGAGAATGCCCGCAGTCTCTTCACTGAAGAGCTCAGTTGTGATTTGACTTCGGCGCTTGGCCCGTTCTTTGGCGGCAGAACGAGGGTCCGTCAATGGAGTCGGGCCAATCCCAACCCCAACCGCCTCCTCAGGTCTGCCTCTGTTTACGGCTTCATCTCCAGGCCTCGCCTTCTTCCCCTTGGGGAACCTAACCCTTTTTTGCCTGCACATGAACCCAAAAAATTTCCAGTAAAATGGTTTCCTGACAAACAAACAGAAGCCACAACTAATAAAGAAATAAATAATAGGTTGTCAATTAGGGTTTTGAGAATTGTTACGCTGGGGGTTTGTCGGAGCCGTCGTCTTCAAAGAAAGGGCGTTTCAGATTGGAGCGTGAAGGATTGGATTCCATTGAAATTCAATCGACGAAATGGAAGAGCAGCTTTTGGTTTCTTGTTAACGATTTTATGAGTATTCACTTTGAACCACTGGGTACAAGTTTTCTTACTCTGGGTTTGAACCCGAGATTTTAATCCTAATTTACCCCTCATTTTCATAAATAGACTCAATCTCCCTCAAAACAAAAAATAATAATATAAAACAGTTATTCAAAATCTGTGTTGTAGTTGGAGCAATTACTCCCCAAGCAAGATTATGAGTTTGAGTCCTCCTAACATTCGTGTAATGTGTGTAAATTTAGTATATTAGCTCTCTTAATAAATAAAAAATTGTTCCTAAAAAAAAATATATATATATATATATATATATAAAATCTGATAAATAATTGAGAAGTATTTTTTTCAAAAAAAGAAAAAGAAATATTATTAAATTCCTAAATTCTATGCAACAAAATTAAAGAAACATGCCGATTGTATTGGGGTTGATTTATGCCCCATTTGGGATTGCCTTTTTTTTCGTCCAAAACCTGCTTAACTTTAAAGTTAAGCAATTTAAGGTGTTTGGTAAAAATAAAACAATAACGCTAAGGGCACCAACTTGTTTACCAAATTTTAGATACCAACACATGTGGCACATGACATGGCAACCCATGTCATCTGCCACCTCATCTATTTTAATTACATAATTTATTATATAAATAAAAGAATTTAATTATTTTTTATATTTAACTATTTTTGTTTTCGGTGAGAAATTCTTTTATTTATATAATAAATTATGTAATTAAAATAGATGAGATGGCAAATGATATGGGTTGCCATGTCATGTGCCACATGTGTTGGTATCCAAAAGTTGGTAAACAAGTTGGTGCCCGTAGCGTTATTGAAAATAAAATATCCTACTTATTTTAAAGCAATGGTTTTTTGACAGCAGCTTTTAAAAGTAACCTTGGGGTTGCTTTTTAGGGCATGTTTACGTATAAGTAATGGAGAAACTAAGGAATCATATAATTTAGGAATCGGAGAACTACTGAATCAGTATGGGAAGAATCATTCCCATTAAGCTGTTTACTAAACATATGGAATTAGCAATGGAATGGGATTGATTCCCATTGTTATTGTTTACTAATTTGCATGAATCAGAATTCAAATTAATTTTAGAATTATGGTAAAGTGATAAGGGTATTTTTGGAAGTTATTAAGAGAAAACAGGAATGGGAATCGTATCAACTACTCCCCCTTAGTTAATCTGATTCCTAATTTTAAGGGAATGTGATTACGGATTTTGAGGTGAGGCCCACTTATTTTTTCATTCCTGATTGCAAGTAAACGCAGGAGAAGTCAGGAATGGAAATCATTTCCTTTCCTCTCATTCCCATTACTGATACGTAAACATGCCCTTAAAGTTGCTTTCAACTGAAGCAGCGCGCTCCCTTTAATGAAAATTTTTCAATTCCACAAATACCCTTATTAGGTTAGAAATCTATCCTCACGTATTTCTCTCAAATCTGCAGACACCAAAGTCCATCTTCACGTAGCCTCCCAAGTTTGGAGACAACCATTCGCTCAATCTCTCTCAATCTCTTTCACAAGGTAGATTCTTCAATCTCTTCAATCTCTCAAACTTTTTATATATGTGTTGTTTTTTTTTTTTTTTTTTTTTTTTCCATTGGTTTCTACTGGTTTTTTATGCGTCCATGGTTTTATATACGTCCAGATTTTTTCTACTAGTTGTCCATGGTTTCTTCAAGCATGAAGGTGTCCATGCTACGAAGTTTCGTATGGACACCATTGAAGACCCATAGCTGGTATTTTTATTAGCCACCATTGAAGACCCATATGATCTGCTATTTTTATTTTCTTGAGAGCTTATCATGATGGGGTTCATAGCTGGTGGTTTTATTCTAGGTGTAGTCCATAATGCATATCTCCTCATTGTGGTTGTAATCCTTTTTGGTGCAGTTAACTTGATATCATCACCCAATGACAAGCTCCATTTTTCTTTTAATTCCCTTTATGATAAACTAGTTTTACTGCAAACTTTTATTTCTTTGACTTCCATTAATCTTTTGTGAATAAATATCAAAACTGCTGACCCAAAAATAAGGGAAAAATATATGGGAGTGTGTCTGAATCATTGTCATCTTGTACGACTTGGTGTATTGCTTTGATGATGTATGTAGTTTCTGTGTGGTTTTTTTTTTTTTTGGGAGGGTGGGTTTTTTGTTTTTTTTTTTTTTTTTTTTTTTTTTTTTCTTCACTTTAAACTTAAGCAGTAAGTAAGTAAGTTAGGTGTTTGGTAAAAATTAAATATCCCGATTATTTTAAAAGTAGTGGCCATTTGACTAACAACAGCTTTTAAAAGCAGGATTTGGGTTACTTTTCAAAGCTGCTTTCAAAAGAAGCAAATATGAGCCTTCAATGAATTTTTTTAATTCCCAAAATACCATAATTCATTTTAAAAAATGACACCACCTCCACTTTCACATCTAACTCCACCACCTCCACCACCACATTCATCGCCTCCACAACCACATTCATCACCTCCACAACCATCGTCACCACCACCACCACCTCCACAACCAATACCACTACCACCACTATGCTAACAACGCCACCACCACCACCTTCACCTCCACCTCCATCTCTTTCACCATCACCTTCACTCCACCACTACCACATGATTAGCACATAACACTTTTAACATCATGTCTATTTTAGTCATTATTCACAGTTACAGCAGTTTTATATTAAAATTTATCAAACAGTTTTGACACTACTTTTTGTACTAACAGCACTTTAAAAATATTATTTACCAAACATGGACATACTTTACTTTATAGCTAATTATTTCTCATTATTGTAGCATTAAGCAAGTCTGGAATTTTGGTCGATGGGCGATTCTTCCTTAGTGTTGTTTAGAATTCCTTTTTCTTTTTCTTTTCTTTTTTCTGAAAATTAGCGATAATAGTATTCAATATTGGGCAAAAAGACCAAATACTCATGAAGGGTTAATACAAAGATGGAACCACAGCAACAACAAAGGGTTAAATCCAATATAGGAGGATGTTGTGTGGAAACACTCTAAGACATTGTTGTTGATGGACTATAAGATGGCATACACACAATCTCATTTAAACACTCGCACGCAGAAGAAAGAACGCAAACACACAAGAACACAAAGATTTATAGAGGTTCGGCATCGTGCCTACGTCCTCTTTGTGATCCACCAGAGAAATTCACTAGTATTAGTATGTAAGAACAACTTTGGTTACTACTTAAACCCCATTAGCTCTCACAAGAACCCTAACTCTCTTTTCTCTCACCCTTTGCTCAAACCCTTTGAATGATAAGTGCTCAAACCTTTTTCCCTTACCCTTTGCTCATACATATAAGGGTCTAAACATTTCGTGTTTTATAATAAGTGCTTGATTTCAAAGGTGTAGAAGTGGCAGAGTCGAAGGACAAGGGGGAGTGTTTTGAATGAAGAATCCTGCTAGCCATTAAGTAGCTTTAGTCAGTTCACTATGAAAAAGTAAACCATGAAAACAAAGCTTCATTTCGTTGCACCAACTCCTTGATAGTAAGATCCCCTGCCCGCTTTTCCTTAATATAAAAAGCCTACGTGGTTAAATTTTATGCTCCACATGCTATTGTACCCCCCAAAAGCTCATAGACGTTGTTAGGTTGAATCTCCCCTCTCATAATCACCACTGAACCTTATGTGACTAAAAGCTTCCTTTTTTCAACCTTATATAAATACCCTTCTTTATCTAAAGCGCTAAGGGAAATAAGATTCCTTCTTAGTGCCAATACATGCCTTACATCACTAAGTCTCTTAACAACACCATCTTGCATCTTGATCTTCATTATTCCCATGCCTAAAACATCACAACTTGTTTTGTCTCCCAATAGAATCTTGCTACCCTTCCTTTCCTCATATGTATCAAATACACTCATATTTGAATACACATGATCAGAGCATTTAGAATCTCAAATCCAAATTGAAGTAGGAACCTTACCCAAGAAATTGCCATGATGTCCTCGTTATGCTCCTCATTTGTAATTGTCAAAAGTTCATCATTGGTTGCGCTTAAACTTTCAGCATTCTTCATCTTGTTCTGCTTCTCCTTCCATATCGGACAATCCCACTTCCAATTGTCCGTAGACCTACACTTGAAGGACCATTCATTGTCCTTGAATTTAGGATTCCTCCAATTGTCTTTCTTGCCATTGCGCTTGCTTGAATGACCCAGCTCTTCGATCCTTGTTAATAGACGCGACCTTGAGAGCTATCTTTAGAATTATGAGCTAACTCATGATGTGCCAAGTTTTGCACCACCACCTCAAAATTGAGAGTACTATTGTCAATCATGAACGTCTTCCAAAAGTGTTCATAGGATGGAGGCAACGATGACACCAACATCAACACCTCATCCTCTGTGCTATAAACCATGTCTATCTTATGCAAGCCTGCAATACACCTATTAAAGGTGTTAAGATACTTCGTGAAATTTCCATCCTCATTCATCTGAAAATTTATGAGCTTTTCCTTCATGAAGCGTTTGTTTGATAAGGACATCCTTTTTCCCATGTTTTCTTTGTGGTGTCTTCTATTACCTTGATGGACCCAGTGCACGTTCCTCTCTTTCGTTGTCATGTTTTTGGCCTTGTCTCCTCACCTGCGAAGATAACGATTAGACCTTGCTAGGTTAGGTCATGTTTCATTCTCCTTTGTCATAGCGTGAAGTTCTCATTCCTTGTGAATGTTTTCTCCTCGAGCTTCATGCTATTCGTCTATGGTGTTTTCATTTGGGAGCTTTCTCCAACCTCGTTCTTGTCGCTCGCCATCGTAAACACTCTTAAAACTATAAAGCCTACCGTGAACCTGGCTCTGATACCACTTGTTATACGAAAACACTTCAAGATCTTGTCGTTGATGGACTATGCAACGGCACACACACAAACCCCTTGGAGAATAAAACACATGCACACCAAAGAAAGAAAGTAAACACACAAAGAACACAAAGATTTATAGAGGTTCGGCTTCATGCTAAAGTCCTCATGGTGATTCACCCGAGAAATTCACTAGTATAAAAGAACAACTTTGGTTACAACTTAAACTTCCTTAGCTCTCACAAGAACCCTAACTCTTTTTCCCCTCACCCTTTGCTAAAACCCTTTGATGCCCTTGTAAACACTCAAGAATTCACCCTTGAATTATGTCTTGTGTTTCTCCCTTGAAAATTCACTCTTGAATTATCCTCTCTTACTATTAATCTATCCCCTAAAAGTCTTATTTATAGACCATAGGACTTAGTACACTTGTATTAGGGGTAGGAGACTTAACCCTAGTCAAACTAGCCCAAAACATGCCTAAAACTCGTAGGAAAACTGAAACATGTCGAGCTCCAAAACACGTGATGACCGATCTCTTTATGCAAAACCTCCAGACTTCCTCTCGGCTTCCAAGTGGCCAGTTGTTTCCAATAGCTCCTCATGATCTTTTTCTCGGCACTTACCTCACGACTCCAATCTTGCATCAATGGCAAGCCAACTTCAACAGAGGATACACTGGTGATATCGAATAACTAGTATTTCTACTAATAGTCTTTGAGGACCAAATACATTTCAACGTAATAGTCACACGCTTAAGGAAATCATATATGAAATACAATGCTCAAAATTACAACTACAACTAACTCTCACAAGTAGAATACAATTTGAGACTAAAACACAAAAACACCCAACTCACAAAGAGTTGATGGAATTATTACGACTTAAATAACTGCAAACACAAGCCCCTTGGTCACTTCATATGTCTTCAAGTCACAAATAGAAACGAACCACATATCTAAAGTAGATCTACAAATCAACAAATCAAAAAAAAAAAAAAAAAAAAAAAAAAAAAAAAAAAAAAAAAAAAAACAAACTAACTAACAAACTGACATCGATACTGGGGGCGCTGACATTAACCAATAGGCAAAAGAGGAAAAAAGGAATGGAGGAGGTAGAGGAGAAGGGAAGGGGATAAGGGGATGAAGCAGGGAAGCCACGAAGCCCAAGGGGGTGACGGCTGAGTTCTCTTTTTTTTTTCCTCTCGCTCTGCAGGGTTTCTAACTGCCGTTGATTGGAATTCCTTTGGTTATTTGGTTTTTGGTGTTGAGTGTATTTGAGATAATTCAAGTGAGTTTTTGGCTATATTTGAAAGTTTTTATAAAAACTGATATTTGAAAGTTTTAGTTCTTCATCTAGAGGTATTTATAAGGTGATCATCCACACATGGGTTGACTATTAAATGGCCAGAACTTAACTTTATTCAAATTTTTTTCCTTGTGTGGCGTCCTAAATCCGCGAAATTGATTTGATAGAGATCGTCGGATTACAAATCTGATCACTTGATTCTCTCCTCCTTAAGAATGTTCCGAATTGACGTCAATCTCCTTGATTGCTTTCCTTATATGATTCTTGTCACATGCATAAAAACATATGAATGTTTTAGTTTTCTGAATACTTGGCTTGACATCTTGTGAGACATTGTGATTTCTAGAGTGTAACATCTAAGGAAAAAAAAAATGATAATAATAAAATATTTTATTTAACCTTAAATATGAGTTATTTATAAATAAATAAATAAAAAGGCAACGTGTAAGCCAAACCTTATTCTTCCCTTCATTCTTCCTCCATTCCCTTATACATTCTCTTCAAAAATCTGATGTTGATCTCAAATTGGGATGAGTTGTAAACCTGTTAGAGATGAATCACCTAGTCTAGGCTAAGGGTATTAATTTCATAAACTAAGATAAGATTGTGGGATGAAGGAGATTGAATTTCACTACACACAAAAAAAGGTCATCACCGAGGGCTAACTGCTGTCGCAAAAACCTCATTTTTCGTCGGAAATGGCTTTTTCCGAGGGCAAAGTGTCGTCGGAGCTCGTTGGAATAGCGATCATCGAAAAAAGTCTTTTTCTGACTAGCCGTCGAAAAAGTATTATTTCCAACTACATTATGCCCTCTGAATTGATGAAATGATTGTCGAAAACACCTTTATAAAACGAGGATGACTTTGTATTTGCAACGTAAGAAAGCTGTCGGAAAAGAAAATTCGTTGTTGCAAATATTACACAACCGACAAGCTTTGTATTTCTGAGGATGTATTTTCGACCAATAATTTTTGTCGAAAATATCATTTCCAACACTAAAATACTATTTGCGAGTACATTATTTTGTCGAAATTATGCAGTTCCAACATAAATATGTTTTCGTAAAAATAAATACATTGTCAAAAAAAAAAATTGATAATTTCGATGGCTAATTATTAATCAAAAACTCTTATTATCATCATTAATAAAGTCACATAAGTAGAAATCAACGAATGTAATAAATTCAAAATATTCATTTTAATTCTAATTTCTAAGATGTGTCTCATAACAATAGTCCTCAAAGTCTACTTCCAACCAAAAGTTGAGGAGTTCGAATGCAACTTTCAAGTCTTTCTGGGAACGTGCAGATAAAATACCGCTCTTTAAAATGTATGTACCCCAATGGTTAATGGTTATGATTCTGAAGATTGAAACAACACATGTAAAATTTGCATCAGATTAAACAGAAAAAGGAACCATAAAACCTAACATTTGCATCAGATTAAATGGCATACAATTGAATGCATTTTTGATATTATAAGGAATGGTATGAACTTACAACAAAGAGAAGGCAATTCAGAGTCAATGTTTCATATTTCCCTTCTTCGCCACATCCACTACTCCCATATAACCTGCAAGCAAGGATGTAATTTCTTTGCCTATGTGCTTTGAGGGATCCAACCCCATCGCAGCAACCTATGACATTCAAAGAGTATTAGGCTACAACCCCAAAACCATCCCAATCAACATGCAAGTCATTTCAACTAGAAAACTCAAATGTTAAACAATAAACCTTACCTTTTATTGTAACCACCACAATCCCATTAGTTATCTGGTAGGCAGAAAAGATTTGTAAGTTAAAATAATGTTATCTTAATGGAAATCCTCTTCTCCAAAACAAAAGTTATCTTAATAGACTGCATTCATGCTGCTAATAAACAAATTACCATTTCTTGAAAAAGCAATGACTGATCTTGTTTCCATAGCTAGGTATAATCGATCTTTTCACTTCATTTTAAAAAATACACATACCATCAATTTCATCCCTAAGAGTCATTCCATAGCCAAGATTCTCATGCCTACATAATATACAGTAGTCATTGAAAAATAAAAACATGCTTTATAATAGTTACCAAATTTGCAGGGCAACAGAGCTTCCTCCCTGCTTAAGATGGTGAAACTTATAGCCAAATTTGCAAGTCCCTCTCCTTATATAATACTGCCAACAAAGAATCACAACACATCCTATCCAAAAATAAATAAATTCATAGCACAATCAAAGGAGATTCACAAACTTTCAAGGACTATCAAGATCTACTACTTTTTCTACTATCAATCTGTACAATTACCCTGCTTAGGATGGTTGAAAATTTATCAAAATCGTGAACTAGATACAATGAACCACAACAATATACCCTCTCTTTTTTTCCGAACAAATACAGAAAAATTAATCAGGAAACATATTTAAAGAAAAAACAAATTGGTGTTTAGGAATTGATACAAACCAAGAGCGAGATGGTTACTAGAACGAGGAGGGAGAGAGGAGAAAAACCAGACCAGATTCTGCAAAAATAAAAATAAAACTTAAAACCCAAATACAAAATAAGAGATTGAATTCTTGAAATGGATACTTACAAAGCAATCATAGTCCTTCTTGGAGACCATGTAGCCACGGCAAGAGAGAGAGAGAGAGAGAGAGAGAGAGAGAGAGAGAGAGTGATAGATGAGGAGAGGGAGAGTGAGAGCGGAGAGTGGGTGTGTCGGAATTTTAAGGTTTGGGCCTGGAAAAAATTAAGGAGAGCAGAGGAGGTAGTTTCGATTTGGGGTTGAAAAGAGAGAAGAAGCGTGAATTTTTTAGGATGAGGGAACGGGAGGGAGGGCTCGAAATTAGAATTTCACCCGAAAAACAGGGCGCCAACGAAAAAAAGAGTGGGGAGGAGAAATTAATGTTTATGAGCACATGCCATGTCATAGAGATCAACGTCCAAGACTTTGCCACATGTCAATCTATTATATTTCATATTACTTTTTTGAATTTAGAAATTCATAATAAATTAATTAAAAATCAGAAAAATACACAAAAAATTCCTATGAAGACCTTGTGATATTCTCTTATCCTTAAAGCTCAAAAATTCTAATTCTAAATTATAAAAATACAAATCAATAATAAAAACTCAACTTTATTCATAGATAAATCAAAACATTCTATCACATACATTCTTGTTTATTTGATCCAATGCTTCCCATTAATTTAAATATATGAAATCATCATCTTAGATCTTCATAATCGAAGGCTATGTCGTAAGAAATTTTTAGCAATTTTCGGAGTATATTTATGATTTTTATATAATTTTTAAGAATTGTTTAAGATAAAAGACAATAATTACCAAAAAAAATTACATGTGTTACCATCATATAAGGCCACACATGAGAAATGCTGACATGGCGCTCTTTAGAAGCTACCATGTGTCAATCTATTATATTTCATATTATTTTTCTATAATTGTGACATTGTGACATTCTCTTCACCATAAAACTCTACAAATATAATTTTAAATTATAAAAATATAAAGCAATAACAAAATCTCATCTTGTGTTTTTGATATTTTATTATTGTATTAATACATAGGTAATTAAGTATCAAATTTTTTTCGATGATTAAATTAGCTCGTCAGAAATATACAAGCAATTCTGACAAGGCCAAAATGCCCTCACAAATGGATAACTACTTCCGACACAAAAAATAGCTTGTCATAAATATATAAGCAAATTCCGACAATGCCAAAATGCCCTCGGAAATTGTTAACTATTACCGAGAACAACTAGTTTCCGTCAGAAATAATTGACTATTTCCGAGGGCATACTCAACACCTCGGAAATAACCATGACATTTCCGACAACAATGGCTTTTGTCGGTAATACAACAAGCGCCAAGGCTTCCCGCTAAAAAAAAATGTGTATTTGTGACATACTTTAAGATTTTTTCTGAGGGTAATTTCACAGTCGAAAATAAAATGCATCATGGTGACATATTTTCAACAGTCAACGTTTTTTAGTCGGAAAAAGCACATTTTCCGGCTACATTTGGGCCCCCTCTGAAAAAAGTTGTCATAAATGACAATTTTTTTTGTAGTGTTTGGGTGAGGAAGAGAAGGGAGAAATGGAGGAAGAGAAGGAAAAAAAAATCTAAGGTGAGTCAATTTCGAAAATTTTGGTTTTAACTTTGTGGTTGTGTGATTTTAGTCCCTTAAAGAGTAATTTGAGTCACATGAGTGTTACGGAAATTGAATTGGAAGGGTTTGAACTTCTATTTTCGGGTGGATAAAGCAATTTTTCAAGTATGGGTGTTGTTGATTTTGGTTCCATTTCGAGTTTTTGATGAGTTCGATTGATAGGTATGAAGTTTAGAAGAGTTTTAGAAGACTTAGGAACAACTGGGGTGTGGTGTGGTTAGAATGGTTGAAAACAACTTAGATCCAAATCTGAAAAATGTCATTTTCGGGAAATTTTCAGCCAGCGAGCCTCACTTTGGCTCTCGTTTTCTCCCAATACTTTGAGTGTTTGAGAAAGTCAATTGTTGAGTTTTAAATTATACATGGCAAGGAACAAAATCAAATTGGTTTCGTCAAATTTGGTTGAGTTTTGATATGTCAAACACATGTGCAAAGTTTGGAAAAAAAATATATATTATGCAAAAAGCAAGCCATAAGCCCAATTTTGGAGCTGGTTTTCTCCTTCGTTTGAGCTCTGTTTTTCGTATGGTTTGTTGGGTTAAAAACTAGAGATATTAAGCTTCAAAACCACTATAAGTTTCCCATTTTCATTGACGTTTGGTTGGTCAAAATGTCTCACAAAATCTGGGATTTAGTATGAAAAACAAGGGAAGTTGCATGAATTTTTTTTTTTTTGTAAGACGATGAGCAGTAATCGGAAAACAAGCCCACTCGCGGCTTCGGCAAGTGGCGGCATGTGGCGGCTTTTCTGGCAGCCTCTGACGCCATATTTTCAGTCCATCTGACTCAATTTCTCGATCCGAGTCCGATTGTATAGGTTTTGGGTTGTTTCGAGGGTTTTAGCTTGGAGAGTGGAGTGCACTCTCTATGCGGCAACCTCCAAAGGGTAATTTCATCATTTTAGCTTCTTGGACACGAGGTAGGGTCTCTAACTTTTTCTCCAATTATTATATTATATCACTTTTAATCTTGGTGTTCATATATAGTACTAAATATGAATATCTTATTGTTTTGCTTGGTGAATACTATTCTTTTATTTTATGAATGTTTATTGAGTATTATTTGATGTTGGATGAATATTACTATCCATGTGATTAAATTTGAAATATTACTATTTTTATTTGAATTATTATCATTTTTCAAAGATTAATGAATGTTTGAGCTGCATTACATATGAATCATAAATACAGTTGTATTGGGTCTGTGTGCAGTTCAAGTTATATTTAAGGGTTGCGAGAAGGCTTTAGATATATTCGGGTAAAAAAAATGTAGAATATATTCAGGTGATAGGAGTAGAGCTTGAATATATTAAGGTGATGGGAGCAAGGCCTCTAATGAAAAGTGAAAGTTGAGAAATTCATAAACAAAATAAACATGGGGTAAGGGACGGATGGGCACTAATTTATATTTTAGGGTGTTCGAAGCCATAGTAATAAAATGCATGGTATGAGACATGCAAGCTTGATGCCCTAAAGTATGAATTAGTGGGTTTAGAAGGGAGTGAGTTCATGACATCATCACATATGCATAACACATTTATCTTGTAATTGTTTAATGCATGTCACTTTGATTAGTCGTGATAGCTAGCTTTGAGAGGGATGTTACAGTACTTTACTGGGCATTAAAATGTTCACACTCTAATAGATAATGCAGGTTCCAATACAAATCCTGAGGAAGGAAAAGTTCCACCAGAGGACTAGATCAGTGTTGTTAGTCACTGTTTGTAAGATTAGTAAGGAATAAACTGTTGGAATATTACTCGAGTGTGTGTACTTAACCTTGAGCTACTGCAACTTTAACTTTGTATTTATTAAATAAGTTTGCAATATTATTGGCTCTATTTCTATCATATCATAGTTATAGAAGTTTGTTTCTATAACTATGGTATGATTATGCCTTAATTCGGAGATAATCCCTATTTTCAAATCAGGGCGTGACACAAAGTCTTTAGTCTTGATGGAAAAAATCCACCAATGTTTGGGTAGCATAGGAATCCAATAGTCCAACCGAGAAAACTCTTAGTTTTATCCATTCATCAAATGATAAATATTTATTTATTATTTAATTTTATCATCAAGTCGAAAGGCCTCACTTTTAGTCTTATATTATACATAATATGATATTATACAAAACATGGCATTCTTGGTTGTAGGCCTGGATGCTAATAAATGAGTAGTATATATTTGAATGAGGCAATTATCATTAACAACCCCCATCATATTGCTTGACATTTCGTGGAGTGAGACCAAACCACAAACTCCTCTCTACCCCATGCAAATTTCTCACCTCCAATTCATCCACAGGGTTAAGATCAGGCCACATGGCCTGTGCTCATCTTTTGACAAATACCTTGTTTGTGGGTGTACATAGGCATTAGAGATTTTATATTGCCTAAAGTGATTTTTGGCATAGTGTAGAAATTCCTTACGACATGATCTTCAATTATAGAGGTCTAAAATCATGATTCCATATATTTGATTTCAAGGTAATCAGTGGATCAAAGACCATTACTGTTAGTTTATAGAACATCAACTAGTGTTTTAGTTTGTTTCAAAACAAAGTTTAGTATTTGTTATCACTTTACAATTTTATAAGTCAAAATTATATTTTTAGAGCTTGAGGGCGCATAGAATGTCATAATGAGTTCTTATGAATTTTTGGTGTATTTTTTGGATTTTTCATTTATTTATTATGAATTTTAAAAGTTAAATAAAAATAATAGTATTAAATAATATAGCACGACACAAGGCAATAGCTAAAAGTTGCCCTCAATGTTTCCAACAAGTGAGGTCCCACGATTGCGACACATCTCATTTTGGTTACTTATTTCAAGTTTATCTTAAACAATTCATACAAAAATAATTAAAAATAAAAAAAGTATATCGAAAATTGCTACAAACTCCCTACGACATGATCTTTGATTATAGAGGTATAAACTTATGATTCCACATATTTAAGTTCACAATAATAGGTGGATCAAAGAACATTAGTGTTATGTTATAGAATATCAACTAGTGTTTTAATTTGTTTAGAAACAAAGAGCAGTTTTTGTTATAAGTTAACAATTTTATAAGGCAAAATTATCTTTTTAGAGCTTGAAGGCGCAGAGAATGTCACAATAAGTTATTAAGAATTTTCGGTGTATTTTTTTAAAATTTTCATTTTTTTCTTATGAATTTTAAAATTTAAATAAAATAAAAATATTTACAATAAATTTAAGATCGACAACAAGTTATTGAAAAACCAAATATACTTCGATGTTTCACCACTGAATAATAGGTACAGTTCGGTCTTATGGTACCAAACCCATTCCCATTTTACGGTGGAACTCCACAATATCCTAAAGGTGTTAAACGGGATGGGCCAGCCCCAGCATGGCACGAGCCCAACTCATTTAAATGAGGCACAACACGCACGAGCACGAATATTAATGGACCGGGCCAGATCAAAAAATGAGGTCCAATGGCCCGACATGGGCTAGGCTTGACTCAAGCCCGCTTCAAGCACGGCACGAGCCCAAGCCTGCTTAAAACACGGCCCAAGCCCAGCCCACTTAACATTTTTTTCTTTCTCAAAAGTCAAAATGCTATACTTTGACATCTAATGTCATTGTTTGTATGGTTTTTTTTTAAATTTTTTTAATCATAAACATATATTGATGTCTTTCATTTTTGGAAAATTAATTTGGTCCTTAATTAATTAAACATATCAACTACAAATTAATTAAACAACATTGGACTTGATATCTAATCAATACATATGACATATATGCTTCTCTTATAATCAAAGCAAGACATTTCTTCACATATAAATAATAAGTGGTTTAAAGACGAAAAGTTGAAGTGGACTTTATGGAGTTGGATACTTTTTGCCATCCGCCCTTTCATATTGTGGATGTTTGATTGATTAATGTTTTCAAATAGTTCATCATTTCTTGCCTCTAATAATATTTTTAATGTTTATAATTTGAATTATCTAGTGAAAAAATGTCAAATTAAATGGGTTGGTTCTTGGGCCCGAGTATGGCACGAGCACAAGTACGGGCACGGCATGAGCCTGGCTTGGCTCGTTTCAATGTGGACATGGGCTTTGGGCCGGGCCAGGACCAATAATTTTACTAAATGAGTCGGCACGGCACGACCCGATAAATTAAATGGGTCTACCTGGCCCAGCACGAAAACGTTAAAAGCACGAGTTTAAATTGGACGGACGGGCCCGGCACGGCCCGTTTGACACCTATAGTGTATCCTAAGTTGTCAGTCCCACACAACCGAAATAGGTTCAATTTTTCAGTGGAAGGCCACTGAATTTTCCTATCGCGTTTTGTACTAGGCTGTCGAACGTAAGTAGCGACCACCATGCAACTCAACACCCAAAAAAGGCCAAAACAAATTAACTCATACCTCATTCAAAGTCTCCCTAACGTTAGTCTAACCCTTCATGAATACATACTAGGTATGTTTTCGCCAATATAAACATATAAATCTCTTTAGGATTGTAGGAACATAATGGCTTGATAAATAACTCTGACAAGGGTTGCAGGAACTAGTGGCGAAACTATTAAGACGCAAGGAGGTGCAGCTGCACCTCTTCTTGCTGGAAAAGACATAAGATGTGTTGCATATTGCATCTCTGCTTTAAAGAAAAAAAGCAACAAAAAAAAGGAAACTTGTTGCCATTTATTCTGTAGGGCCTCCATTATTCCTTATTTAAATGTGATTGAGAGTTCTCTTTATTTAATTGGGCTTTAATAGGGCTTGTACAATTCCTTATTTAAGTGAGATTGATAATTCTCTTTATAAAGGACCAATTTAACATCACCCAATTTTATCAAAGTGTGCGTACATCACCCTCTTTCAAATAATATGGCTAGTTCAAATCATTCTTCAAATAATTCAGGTAGTTCACATCATCCCTTGAATAATTCGGGTAGTTCAAAAAGATCGGAGGTCACCGAGTTGGATGAAATATTGGCTAATCTTCCAGCAGACCATGAACTTAGACCTTCAATGACTTATTATAATCCAAAATTTTGAGGACAAATCTGAATAGCCTATCTACGAAGGGGTCCTTGACCAAAAATAAAATAAAATACAAAGGGGTCCTTGTTAGCCAAAAATGACAAGACCCGACCCAAATTCCACTTTGGAATTCTGGTCGAACCCCTTGCGTGTCCGACACTTGGCAGGTGCAGTCCACGAATGACCAAAATACCCTTTTTGCCCTGAACCACAAAACGAAAACACACTTAAGAGTTTAACTTTTGCCAGAAAACTGATAGAGTCTCCCCTAAAAAACAGACATTTCTCAACATTCCTTAACTTGAATCTGACCATGCATAATCTTTCAAAACTATTCTCAAACTACATTCAAATATGTACAACATACTATTGAGTAAACTAAACCTCAAATTACAATTACAACTACTAAAAGGCTTTAATCGAGCCGACAAATGTCACTATCTAAGTCAATTGGGCTCGTAGGGCCCATGACCTCAATTTGTTATATGACAATTCCTATTCATCCATAACCAAAAGTTCCAGCCCATTCTAGAAGTCCCGTCACGATCCAACGATTGATTGACCTCGATTGCGGAATTTGACTAATTGGGCCCGCGGAGCCCACAACCTCTGATTTTCGGTCCGAAAGTTCTTATAAGTCCAACAAGGTCTACATAACACGTCTCGAGAGTTTGGTCTCAATCGAGCGATCGAATCACTCTCGAACACACGATCGGACGGTAATCGGTTTACTTAACCCTAGAATCATTGATTCAGAGTATCCGGGACTCCAATTCTCGATCAACTAGTTCCTACAAGATCCTAAAAGTATAAGGAACAACATATTTGAAATTGGGACCGATCGAATGGTCCAAACCTATCGAACTCGAATATCGCATAATAGATGCAATATCCATTTGACTGTCAAACAGTAACCAAATACAAATCTGATCAAACCGTCGTGCTCATGATGACAAGGGTAACAATTTAGAACTCAATGGGCTGCCACACCGCTTGCAGTGCATGAGTGTTTGTGACGGAAAATCTCCAAATCACCAGCCAATACCTATGCCAACATATTCACACTAACTAGTGGATCAACTTTTGTTCTTGGACAACGACCAAAAACTGGTCGGAACTAGTCGAATCGAAGCTGAACCCATCGGCTAAAATGGGTATTTTGAACGATTTGTAAAACCTCAAAATTGATTCCAAAATAACAGCATAGACAGTTGTAGCACATGGAGGGGATGAAGATTCATACATGGATCGACTAAAACAGCCACCGGAATTGCTGAAAACAGCATCAGAAACTTCAAAAATCACCTGAACTTCGAGCCGTTCCAGTTTAATTTCCTTGGGGTTTTGAGCCGGGAAAATGAGTGGGTTAGATAGATGACATTGATACGAAACTTTTACAACCAATTTCACTCAAAGTAGACATCAGACGACGACGAAATCACCATCGGAAATTTGCTGCCGTGCGCATAGAGAGAGAAAGTCCTGCGCATAGAGAGAGAGAGGGGCTGACTGGGCATTTTAAAACCCAACTTTGAAAAATTTACAATTGTGCCACTGCACTTCTGTTTACCACAACTTTTTCATTATAACTCCGATTTGAGTCCATTATGTGTTTACAAACTCGTGAGAGTAAGCTCTACGAAATGGTGCCACTCAAATCCCCAAAATATTTCCATATCGAAACGTGACTAAAGTGAGCCTACCCCTAAAGGCAAAATTGTAAATCCACAATTAAATAATCAAATGAACAGTGATTTTTGGGACAGAGTGTTACATGGAAGCCAAAATGACATTCCCCAAACACTTATAGGGGAGAGTAATCGACGTTTTCATGATATCAAACCTCATCGGCAACAATTGTATGTTAATTGTAATGTTTTTTTTTCAATTAATTATGAATAACATTAGTATTGGTTAAATTATAAGGATATTTAGTTGTCAATATTTTGTTGTTGTTGAGCTTTTAGCCTTTAAAAATTACACCTTCGTGGGTCCTTTAGTGGCAAGAACATATATGAGGAGTAGTGAGTAAATTTAATTTTTATTTTAAATGTTTTTTGTCATTAACAGTAGTTATACACAAAGATAAAATAGATTATTCGTATTTAAAATTAATGTGGGGTCAAAATAGCAAATTGTGGGTTCAAATAAAATCACCATTTGTATTTTCTTTTACCCGATTCTACATGTAACCTTTTTAACCCGAGTTTTAATCTCAACCATCCATATAGATCTAGCGGTTTAATTTTCTTTCCGTATTCATTGCTCGCAAATAAGCGTCCGCAAGAGAGGATTTTTGTTCACAACTCTCGCTCACTCCCTCTCTCCTAAGCCCTCTCTCTCTCTCTCTCTCTCTCTCTCTCTCTCTCGCTCGCTAGCCACGAGAAATGGTGGTAGCATCAGCTTTCTCAGCGCCACTGAGCTTCTCATTCGCTTCTTGCCACAGAACCTCTTCTCTTCATTTGTTTTCTCTCAGGTACAAACCACACAACACAAACTCATACAACCAATTTTTAATTTTCGTGCGTATATATACATAATTGCTTATTATTTGTTCATTAATTTTTCTGGTGTTATGCAGAAACCCATCGTCAAAGTCCACAGTCTCTGCCTTGCAGAGTCCGTACGGCGATTCGTTCACAGCTGGTAACTTTTTTTTTCTTTCCTATTTTACTAATTACTCTTTAATTAGATATTCTTAGAACTACTAATTTTCTCTTCCCAAATTACAATTTCATTATACCCAGCTGTCCTTCTCTGCTTATTTCTCCTGAAGCAGTTCAATTTCAGTTCACAAATATGTGTGTGCTTGTGCGTATGTAATTACATATCTACGGCTATATATCTGTGCTAATAATTCAGAGTTAATAAATTATTTTTGCACACTACAAATTTTGCAGAGTAATTAATTGTAAACGTATTGCTGTGTTCAGGATTATCTAGTAGAAATTGTGGGTCACCTCTAAAGCTTGACGTGAAGGATTTTGGTGATACTAGTACAAGGTGTATAGCTCGTGCCCTTTTGCTCAATGGGTTTCATCTACTTTTCGTTGTTTTTTCAAGTTTCTTTTCAATTCTATCTGGTGTGTTGTTAGTTATTAACTGATTTCGGTTGAACTATATTTGTATTGATTTTGCATATAATATATTATTGTAAGGGGTGAATGTATCTTTAATAGAATAAGTTGAGAGTGTTTTGTGATTGTTACATTGATCAGGTCGGAAATTATGTAAAACTCTTGAAAACAAATGCACATATTGGTTCACTGATGAATGATTGATGAAAACTGGATAGAGAGTAAAGCATTTTAGCTGGGCAATGATAATTTTGAAACTCATTAAAAATACAGTCAGAAAATTAGTGTATATTCTATTATTCAGGTCAAGAATCTTGAATTGTATTTATGGCTAATATGTTCTATGATGTCCATTATTCTGTTTGGTTATAAATTTGTGAATATTTTGATTTGTATTTTTAGTTATGGTGCAATAGAAGCCAGAAAAGGGAATCCACCCATACTTCCAGCTGTGATGACCCCTGGTGGACCTTTGGACCTCTCATCTGTATTGTTCAGGAATCGCATAATCTTCATTGGGCAGCCAGTCAACTCATTGGTGGCTCAACGAGTCATATCCCAACTTGTTACTTTGGCTACTGTTGATGAGAATGCGGATATTCTGGTGTGCTTATACTTTTATGTTGCTCTCTACCCTCGCCCCCTTGCAATTGATTTGCCCTGGCTAAGTTAGTATGTCGAAGTCCGTTTCTTTTACAGCTTGTGACTTTGTCCTGTAACATGTCAGGTATATTTGAACTGCCCTGGTGGAAGTACATACTCTGTGTTGGCAATTTATGACTGCATGTCTTGGGTAATGTCATGAAGTTTCCTTCTCATCCGTTTTTCTTTTCTAGTTTTGCTCACATTTCCTTGCTCTCTGCTTTATTCCATTTTTAATTATTCTTATTTGTTGACATTATGAAATTGTCGAACTGTGATATTGTGGTTTGGTGAATAAATCACCAATTTTTCAAAACCAAGATATTACATGGAAACCCCAAAAGGGAAAAACCACAAGACCTAGTGCACAAGTAAATCCACTATGACAATAAGCACTATACAAGACTCACCCAACGGTCTTATGCAAGCCCCATGACTCTCACTAGCTTTTCATCCTCGACACCTTCCAAGCTCAGGCTATGGTTATGTTCTTCTGTAGTTTTTAGAAAACCTAGCCAATGTAGACCTTTTAATCTGGGAATAGATTAAACCACCATTATATTCTCACTGTTAAATGAAGCAACCAGCGAAATATAGTGGTAGTTCAGTCCAATAGTTCACAGCTTAAAGGGTATCTGCTAGGTTTCTAAACCATACAGAAGATTATAACCACAAACTGACTGCACCAATGAAGAAATGATTTTGTATTTTAAAAATTATATGCTGTTTGGACTAAATGGTTCCATACTTTATCAGATCAAACCTAAGGTGGGAACAGTGTGTTTTGGAGTAGCAGCAAGCCAAGGAGCACTTCTTCTTGCTGGTGGAGAAAAGGGAATGCGCTATGCGATGCCAAATGCGCGAATCATGATACACCAACCACAGAGTGGATGTGGGGTATGAATTTCCTTTTAGTATATATTACCCAATTTAGTATAAAGAGGATAGGAAGCTTTGAATTAACCATTATCTTTTTCTTCCAGAACTTGGATGGATTTATAGTGGTTGTGACAAATGTTTCTGTATAATGCAAAAATTTCCAAATTAAAGAAAATGGTTTATATTGGCTATATTACAGGAAGTAAATGTGAATTGTTGTTTGATGTTCTGTAGTCGTAGGTAACACTAAATCCCTTCCTCTTTTATGCTGTTATCAGTTTTTGTACCATATTAAGATTAGTTTGTAGTATAATTAGATTATACATAATAAAAATTTGGTAAGCATATGTAAAATCTCAAATCTCAACGAGCAATTAGAGGGCTTTTCTTACTGATTTTTATGCATACTTGACATGGAAATAACTTAGTTATATTGTTCACATATGATTCCACGAATTTAGCAAGGTGCGAAGATCTGAAAGTTCAGTATAATTATATTTTGTTTTATGCTGATCAGAACAAAATGTTGTAATTTTGTTTCACAATAGAAGTACTGGGAAAAAAAATTCATATTATAAGAGAGTTTCCATTTTTTTTTTATGTTCTCTATTCTGATTAATACTATTAAAGAACAGCTCAAAGCACAATATTTATTAGTCCTTTTACTAATGCCTAAATTTCTAAATGTCCTTTTTGAGCCTTGCATGCATATGCTTGAGAGGATATAAATCACTATATTGGTACCTTCAGTATGCCTTACATGATGACAGAAATGCCAGATTCTCTAGTCTCTTTATTGGTTCTACCAAGAGTGTGGTTAAGTACTATTGTTTCATACTCAAGGAGGGTTATGAGTACCAACCATCAAACGTTGGGGTGGAATTGGGGTTGAGCTGCTCACCAAGAGGTTTTGAGTTCGATTCCCACCAACAGGTTGGGGTGGGCAGGCCAATTCCCTGGAGATGAAAGCGTGTAAGTGCGTGACATCATGAGGGTGGCCCGGGGATCCAGCTTGAGCTGGCCCTTTTGTCTGGCTCACGTGGGGGTGGTAGAGGGGAGTGAGAAGATCTCTTAATCTATAACCAATTTTTGTATTAAAATATAAATGTATGATTTACAAGTGGGAGGAAGAAATACTACTGTGAGGACATGACTTCATGTGTTTGTATCTGTTTTTATTTATATATTTTAATACTTCTGGACCACCCTACGGCCATGAACCATCGGACTTTGAACCTAGCTCACAAGTCGCCTCCCAATAGTAAATGGACCTAACAATCTCATAACCTTACAATTTGGCATGTACAGTCAACAAATTGAAAGGGTTGTCTGAGACCTTATGCTATTGATTCGTTTCAAATTCATGAATTCTTTGTGCATTTTTTTTCCCTAAAATAAAAAAGAATTTCCTATATATTACACGATCTGTTTTGTTTAAAATCCATAAATTGATTTTGCATTTGCTGATTGTAGGGTCATGTGGAAGATGTGAGGCGCCAAGTGAATGAAGCAGTTCAAACTCGCCAGGTCAGTGTTTTCTGCCTTCTTAGTTTCATTCTTCAGACAATTTCTTAACCATTATATATTTAATTTTCAGCCTACTTCTTCAATCAAGCTGAACCAGAATGAACCAGTTCTGTATGAACTTTTACTAATTGATTCAAAATTTAAATGTTGTAGACTTCTACAAGTTGAATTCGAGTGTTGACAATTGCTGCCTTACAGGGCTATTAGGGTAATTGAAATTTAGGTTCAGCCCTGTTACAAACCTTGGTTATCCAGGGCCTCTTTGGTTAATATTTGAAAAAATTGGAATCTTTTAGAATTTTACAATTTGGATGTGGATGCTGAGAACTGTTGCCTCACAGGGCTATTAGGGAAAATGACAATTAGGTTCATCCCTGTTCAGTGCTGGGTTGTTAGAAACAAATTCAGTGTGCCATTAGTTTGTCTTCATTTAGTGACAGACAAACCTTTGGTTGTCCAGGGCATTTGGTGGTCTATATTTATTCAAATAATTTTCGATAATAATGCCATGATCACCATTTTGAAGAAGCATGGATATATTGTCAGCAGAAGCACCTACGATGAAGGGGTGTCTCTATTCTTGCTGAGCTATTTTTCCTATGCTTACTGATCCAAAAAGTCACATAGGAAAGAAATAGGTTGGAAGCTCAAAATCATTCTTGGGCGTGAGCCTCATGCACTGGACATCCCCTTTTAATGGTTGGAAGGCTATGCATCCGTGATTATTGCTTTTCAATACTGTGCTCAACATGTCCTCAGTTTCCATAGCAGCTATTTCTCTGTGCTTTATTTAGTCAAATTTGAGTGCACAGTTGTGTGCTTCATATTAAGCCTTTTAGATGTATTTGATGCAGAAAGTCGACAATATGTATGTTGCTTTTACTGGCCAATCTCTAGAGAAAGTGCAACAGTACACTGAGAGGGATCGTTTCTTATCTGTTTCTGAGGTAATATTGCTATCTCATGTCTTTAATTAAAGAGTTTTGTAAATTGGTAATGACATAAATTGTTAAATATGAGGAGAAATGTTTGGTTCCCCTCTCCCAACTTTTCCGAGCTTCATTCGAATTGGAAGGGAAGGAAAAGGGGGAACAATAAATTTTAGCAGAGAAGGGAGAAAACACAAGGAAAGTCTGGTAACTTTTCTAATGTTTTTGTAAGTTGTTTTCCATGCTGAAATTTCAGTGGTCAATTAAATCGGTATGTTCATAAAAGGTTGTGTAAGAAAATTTCGTGCTCAGTGTACTCAGTGCATAATATAATCTATTATGACAAAGAACAATTACAGAATTATCATAAACAGCTTTTAACCAAATTAGATTCTACTTTTCTAGCATCTAATACTCCACTACATATCTACTCAGCTTGGTGTATTAACCTTGAGCTTTCTGTTGCTTTTTATTGCAGGCAATGGAATTTGGGCTTATTGATGGCGTGTTGGAAACAGAATATTGAATTCAAAGTTTTACCATTTCATGTTTGCTGTAAAATTGGTAAAGTGGGCTGCATTTACAAATTATGATCGGCAATTTGTTGTTCCATTAGTTTTGAATGCCATTCTATGAAGTTGTGACTGTCCATTAAAAGGAAAAAGGAAAAAGAAGTGATTTTGGATGATGGATTCCTTAAGAGGAGTTTGGCTCCAGAAGTATGGCCAGAGGAAAAAACAAAAGCCAGATGAGGAAATGTATTTAGGGGTTTTACCATGAAAGGACAAATAGGAAGGCAAAATGTTAAAATAGTCCATTTCCTCCAAAATTGGACAAACCGGTGACAGGACCGGTTTGTCTAATTTGTGAAAAGGACTTTTGTAACATTTGCTGATGTATTTATACTCGAGGTTTTTGTTTTTTGTTTACTGATTTACTACCATCTTATGACTAAAAATCACATTGTCATTCGCTAAACTTAAGAGGTCTTTAATACATTTAACACAATGTATTGTTGAATGAAAGTTATTTCCTTGATCAAAACAAAAGAAACCTTTAACTACATTGTAAAAAACACTCTAAATAAAAATATTTGACAAAAAAGCTCTAAATAAAATTTAAAAATTATCAAACCTTGACAGCCATAGCCACCTTATTATGGTTGACTTTCGGATGGATGGGATCATAATGAGGAGCTAATTCAATTAAAAAAATACAAATTTATAAATAAACCCAATCCTAGACATGTATTTATAAAAAAACCCAAGTACTATTTAAATATAGAAACACACTCAAAATCAACCATAAAGTCAACTTTTTGGGTGTGTTTATAAATGGGTTTTGAGTGTGTGTAATGATGAGTTTTGGGTGTGTTTATATGTTTAAATAGTGCTTGAGTTTTTTTTATAATTTCAACCCCCATTTTGGGTGTTTTAGTGAAACTCCCTTAAAAAAAATTAGGAATTTTAACATTCATTCAGATTTGAAAAATAGTCGGTTGAAAATTTTAAAATGCCCAATGATTCTAAAGGGTAAAATTGATTCAAAACCGAAAAAATCATATGGCAAAGCTCAAAAAGCTATTATTTATAATTACTTAGATTTTTTTTTTATTGAACAAAGGAGAGATTTTATTAACCACGAAATGGATACAAAGTAAATACTAGCATGTTAAGAGTGGCTTAGTTAAAACTTTCACACGGAAAACCCCAATATAAAATAATTTTTCTATGTCTATTATTATTAAGTCATACTTAGATGTTGTAATTCTTTATGCAATAAGTCTTCAATATCTATTTCATATTTAGTTGAACATGAAATTAGTCATTATATATAGTCTACTTTTAAAACCCGAATATATTTCAAATTTTAGAAATTTTAGAATCTTAGATACATTCTAATTCCTTTTTTTTTAACTCGGAATTTTTGGATTTTATAACTTTCGGATGTAGGAATTGATATAGGCTCGCCAAAATAAAAAATATTCAGATTGTAGTCGAAATCGGAATTTCCAATCAACTTTCACCCTAAAACCCAACTCCAAAGTTGAGGAGCCATAGGATGCACGGCACCATCAACTTGTTGGCGAGTTTTGTTTGACACAACTTATGAGCTTCTTCCAATTTGACAACAAGACCAACCTGAATCAAAAGCATAGTGATCATCTTCAAACAAAGGCACTGAGAGAAAATGGAGGACAAGGGGAAAGGAAACGAAAGATGGAACGGAGCCATAAGCAATCTGACAGAAATGTCCTTCAATTTGGAGTCACTCCAGAAGCTACTCCTCAAAAAGGCTGTCTTTGTTGACGAAGAAACCTTTGCCAAAGCCTCGCTTTGTTCCGAACAAGCACGAACCATCAAGGTTTTTGGCTTTATTCAACTCTTTATAAATATGTATATTTTTTTAATTAATTTTACAGTCTGGGTTTTCATTTTTGTATGCAATCAGGTGAATTTTGTTGTGCAAATCTTGTTGAGGATATTAGGTTCTTACTTGTATAATTTTTTTTCTTCTCTGATAATTTTGGGTCTCACTCTAGGCTGGACAATGATTTTCCCTAAAAAAAAAAAAAAAAAAAAAAAAAATTAATAATAATTTTATAATATATTAAGTATTAAGTATCTGGCGTTTTGATAGTCTTGATCAATATATGTTGAAGAAGGGTGAAGCCCTGAATTTAAGATCTGGGCTAACACCTTTCTTTATACTCTTTGTATACAATTGTTATAGAACAGATGATAATGCTAGTTTTGAGTAGCCAAGTTATCCAGAACTAGTTTTTTCTAGGTTTCTGGCCTGAGGAAGAAGTTTTCTTTTAATCACCCACATTTGGAGGGATCATGCACATGAATTTGAATTTTTGTAACGAATGAAGTAAAATTCCTCTTCTGTGGATCTTATTAACAGTCCTGTTGACAATTTCCACCTGCAAGCAACCATTATCCTTGCTTGTCAAGCCTGCTTGGTTAGGGACTGGGCGTGTAGTGTCATGTTTATTAGAGAGGAATATGGTGGCCGATTGCTTGGCTGAGCTGGGTTCTATTTTTATATGTGGTCTTCCCCTTGTTTCCCTCTGCTGTTCTTCTGTTGGGTCTTTTTTGGTTGAGAACCTTATTGGGGTCAGTCATCTTAGAGATGCTTGTTAGTTCTTTTTGTTTTAGACCTTTTAGGCTCCGGCTACCACCAAAAATTTAAATACCAAAAGATGTTATTTCTAGAAATATCTAATTTTGTAAAGTAATTTTGCCGGCATGCATTTTGAGTTCTTCAGTTTTGTGGCCATTTTAGAAAGAGCTGATTGCAGATGTGTATTTAACAAACTTTTGATGAATGTGGAACTACTTTTATATTTTATTAGCAATTCCTTTCGTGAAGCCTTGATGTTCATTTACCAACAACATATTAAAATCAGGCTTGATGCTATGGCTGTGAGATTCAGCTAAACGATCTAGCTGAAATAGCATTTTATTTTCTTGCGTACCATTGAATATTATATTTCAGTGCTGTGCAGTCTATTAATAGCATTCTTATGTACCAATAGAAGTGAGACCGATTCCATACTTCATTCTACGAATTGGTGTGTTTTATGTTTAAAAGCTTTCTTTCTGTCTAGGTTCTTGAGCAAAGAGTAGAAACTTTGGAGAGAGAACTTGATGCTGCCATTACAGCTGCTGCTCGCGTTCGTTCAGAAAAACGACAGGCTGAGGCAGCAGAAAAGGCTGCTGAATTACATGCACAGGAAGTTACAAAAGAGCTCGAGAACACCTCAAGTATGTGCAATCCAAATATCTCCTTTTTACCTTTTATTTGTGCTGTGAGTATTTGTAGGCTTACAAATTGTAAGTTCCTTGAGTATAAGAAGTCTGATACTATTTTGTAGTAAATGGTTCTGTGTTAGCAGTAATCACCAACACCAATATTGACTTTCACATCTAGCGAAACCTGGACAGATTAATATCCTCATAGCTTGTTATGTCCTCCTTGCTAACTGAAGAACCATGGGCCGCTAAATTCGTAATGGCAAGGATTTTTGTTGAATGGCCTTAAATTAGGACTAGAGATAAATAAATAGCACATCTGCAGTTACTTAGGCTTTTAAAAGGAGATTGATACTTCCAAATTAGTTCCAAGCTGCACCCATAAGAAAATAGTATTCCAAACAATTGAAGGGTGGTGCTTCAGCCTACTTTTGTGGTTTTTTAAAGCATTGAAAAGGGGAACCATTTGGGTCCGACATTTTTGTGTAACGTGGAAACAACAGCAGAAATAGTCTCTTTTGGATTCTTGTGAGATATGAGTCCCACCAACCTTGTTTTAGATGGGAACATCAGCTGAATATCTCCTGGGGTTCCTTGTCAAGCTTAATCCAATCTTTCCGGCTCATACATTTATGTACAAGTTTCCTTAAGGCTCTGAAAGACCTTTGCTTTTGCTCACTCCTACAACCTTCCTCTAATACCAGTTGCTAGGAAGTTATGGTCCAACTACCAAATTCCTTAGCCCAAAGATCACAGTGACATACAAACACAATCACAAAGAAAACACTAAAAGTAGCAAGCACAACCATAGAAATACAGGATTTACTTGGTTCTCGGTCAGATTGGGCTATACTCATTGACAATGATCCACCTTCAAAAGAATTTAGGAAATAGTCTTTCCCGAACTCTCAAAAATACTCTCATCTCAACCTATTTGCAATAGAGAATCCCAATACACAACCTCACAACTCCCTAAATGCTGAACTCTCTCAAAGAGTCACTCTAAATTCTCTCTAAGTCGATGTATTGTGATTAATGCTCTACAAGCCAATTTATAGGCTCTAAAATTCTCAAGTTGCAACTGAAAAAGGAAGCCAAATCCAAATTGGAAACTGAAATACAAGAAGGAACAAACTTAAAGGAAGTCACTATAATTGTCTTTTTAATTTTGCCTCCTGTACATGTCCAAACACATCTTCTTTTGTATTTCTTTTGTCCTCCAATAAAATTCTTGTTACCTATAGAAACAAGAAAGTGATGACTGTACCTCTGAAACTGTGCCCACGTACTTGGCACAGTACCATTTTTCATGAAATCATGAAAAATATAACAGACTTCACCACAAAGGCCATTTCAGTACAAGAACTGAAGTTCATGGGGACCATGTGAGCCAAATTGAAAGTCAGGGATGATATTGAGATATGGGCCAAAGTTCCAGTTCGGTGGTGTATTTATCCTTCTATATTTGTTTAATTCTCTAATCCAAGTCTTCTCTGGATTTGATAGGATAGTTCCAATCTATGAGTAAACTTTGTTCAACTAGAATTAGGAACCCCCATTGGGCAAAAAATTGTTTCCAAAGTACATATAAGCTTTACGTTTTTGTGCATTATGTATTTAGGCTTAATGTTATCATAAACTTTTGAGCACACTGGGTGAGATATGTCTCCCTTTATATCTCTAGCAGAGTTAATAACCCTTCGTATTTATTTTCTCATGAGCAGTGTCAGGGAAAAAGGCTTGAGTATCTTACATCTTCCTAAAATTGATTCAAGTGGAGTGCTCAAATTATTTACTAGTGAGGGTTTCCCCAAGCTCCAATTTGATTTTCCCCAAATAGTTCCAATTTTGCACACGATTTTTTATTTTCCTTTTTTTGTTGTTGAAATGTTAAGAAACATCTAATTTGTTGAACTACATCTTTTGGGGTTCTATTTTTAAGGATGGAGAAATTTAGGTCTTCTTTCTGCCCTTTGATTGTGTTAATGGCTTCATGAATGAAAACATTCATGAATTTACGTTTCCTTTATAATGCTGATTTTTTTTTCTTTGGGGTCCTTATCAACAAAATTATTTTGGTGGTGCTGTAGAATATAGTAGCTGTTTCATTGGGTTCTATATCATTTGGCTGACGACTGTTTGACTTTGAAGTTAAGTTAATAATACTTTTGGCATGAAGCTTTTACTGTTACCCAACTAAAGCATTAATGATACGGAAATCAATTTTGAAAGACTGGAATTTCTTAACAATTGGACACCATTCCACCAGTTATCAGAATAAGCATTGTCTTTGCTGAATGCATATAGAAAGAAAAACTTGTTTTCTGGAGGTATTGCAATAATCTGATTATTATTGGTAGAGATGGGTTTGGATCTATCAATTTAAATTTAAATACATTGGTGTAAGCTTGATATACAATGTTGGCCCATTCTCTGATAGCCTAAGCTTTTTGGGCGAGTGGTTGTCTAACATGGTATTAGAGCCTTTCCTTGTAAGTGGTCCTGAGTTCGACTCTCGTTTCCCACTTCTTTGTTAGTTTGCAGGGTGTATGCTGGGGCTACACCTATATATATTTGTCTCTCTTCTCCTTTTGGTCTGCCTCTCCACTTGCAGGATGAGCGTGCACGTGAGGGAGGGTGTAATCGTGATATACGTTGTTGGCCCATTCCCTAATAGCTTAAGCTTTTCGGGCTAGTGGTTTTCTAACAATTGGAACCAGAGGTGTGGTATGTGTGATGAAAGTCATATGATATAATTTTATTATTTGGTGCAGAGGTATTCGAGCTGCACATGGAAGAGTTGCGGGCAAAGCAAGAAGAAATAGTTAAGCGTGATAAGGAAATCAAACTCTTGGAAGCTATAATTCAGACGCTTGGGGGAAAGGAGTCGCATTCGAGAAAAGGGTAGAAAATCTGTGTTGTGAAATTTAGTATCAAGTTGGTCCTTCTCTTTCCCTTGTAAATTTATATAGAGGAACAATACAATTTGTGCCCTGTTAAACATAATAATAAAGTGCTTCATCTTCCTGTTATTCAGAATTCCTCTGGCTTTTATCCAACTATTTTCTTTATTTTCTCTTTTAATTTTTACGAATAAAATCCAACAATTAATTATAAGTTTTTTTTTCTTCTCCCCTTTTGGACATAGGATAGGATATGTACAAGATACTTTTACAATACAGCCCACCAGCTTTTGAAGGAAAAACCTATATCTATATTGGCCAACAACAACCAGTCTGCTTCCTTTCGTGAGTTTTTGAAGATAAAAAACCTATATTGCCCACCATATGTGCTGTTTAAAGGCTTTCTAATTTCTTTTCTATTATTTTAATGACATACACTTGTATATAATAAACGTGTAAGCTACAGTTCTGATTGTTTGCTTCCTTCCACAAGTCTTATTTTTTCTGCTGTACTCCCTAAATTTTTTAGCTAGCTCACCCATAAAATAATTCATGGTTCACAAGTCAGTATATCCACAATGAAGCTACAGCCCCACAAGACCAAATGTTATTCATGTGAGTCGAACTCGAAATCTCCTCCAACTAAGTGGAGGCAAATACCACTAGACCGAATGCTAGTTTGAATTATAAGACAAGCTTGATAAAACGTGAAAAAGAGAGAAGATTTATTATTATTATTATTAGAAAATAAACAATTTATTTTGCAACATATATTATTATGATTATTATTAGTATAATTTTCATTCTCATGCATATGATGATCACTGACCCACCCCTCTCTCTCTCTCTTCTCTCTCTCTCTCTCTCTCCATCGCCCCAAAACACCCAGATAAAATTTTTTTAAATAAAAAACCCAACCCAAACCCAGATAAAAACTGTTTTGTCATCAAAGAAAACAACAAGAAGGAAATCGAATCCTAATGAAAATTTTGTTTTGCTGTGGTTTTGATTTGAGTTTCAACTTTCCCCTGATTTTGGTTTCCAAGAGAAGATCAACGAATTGTTAATGGGTTCAAGAATCTGTTTTTTGTTAAAACCATTGATCAAGGAGGGTAGATGCTTGTGTTGCTATCGATTTTGGTCCTCCACAATTAGCATACAGATGTTTGAAGATATATTTGGCGTTTGGATCTTTTGTGGTTAGAGTGGAGATGACATTGGGGAGCTAGGGTTGAGTTTTTTTTTAAACTGTGGTTTGGATTTTTGTGGCTGGAGGGGAAGAAGATGAATCGAATTGCAGACAGAAGTCGAGTTGCAAGAGAGAAGAAGAAGAATTGAGTTGCAGTGCTCGAGGGATAAACAGCTTTTATAAAAAACCGCAGTTTTCTCTTTCTTCCTTCACCAGTTGTACAGGTTGGTGGGATTCAGTTTCAGTGTTTATTAACAGCCATAGATTCAAAGTGATCTAATGGTTGAAATTTGGGCACATGGGGTACTGTAGAATTTGTCTTGTTAATTAAGGTCCAATATCCTAAAGAGAAAGGGATTCCTAAAGGAAATTGGTTTGGGCTTTTTCCTTTTCTTAATTCAGCTCCCTCTATATAACTCCACTCTCTCATAACTAGTTTCACTCAAAGCTCCCGTTGGTGTGGTTTGGAAGTTGCTTGTTCCAAGCTTTCTTCTCCTCCTCTTCCTCCTCCTAACCAAGATGAAGCTCATCATGAAGCTCTTCGGCTGCGGTTTCAACTCCTCCGAATGCAAAGAGACGGTGGAGACAGTGGTGGTAAAAGCGCGGTTCTTGCAAAAGAAGAAACAAGATGAGGTGGAGAAGATGAAGAGTGACATCGCAAGTCGCCTTCGGGCAGGCGAAGACCCCATTGGCAGCCCTGCTCATGTCCTGATCAAACGGGTTATAAGAGAGCAGAATGTTTCCGTTGGGTACGAATTCATCGAGGCCTTCTGCGATATGGTTGGGGGCAGACTGTCGACCATCAAAGAGGTGAGGGAATGTCCAGAGAACTTGAAAGAAGGGATAAGTAGTCTAGTGTTTGCAGCCAAAAAGTGCTCTCATGAGATTCCAGAACTGGTGACACTCAAGAATATTTTCAAGAAGAAATATGGAAAGACTTTTGTCTCCGCGGCTACGAACATACGACCCAATTGTGGTGTGGATACCACGATGATAAAGAAGCTTGCTGATACAAATCCCCAAGGTGACGAAAAAATGAAAATTGTGCAAGAAATAGCCGATAAATATGGTATTCATGGATCATGGGTAGAGATTGCAGGAAACAACTGCAATGCTTTGGTCGAAGTATAGAAGACCACAAACGTCATAGCTACCAATTTAACTAATGTATAGATTGATCACTATTACCTTTTTTTTTCCCCTTTCTTTTAACTCTATAAATTTCCTTGTTGTCACACTCTTTTCTTTTTTCTAATTGACTACGAAAATAATATTTTCTTTTTATTTTTGGTTATTTGAAGATATATAGTTTCTTGTTTTAGAGCGGCACTAACTTTTCCTTCATTCATGAGGAATTTGAGAGTGATTCCGGGCATGGCAAGCCACCCAATTTTAAAGGAAGGGATTTTGGCACTCCTATTTTAGCATCTGAAAGCCAAGCATGGCTAAACTACAAAGCAAGCATCATTGGAAAAAAGAAGACCTAAAACTTAAGCCCAGTTATGAAAACTAATAAATAAATGGAGGGTTGAATGGTGAGTCATATGAGACTTGGCTAGCCTCAGAAATATATATACACGTAAATTTATTTAGAGTGCTATTAAATAAACTCTAAAATTAACTGAATACACTCTATTATTTAAGTACACTTTAATATTTAAATTAAAATGTAAAATTAACTAAGTACACCCTATTTAACTACCAAAAATACCCATGGTACACCCTAATACACTCTATCACATAACATCAAACTCATTTTTTCCACTCGTTAGCATTCTTCAAATTATAAACCCAAAATTGGATTCTTTGAATCAATCATAAGATTACTCCACCGAGAAAAAAAAATTCAAAAAAGCCCAAAAGATAGTTCTAAAAATAAAAAACAAAAGGTTTCAGTTCCTCATATTGCTATAGCCAGGCTCTTTAATAAGGTTATTGACTTTTCAACTCTTTCTATGCAGATTTCCTAAGAGTAAGATTAGTAATCTTTTATAGATAATGGAAGCATTCCTTTAGTTCTTTGTTAACCTCTATATTCTGGTCTCTAAAGAAGCTCACAAAGAATCTACCTCTCTTCATCGCGTCTTGGTGAACGTTGTTAAATTCTTGTTTTGCAACTAGGATGTACATGAGGCAGTAAATTAGAAGAGCTTTGAAAGGTTGCACTCGGAGTACAACAAACAAGCTCGGAAAGGGTTTTTCACTTACGAATTAGAGTTGAATATGGTGAGTAGGGTGTACTTATTAAAATTATATTTGTTTTACAATTCAATATATCCTTTTTGGTCATTTTATATTAGGGTAAGTAAGTAATTCAATAAATAATTTGGTATAGAGTGTACTCAGTTAATTTTAGGGTTCGTTTAGTAGAACTCTTCGTTTTTATTATTTTAATGACATCCACGTGTATATAAGAAATGTGTAAGCTACAGTTTTGATTGTTTGCTTCCTTCCACAAGGTTTTTGGTTTTTGTTTTTTTTTCCTGCTACACTCCCTAAATTTTTTAACTAACCCACCCATAAAAAAATTCATGGTTCACAAGCTAATATATCCACAATGAAGCTACAGCCCCGCAAGACCAAATGTTATTCATGTGAGTCGAATTTAAAATCTCCTCCAACTAAATGGAGACAAATACCACTAGACTGAATGCTAGTTTGAATTATAAGACAAGCTTGATAAAAAATGAAAAAGAGAGAAGATTTATTATTATTATTAAAAAATTAACAATTTGTTTTGCAACATATATTATTATGATTATTATTAGTATAATTTTCATTCTCATGCATCTTGATGATCATTGACCAACCAAGGCAAGCAACGTGGCCAAGTAGTCCCCAGAAGTATCACTCTTTATATCCTGAACCAAAGGGACACTATTCTTGAGTTGATACTGTTCCATTATACTCTTCATGTCAACCTCCGCCCGAGTTACTACAACTCTGGTCAGAGTCTCCTCCGTCGTTCCGAGGCCCTTCATCGACAGCCGGAGAGCTTTCTCATAATACTTTTCCGGGCATGTCAAGCATTTTATGGTGGCTCTCACTAACCCAAGGTATTCATCCTTTGGCTTTTTCTTCAGGTCCTGGAGGAAAAAAAAAAACAGAACTCATATAATAAACAGTAATGAACAATCATTTAAAAAGCAAAAGATAAATTAATATAATAGTTTTTTTTTCTCCTATCACTCTCTCTTTCTATCCTCAACATTAACTGTTATAGCCATTAATGTACGCATAAGAGCAGTTATTCGTGCACATGAGTTCTTGTATTTAAATTTTCCTCCCCAAATTGTGTTTATGTAAAAAATATGTGTGTGCATACAGTCACCATTAATTAATTAATCGATTGCGTGTATATATATATATATATATATATATATGTATTGAGATTTCTTAAGTTAAACATACATGTCCATAGTATGATGACTATTGGCAGTCTAAAATTGTCATCATGCATTATTTTTTAATAATAAATAAATAACGAGTATATGATGACTATTTTGGAGTGTGAATAAAAACTGCCGGTGCATATATTTTTGCAAATATTATTAAATAGCGAGCTAGTAGAACCTTGTTGATAGGATGGCCAAATTGGTCGTTATAGACTTTGAATGTTGCATTCAGTTGTGCTTTGCTCCTAGTAGTTAGAATTCTGATGAGCTCATCATGATTACAAGCCTTTTCAGATATTTTCTCTCGAAGTATGTTAGCCTCTGAATTCGCCACCGTCATATCAACCTCAGCTCCCTCGTACCTGTAAGTACTCGCAAGAGGTACCAATAGCTTGCCACGCAAGGACAAAAAATTTAAAAAAACATCTAGAATAAAAATCTAGAATATATATTAATTAACTTTAAATCAATGTAACTTTAAATTTAACAAACCTAGAAAAAAGTTGGCAAGTATAATAAAATTAGATCAAGTTCTACACTATATATTAATTAGATTGATCCTTTTCTGAGTTTTGTAGTCCATGTTTGCAATATAGTATATAGCACATAATCATCTTACGATGTCAGATTATTTGACAAGATCCAATGGTACGTAGCTTTTATATGTATGTACACACATGTATGTTCTATATATGCATACCCAATGATGGAGCCACCTTACATTAGGGCGGGTTCTAGCTCAGTGCAAAAGTTTTTCAAAAATTAGTTTAGTGCTAAAGTTTAGGAAGTTCACCATCATAGAACAATTATAGTAAATTTAGCTTAACCTTTTCAAAGTCATTTTTCCTCAATTACAACCCATCTCTTTATTTTTGTTTGAATAAAATCTTGTTTTTTCTAAATAAAACCCGATGACTATGATCTAACTCGGCAAGTTACCTAATCAAGTGCAAAATTGAATTTATTGTACTTTTTCTATTCCTAAAATACCCCCACTAAGTCATTATTGCATTTTGTATATTAATGTATGAATAAATATAGAAATAATTTTTAATTGGATTGTAACTAATGACACACGTTGAATTTGGAAAGATTTCCAAATGGATGTAGGAATTAATTTGGTAACTTTTTTAAATTTAACATACCTAACCAGTTTATTTGATTAAAAAAAATTATTATTTATTTATGAAGTATACGTGATTAATTATCTATTATATTATTGTCTTATAAATATAATAGCGTATATACAATTTTATGTTGAAAAAATAATGTACCTAGTATGAATTTACTTATTATTCAAATAATATACCCAACTTTTATAAACACATTTTGGATATAATTTACCCAATAATTTCCTATTATGCAATAATATAATTTGTCATTTACCTATTATGAGTATATTGTAGGCATATTAATTGAAGCCAACACATTTATAGGTATATTCTGAAAATAATTTACCTACCCGTATTGGATATATACAAGATATATAGGTAAATTTGTAGGTACATTATATTCTATTGCATTGATAATAATTTACCTATTATATTGTATATATTGTATTGGATGTATACATATTGTAGGTTAAAGCCAACACATTAATAGGTATACTGTGAAAATAATTTACCTACCTGTATTGGATATATACAAGATAGGTAAATTTGTAAGTACATTATATTGTATTGATAATAATTTACCTATTATATTTTATCAGCTCTGATCTCTTGGACCACAGGGGTCCAAGAGATTTGTGGTCACTCATCATTGGATGTTAATCTAACGGTTCAAAAAAGTTTCTTCAAAGGAGTACAAGAGTGAGTGAACCGTTGAATTTACATTCAATGGTGAGTGACCATAAATCTCTTTGACCCATGTTGTCCAAGAGATCGGGACTGTATATTTTATTGGGACAAAATTTGAGGAAAGTTTTATTGGTCGAAAATTTAAGGATTTTTTTATTGGTTGAAAATTTAAGGATTTTTTTTATTGGTTGAAATTTTAGGGATTAGAGGGAATGCTTAAAAAAAAAAAGGGGGAGACATTGATATGCTATAAATGAGGAAGTATTAATAAAAAACGAGAGACTTAATGACATGCTTGAAAAACATTAGGTTGACTTATTTGAAGTGATGGCAAACAATGTAAACATATAGGAGTACTATGACCTTTGATATCTTACGGGGCATTTTAGTTTGAATTTAAGTTTTAAAAATAGATTTGAAAATTAATGAATTGATGTCTAGAAAATAAAAATTATAGGGGCCTATATTAGAACTAGCCCAAATTAATCCGAGCAGCTCTTTAGACGAAATATATATAATATATTATAGCTCAATCTTGAAATTGTTTTGCCTTTTGTACCTTGCGAAAATCTCCAGTTGTGTGGTAAGCAATATCTTCTTCGAGAGATCTCTTGTAGCGAGCATGATAATCTTCTCTCACCTGGAAAAGCTCTCGCGAAGTTCTTGTACAAGCTATTTCCATTATAACCAAATGATTATGGGCAGCTGAATGTTTCTTGGTGGTAACTTCATTAGCTAGCAATGCATCACGTTCAGCTGGATGTGGTGTCCATAGAAGCACTGCCCTCTGCATGCATGCATGTATACGTAGACAGCCATGCAATTAGCTACTTTAATTATGCATGTATACTTAATCAAGTACAGTCCCCTTTTATTGAGGAATTTTTCAAATAATTTTATTTGAGAGATACTCTTTAAGGTACCCTACGATTTTTTTTTCAATGATCCAAACCATCTATTTTTTAGGTCTTCATTCATAGATCACCCTTGCAAAAAATTAGACAAATTGGAAATCCTTTCAATATCTAATTATGTCCTACAAAATCAATTAACACGGTGCTTCAAGAAAGTACTAAAATTTTAATAATTCAATTGAGTGGTCAAATGATATCGGATTTAAGTTATTTTTTTGTAGATATGATCTTTGAATTAGTATCTACAAAATAGACAGTTTGGATTAGTGAAATACAATACGAAGTGGGCCCAACAAGAATGTCCCTCATATAAGCTTATTTGAGAGATCTCTCAACTAAAGCTCCCTATAATTAGGTATGTATGTATGTATATATATATATACAATTAAGTACAGAATATACTACGTTTTTTGTACCTTACATATACTAATATTTAACTTTCTTAAATGAAGACATTAAAATTGTTATGAATTTGATTTGTGATTGACATTGTATGCTAATTGATGAGGAATTTTAGTTATGAAAAAAGTTGTTTGACATTAAGTTACGGCAAATGATTTTTTATGTATTTTCGTATTAGATTAAATGAGGGCTCCAATTTCAGTTTCTCACAAGGCGCTCAAAATCTCAAAACCAACCTACTTAATGAGTTGATGATGAAGCCAGGAGAACTAGGAACTCACCAAAAAGTCACCGGAAAGTTCGTCTTGTAGAGGTTTGAGAAAATCCTCTCCATATTTCTCAGCATAAGTTTGTCGTATCAAACATCGTTGCCTCGCATTCCTATGGATCAATATGGATATGATCGCATTCTCATCTGTTCCCCACCCTGCATAATAATTCAACATTGTATCAACTTTAAATTTGTAAATATTTTCTTTTCATGCATGTATCATTTTATAAACAATGTCCTGAAAAACTGATATAATCCACATCTGCCTGCAATATTTTTTTTTTTTTTTTTTTTTTTTTTTTTTTTTTTTTTATTATGTATCAGGCTTAAACAGCAGCTTGAGGCTGTGGAACAAAACCATGGGCATATATTTACACCATACAAAGAAAAAAAAGCCAAATGGTAAAAATACGGATACTTGAAATTGAAATTCGAGTAAAGATTAAACAGTTTGGATGGAAAAAGTAAAAATTAAGGATTTTCATTTCCAGCAATTTGTAAATTTTCATAATAAGACTTTAGAAATATTAATTTCATATGTTGATGAAATCTATTTATAAATTTTATTATTGTAAAATAATTACGAGATGTCAAATAACAGAGACATAAATGTTCTTTCAAATCTATAATTTTAAAAGATCTTCAAGCTTTCTAGGTTCCAGGTTCGATTCCCTCCTCCCCTATTATATTTCTAGGTCCTAGGTTCGATTCTCACTCCTCTCCTATTATGTTTCCTTGTTTAAAAAAATTGTTCATAAAGGTTATATACACTAAAAATGGTCAAATCTAAATCTCACATTTTAAATCTTCTCATCCAAACATCCCTTTGACATTGTCCATCCTGCATGAACTTAGCATGTGATATGGTTTCTGTTATAGAAAAAGATCCAAATTCGATGGGAAAAAAAATTTAAAATAAGAAAAGGTTAAATCAAACCATAGTGATCATACTAAATCTTATGAAAGTGATTCATATAGGAATTACAAAAGTAAAAAATCAACAGAAAACAGATCCAGAAATGACCACAGCATTTGCTAATAATGATTTTATAGTATCAATGTTTTGGATCTTTCCATATATATATATAGAGCACATTTTTGATTCATTTTACTGAGAGAGAGAGAGAGAGAGAGAGAGAGAGAGAGAGAGAGAGAGAGAGAGAGAGAGAGAAATGACCTTGCATAGCTTTACGAAGCCTTTCACAGTCTTCAGCCACCGGAGGGATCTGCTGCGGTACTGCAAACGTAGCCATTTTTGTTCTGGTGACGGTGAATCTGTGTGTGTTAGAGAATTGAAAATGCCATTATATATGCGTGGGTGGGTATAAAAAAGAAAGGAATATGTGTTGGCTTTATAAACGTCAAAGCGTTACTAATCCAAGTTTGGGTTATTGTTCAATTTATGGTGAGCTAAATTGCTATTTATGCTGACGGTACATTCCACGTATTACTTATGACTGCTTAAGTGATTGTCCTTGCGGCCATGACCTACTAATATAGTGGTAAGGAGCTTTGTCTCCACCTACCTGGTCCTAGGTTCGAGGCCTGACATTATAAAGTATGTGAGTTTGCACCCCCTCTTCCTACCTAAATATTGACAAAAAAGAAAAAGAAAAAAAAAAACTACTTCAATGATTATATGAAGTAAATTTTTCATAAAAGTGATTATTAACTTATTCAAAATCACTCCCAAATAAATCTTACATCTAACAATTTATTAAAATACACATTTGCACAAAGCTTCGTTTCAATAAAAATTTCATGACAAATTGTATAAACTCAATTATATGATATTTACATATATGCTCTTCATTTAAATAGACCACCACGGTTTCTTTCTGTTACCCTTTTTATATTTGAGCCTGTTGTAAGCTAAGTAAAATTTCTCATTAATCTTTTAACTATTTAATAGTTTTTGGATTAACTTTCTTTTATGTGAGTGTGCCACTATTAGCAATTAGAGATATAACATATTTGAATGACTTTATATACTTGCGCCCCAAGTATAAACTTTAAACAAACGATTGTGATTTTGGGTGGGGAAACCGCCCAAGAGAGTTCTTTTCTATGTCTCAGATTGGTCATGATTTCACAATTTATCTAAAAAAAATTGTAAGTAGAGAAAAATACATGAATTTATGGAGATATAACAAATTAATCCAGGCAGAACTGCCTGAAATACAAATCGTAGAATGAATTGCTAGGTTTGGATAAGCCTCAAAGTTTTTTAATTTGGTTTCTGCTTAAAATACAGTCACAATGATGGTTTAAGATCAGACTGGACTGAGTCTCTTTTGGCTGGACTAGATGTTTCTAAACTGAAATTGCATGTCAATACCTTCAACTAATAAAGATTAGCTGAAAATCGATACTAATGTTGAGATTGGCAGAGCTATAAACAAGTTGAGCCATGTAGAGGCTGGAAAGGTAAACAGAACTATAGGTTGGTGCTTGTTCTAGCTAATTTTAAGTGATTTGGTAGCTTTCTAGACAACTTGAAGACATTAAGATGTCTTTATAAATTTTGTTGAGGTTTTCATATGATGAAATACCTGACTTCTGCCTGTTTTATCTAATTTGCTGAACCAAATTTGTAAGAAAAATTAATCACTTTTGAGTTCTGATTGGAATACTTTATCTAGATTTCAAAATAATATTTTTTTTTTCTCTTCGATCGTCTGAGCTTTTCTTTAAGCTGGATTGCTTCATGAGGAAGATTGCTTGCTTGCTTTTGGTAAGTGCCAGATTGTATGATCTTTGGTCAGTTTTGAACTGATTGTTTATATTGAGTTTTTGTTTGATTGGTTGGTTGGTTGGGTGTTCTTTCTCTAGTTTAGGTACTCTTATATTTATATGAGAAAATGCGATGATGAAAAATGTTGGATATTTATGATCTTGGACTAATCCCTCATCACTGCACAAGTAGTAAAAAGATTTGTCAGCCAGTTTATTTGATGATTTTTGGCTCCTTGCTTATTAATGCTCCTGAACGTCTCCTAATCGTTCCTTTTTCAAAAAACTGAACTGAAGTGAGCAATAATGCCCCGATTATTCCAACATTGGTTCCATAAGTACAAATATCCTGGTAGTAGAAAATAAATCCAGCGACCATGCAATAAATAGCCATGATTTCCAACTATTGCAAGTTTGACTTCACTTTCCAGCTTTCATAGTCATCAAAGTTATTTGGAGTCTAGTTACCAATGGTGAGGAGTCATTCTGGCATAACTTAACAACTAAGAAATTGCGAACTTTGGGCTAAAACTAATTCAAATAATTTTGATAGTTGGATTAAATCACCATTGGTGGTAATTTATTTCTCGATTATCAAAATAATGTGAATTTATTTTGGGCCAGTGCACATATTTCAAACCCAAACACTTTCTTTTATGAATTTTACTGGCAACCCCCTCCTCCATTCCCACCCTTCTACCATCTTTCCTAGCCACCTCTCCCACCATGACCACCACTAACGCCTCCTCCTCCCCACACAACCACACCCTGCCACCATATCCACCCGACCATCCCATTTGCCTTAGCCACGAAAAAACTTCTCAAGAAACCCAATTGACAGCCACACCCACAAAACAATCACATATATTTGCCACCACACACTAAGAAGCAATAAATAAAAAAAATTCGAAGTCAATGATGTAACAACAATCCCAATTTCATTTAAGAGAAATTAAGAAACTGATGAAATGAATAGGGTTACTAGTGAGACTATTGGTATTGGTTGTCGTGTCTTTTTTGTTTTTTTTTATTTTTTTTTTTTTTTTTTTTTTTATTTTAGAAGGAGGGATACACAAATATTTATTGAATGTTTAGGGTGTTTCGAACCTCTACCCACATGGGTGGAGGTGGAAGTGCTCAGACAATTGAGCTATATCCCACTAACAAATATCATATAGTTAATTTAAATGAAGAGTATCTATACAAATATAAGATAGTTAAGGTTATGTCAAAATTCAATTTTTCATTAGTGGCATGTTTACTAATCATTAATTAGAATCAAAATGAGGAGTTGGATTCCGATTATCGACTCATATGTTTACTTCACAAGGAGGAATGAAAATGCGAGTAAGATCTGTGGGAGCAAATAATCCGGCTTCCAATCACAAAGTGTCATGTGGACAAGAATAATATCTCATAGGTCAATTAATTGAGCCCATTTATTTGGCCAATTAATTGATAGTAAAAATAGGGATATTATCTTATATTTGGGAATATAATCACCAATTAAAAGAAAATATCACCAAATTAGGGTTATCCTATTCGGAAGATATCATCATCAATTAGTGATTTGATCCCAATCAAATCCCTAATTGATTCAATCTCTACAATTTGGGGAAAGAATATATTTCTTCAAAATAAGAAGATATTCTTTGAAAAACCCCTAGATACCTAGAACCCTATAAATACCTGGCTACATTCAACGCACAAGATAATCCAATTTTGACATGAGAAACCTACTCTCTCTCTCACACCTTCCCCCTATCTCTCCATATTTTCATACACGGCTCTGGCCACCACACACGGCTTCGGCTACCCCGGTGTCCCCATAGAGAAAACTCCGTACCATTTTTTAGCTATTATTTCTCAATGATTCAATCGAACTTACTTAGACATCGGAGAGCCTTTGGCCAACACCCCCGAGGTGTGGTCTTTTACTCTTGTTTGATTTTACAAGAATCAAGAAAGTGAGAGAAAGAAGTTCAAAAGGCGAAGGATCTTCAAGCGAATATTCTCCCGTGAAATATTTGCACAAAGATTTGGTGCTTTCATTGAGAGCGCCAGTTATACTCAATGCGTGCTCTTAAATCAAAGGAATCCGTTTGCTCATTCTTTTTTTTTTCGCTCAACCAAAGCTTTCTGAATAACCCTGGCCAAAAGCAAAAGCACGAGAAGCAAGACCGTCATGATGATCCAATCCACGACAGATCCAAGCCTCCACAACACTGTGACGCCACGACGGCGAGGCAACCGCTGCTTTCCACTGCTGAGATTGCGACCTAAAACCTTAGCGGCACCGTGGCTTTCTCCACGACTCCAACCATCATTCTTCCTCTCGGCCCCGTGACTGAGACCCCTGCTCCAGCACCACATCATGGACTCGTCACCGCCAACATCGCAGCGTAGCCACACTTATCCGGCGATAGTTTCTTTCATTGCCGCGCACCAGGATCTACCTCGCACACTGTCGGGCCAAAATCGCTCAGCAACCACACGGTCTTGTGGCTACCACCTCGCAATTGGATCAGCAATCCTCCTCCACACGGCCACCGCTACCGCACTTGGTGGAAGCTCCCATCACGGCAATCTCACTGCCATCACAAGTTATGGCATGATCTTGGAACAACTTCATATGTTCCCTCATTTGCCACCACGCTCGACTAACGCTTCCCGCGTACACCTCAAACGAAACCCTAGCTCGTGTGCAATTGGGCTCCACACAATTCTCTCATCCCAATTCACGAAGTCAAGTAGACCTTAGTCTTAGAGTTGACCAGTTGACTTAGAAAATGGATGACCAAAACAACTTGGTGAGATAGCTCCTCAACTAGATAGACTTGGTCTGAAACCTTGGCCTTAGACCACAAGGTGAAGAGAGAATGATGGACCAATGCACAAGGGGGTAGTTCGAGAAGTCCCATGTAGGTCGAGCATAAGCAAGCAGACATGGAGAATGACAAGAGTGTGATTAGCATGCCGGCATGTCACAATCATCTGCTACCTCATGCTCAAAGCAGACCGAGTCTTCGATTTTGGTTGAGTCCAAGGACCAATGTGCACAAAAGACTGGGCCCACGACCTGACATTGGCGCCTGTCTAGGCCCACAAGGAAATGTTCATGAGAGGTTAGGACCTCAGGGAGGTCAATGTATTGACCCTCGTAATGAGGTTCATGAAGAAAGGCGCTGCACAGTCTACTCCCGAAAAACCAATTCCCATCGACAAGCCATAGGGAATCCCTTGCAGGTGTAGTCCACTAACTTGCCCAGAAGACTTTAAACATAGGCTATTTCTGGCCCACCATGTGCCATGACTCCACTGAGTATGTCAAAAGATGAGATCGATACCAACGGTACAAATCAATTCCAAACTTGCCTGCCAAAGTCTATCATACACAGTCCGTGGCCATTGACCTAATAGGTCTCATGCCACCGACACTAGCCAAGAAAGACATGATGATCGTCGCCATTGACTACTTTACTAAATGGATCAAGGCCAAAACTCTATGTGAAACCCTGTATTTAAAAAAAATAATGTGTGTATATATATATATATATACATATTAATATTTAATCTTTGCATACTATATAATTAATAATATATATATATTTTCATGGCAAGCCACGTGATATGAGTCTGGCTATAAATTAGTATAGCCTACCTTATCAAATTTTATTGTATATATGTTAATTCATATAAACCCCTATGTAATATTTATTATATATTTTTACACTTTACAAAAGCATTTAAAAAGGCCCTTATGCTTACTAAGTATTCTGTTCCAAATTGACGTGATGCAAGCATATAGTTCTCAAATCTTGTTAAAGCATGTGGTGGAATATTTAAGTAGGAGGTGTAAGCATTGTATGTATTCTTATTTATATCCTTAATTTGAGAGTGCTCACTAAGCACTCTACAAAGCCAATGCATAGGGCTATATTTGGTGTGGTAGACTACTTTCAAGCCACCCAAGTACTCTAGGAAACTATAGACTAGTTGTGTGGCACAATTTTAGGGTGGGGTCCTATAAATAGCACTCCCTTATACTTCTTGTATCATAAGTTCTTCACTTAAATTGCTTTAGTTTCCTAAAATCCGAAAAAAAAAAAAAAAAAAAAAAAAAAAACTAAAGTGTGTGTGATTTTGAGAGAAGCCAAAAGTGTTTGGAGTTGCAACCAGGAGTTATACAATAGCTTTCGATTTGAGGTAGGGTTTTTCTTAGGGAGGCTTTCCATAAATTGATTTAATTAAATATTGTGAACACTATTATGCTTGGTAATATTATTTGATTATTATCCTTAATATTGGGTGTTTACATGTTGTCAATTATCATTATAATTTGATTAATATTGACATGTTCATATGTTATCAGTGGTGGTTGGGATTATTGGGTTGATAAAGAAATTATGGAAGGGTAATGGGAAGGATCTTTTGTGTAGTTGAGTCTGACCATTATAGGGACCAAGTTCAGGCGAGCCCGTGTGCACAGTAGATTAGGAAATCAACAGTATAATTGTCGATTGGGTGATTTGGGCTTGGAGATCAATAGTTTAGACAAGATGACTAGCAAAAGGGATAATGAGGAATCTACTCAGGAACCTACTTATAAATCTCCTTGGGAGCCTACCGAGTCAATTGGATCAGTCACTAGGCCTATAGAAGTTCAGTCACTATCCTAAGTGATTATTATCAGTTATGATGAAGAAAATTAGTATTGAAGAAGAGAGTTATATAAATGTTTATAGTTGTAGAAATAAACCATCAAGTTTTGTAAGATAAGTTTAAGATTTTGTAAAATTGTGTGTACTTTTGTAAAATTTTGTGAAATATAATAAATGAGTGTTTTGTTTATTCTTTCTCTTAAACTTTTATTTTACTATTCCATAATATTGTTTTTAGATATTTTTATTTTTATTTTTTTAAGATGGCTGAATCTAGAAACAAGTTCAATGGAAATGTTGGAGTAATCTTAGCCATTCAGGATATGGCTTTAGTAATTAGAGAAAATAGTAACCAAGATCGCCGTCATGAAATTGAAGAAGATCGAGTTATGAGGACACAAGGAGAATTTCATAAGACGAAACCAACGATATTTAAAGGTGAACCAAATCCTAGGGTAGCTAAAGAATGGTTGAGGCAAATTAAGAGAAAGATGGATAATCAAAGAATTCCGGAAGACATTAGAGTTGTTATTGCTTGTACCTATCTAGAAGGACAAGCATACCTTTGGTGGGAGTCGATTATGAGTATGCCTAATATTGAAATTACAACTTGGGAGGCCTTCGAAAGTATTTTCTTGGAAAAGTATTTTCCAAGTACTATGAAAGCAATGAAAGCAAGGGAGTTTGTTAGGCAACTTAACTGTTGATCAGTATCAGTCTAAATTTGAAGAACTCATGCGTTTTGCACCATATATGATCCCTGATGATGCAACAAAAGCAAAACGATTTGAAGAAGGATTGAGACTGTCAATTTTGGAAAAGGTTGACATTTTGAAATTAAGTATGCTGATGTGGTTGATAGAGCACATATAGTAGAGCAAAGACCTGAAACTAAGAGAACTTGGGATTCAATTAGTGGAAAAATAAATAAACGAACAAGATTTAATACTCTTCAGTATCAATCACAAGAAAAGTTTGGACCACCACTATGTTATTACTGCAAACAAGTGGGACATGTAAAGAGATTTTTTCCACAGCTTCAAACATATCAAGGACCTCAAATACAGCAGACATTATATCGTCCTCACAAGTACCTTTCATGCTCCACCGCCACCTCAAAGTTATACTACTTTTCAATCACAATCTAACTGGGCAAGACCAGTTACTAGACAATTATCATAATGTCTAGGAGGACAATCTTCTCAAATTAGACCAATGGTCCCTGTAGTTGCAAAGAAATCTGGACAATTCACGCAAGGAAGAGTATACGTTGTGGGAAATGTGAAAGATCAAACTGAGCCTAAAACAATAGAAGTATGTTTTTGGTATTCTACTATAGCGCTAGAGTGTTATTTGATTGTGGAGCTACACACTCTTTTATATCCACATCTTTTGCATCAACACTTGAGTTAGAATTTGAAAATATGAAACCCTCTTTGTTAATTGGATCTCCTTTTGGTGGTAGTCTAGAAGTTGATAAAGTATGTAGATCTTGCATGATAGAGATGTTGGGCCATAGAATTTTTGTTGATTTGATGGTATTGGAAATGTTGGAATATGATATTATTTTAGGAATGGATTGGCTTACATATTACCAAGTTACAATTGACTGCGGTAAGAGGAGAATTATCATCAATACTCATAAGGAAGAAACCTAAATTCTTTGTGAAAAAGGAAATCCTGAAATGTGGTGTTGGAGATTATAAATATTTGAGTTGGATAGCTAGAATCGAAACTGAAGAAGTAGAAAAATCTCCAATACAACTTATTCCTGTAGTAAAGGAATTTAGCAATGTTTTTCCAGAAGATTTGCATGGTTTACCTCCAGAGCGTGAAGTAGAGTTTGCTATAGAAATATACCTGGATACAACACCTATTTCTATACCTCCTTATCGTATGGCCCCAGCTGAACTGAAAGAACTTAAGATGCAACTCCAAGAATTACAAGCAAAAGGATATATCCATCCTAGTACTTCACCATGGGGTGCACCTGCTCTCTTTGTAAAAAAAGAAAGATTTAACTCTTTGAATGTGTATCGATTATCATCAATTAAATAAGGTCACAATAAAGAACAAATATCCTTTGCCTAGAATTGACGACTTATTCGATAAGTTAAGAAGTTCTCATTTCTTTTCAAAGATTGATCTTTGATCTGGTTACCACCAACTTCGAGTCAAAGTTGAAGATATACCCAAAACAGCTTTTCGAACTCGATATGGGCATTATGAATTTTTAGTTATGCCTTTTGGATTGACATATGCACCAGCAGCATTTATGGATATGATGAACTGAATTTTCCCACCTTATTTAGATCAATTTGTCATCGTATTCATTGATGATATTATTATATATTCCAAATCTCAGGTAGAACATGAGGAACATTTGCGAATCGTTTTACAAACATTAAGAGAAAATCAACTGTATGCAAAGTTGAGTAAGGGTTTAGGGTTATTTATGAAAGAGAAAATTAGCTACTAGAAATTCTAGGTTATTTATCCAGTTATTTTCATTAAAGTGATGTAATCATATAAACATCAACACAAGTTCAATTTCGCATTCAACAATGTGTAAAAAAATAAAAAAAAAAAAAAAAAAAAAAAAAAAAAAAACGTCCCGCGCCATAAGTAGTGTCCTAAGGAAGACGCAGGGCGACAAGTATAAGCGTCCTAAGGGAAATGCAGTCCACAAAAAGTGTCCTTAGGGAGACGCATGACGCGCCAGGAGTTTCCTAAGGGAGATCCAAGTTCGCGTATAGATTTTAATCGAGTTTGTTAGACTTTTATTATTGATTTTAATGGAGTTTAGAGCACTAAAAAACAAAAGATTTGTAAAAACAATAATGCAGTCATTTAAGAAATAAAAAAATATTGGTGGTAGCGGCGGTGGTGGCAGTGGCAGTAGCGATGGTGGTCGTGATGGTGAGGGTGTGGTCGGTGGTTATGGTGGTGGAGGTAGTGGCACTATGGGTGGGGTCGATGGTGGTGATAGTGACAGTGGTGTTGGTAGTAGAGGTGGCGATGGTGGTGGTGGTGGAGGTAATGGTGGCGGCGGCAATAGCCATGACAAGATGGTGGTAGTCAAGGTGGTGAAATCATATCTTGAGAATAAAAACAATATATCTATCAAAATCTCTGGGGAAGCAAAGATTTGTCATGGTCTAAAATTAGTCTAGAATCAAACGAAAGCCGCCACTTGTTGCATTTCCTTTAAAATCAATGAATTTTTTAATACACCCAAACTTTTATTGAGTCTTGTAAAGTCACGATTGAATACATCCAAATTGAATACACATCGACTTTTTTAGACTTCTATAAAATCACCATCTCGACCTTAAACTTCTTAATTTTTTTTAAAATCTCAATTGAATACACCATCCTAATGTAAACAACTTATAAGAAATCAGTACCGTTCCTACCCCCCATTCCACATGATTTAATGAACAATTTCACTAAGAATTCAGATTTTGATTCTCCCCAATTCAATTCATTCTCAGCTGGATTAATAACCACGCCATAAGTCTATTTATGAATAAAAGTTTCGGTCAAATATTTTTATAAAATTGATATTGAGGAGGGAGGGAATGGAACCTAAGACTCCGAATGCCTCTTAAACCACCTCTTAACCACGTGAGATAGAAATTCCTTGCACTTTCAGTTCAAATCTATTCCAGCATAAAACCCAGTTATTTATCATTTTCCTCATGTTCATCAGTGAATAAAGTATTGACAAGAATTGGTGGCCAGTGCCTTTGTATGCAGAGCATACGTGACCCACTAAACCACGCGCTTCCTCCACCATCACAACCACATAACACTCAGTGGGACCCAGCCAAGAGTCGTTTATCCAGAAACTTCTAAATTACGTGGACCAATCGAACCGCAGAAACTGATCGGATCTCATCGCCCAACTCTCATCCACGAATTCTGATGGCAACCCTCTCCTCGTTGTTGATCTCCTCGCCACGTGTCGCCCGCTGCGCGACTCAATTTTATTAATCCAAGAAATCAATAAAATAATATGAGTAAATAAATAAATAAATAAAAATTCAATTCTCTGATGCCTTCTTTCTTTCTTGTTGTTCTGCTCGAGAGGACGCCTCTGCTCAGGAACCTCCCAGAAAAAAACAACCCCAAATTAGGGCTAACAAGCTCTTCTCTCTTCTTGTGATTTCATCGCCCATCTGTTTTGTTTTCCGGGAAAATTTAGATTTTCCTAGAAAAATTCCATTTCCAGGTGAGTGTGATAGTGTTTGTTGGAAACATCTACTGTTTGCTTTACTTTTTTATTTTTTCAGCTACTACTTTCTGTTTTTAATAGCAGTTTTGTTATGCATGTATGGTTTTCTTTTTTGGGTTGTTGAAATTACCTCCATTTTGGTTGCTGAGAAAATGTTATAAGAGAAATGATTATTTTTAATTATTTTTAAATTTAATTATTAAGAACTCAAAACGCAGAGGAAAAAGAATTCACCTGATTCTAACACTATTTCTACTTGTGGCTGAATGTTTTTGAAGTTTTCTGGGAGTAAAAATAGCAGCAGTTTCACCTCTGAAAATATGGTTCAGTTTTTTGAACTATATGTTCTTGATGGACAGATCTGTCCCTTACCGTAATTTTTTTTTCTACTGAAGTACAGAACTATATTTTTTTTTTTTTTTTTTTTTTTTTTTTTGGGTGTGGAAAATAAGGGTTTACTTAGGCCTAAGGTTCAAAGGCAAAAAGTGGACTGAGGTTTTAATTTTCTTGGATCATATTTAATAATACAACAAGGTTAAAGTTAAATCTTTACTATTATACTTGATAACCTTAAAACTACATCAACATTTATGACCTGACCAATATTTTCCCAAAATTTTATGGGCCCATAATAAGTTATGAACTATGCACTCTGTTTTGATCAATTTTAAAAACTTTTGTGCCGTTTTTTTATTAGAAAAATTATCCATTGCAAGATGGAGATGAGAAGAATTATAAAAACTGGGCCTCATGTTCTTCATCGTTTGAGACTAAGTTTAGTTTGTTCCCATTCAATCCAAAATCACAAATAAACTTGGAGCCTGAGATTTCTTAAGAAATTCAAGTTTGAGTATTTTTTTTGCTTTCCCTTCTGGTTGTGTTCTTTCAAAGTTCTGTTGGTATGCGGAGTTTTCCAATCAAGGTTGATCACAAACATATTTATATTGCTATGAAATTTCTGGTTGTTTGGTGGATGATTATGTTCCATGAATCTCAAGTAATTTAGCATATACGTTTACTTAAAAATTTAACTGGGTTTGTTTTCCCTTTTTTCTTGGTGCTAGGTCAGAAATTTTTAACTAAATTGATGATTTTCTTTGCTGATAACTGTAGAAAGTGAAGGGTTGCGTAGCTCATAAGGATTATCATGATTGTTACTAACTTACTTACCATTGTATCACTGATTTGAGTTGAGTGTTTAGAGTGTTTCACATGTTTCTCTTTCCTCTATTTGTATTGCTTTTTTTTTTTTTTTTCTTTTATTTATGAGTGGTAATACTCCTGCAAGTTTGATGCTTTTATAATATATTTCCATGTTCTTTTGCTGGTGTAGAAAGGCACAAACATATATTTTTCCACAAACATGACTTCAGATAAAAGAGTTAATTGCGTCTTCAGTGGAGGGTAGAACTTCGTGCCGGAATGTCAGACTTATGCTTGTATGAGGTAGTAAATTTTTTAATTTTTAATTTTTTATTGACAGTATGTGGTTGGTTGATGTGAACTTCTGCATAATACTTTTTGATTGTTTCAACTTGAGACTCAATTTGAGGTTTTGCTAATTTCTATTGCAATGGTGTGCTTATTATATGATACATATTGGGACTCTGAGGGTGCCAGCTGGTTCAGTTGGTAAAGTTCTTGTCATCACACAAGGGGCCAGGGACTGAATCCTGCCTTCAGAGTATTTTGGATTTTCCTTCTTTATGTTAGGGTGGGATTAAGGGTTACCTAAAACAAAAAATATTGGGACACAGATATGCACTAGTTGAGTTGTTATAAGATGACAATCCACATATTCTCATTGTTAAATTTCTGTAATATGGTTTCTACTGGCTGTTTTGTCATATTTTAAACCTTATATGTAGTTGGATATGTTGGAGGATAAAACTACAACTAGTTTCTTAGAATACTTGGGTTTCTAATTTTTTTCAGTAGCACGATGTAGTTTGCCAAATTAAGTGTTTTTGTTTTCTCTTGTAGTTAAGGTTTGTAGTTTGTTTTTATTCTTCTAGGATTATAGTTAATGCATCTTATTCTCTCCCTTTTCCCTTAACAAGGTCTTTTTGAAATTAGGCTTACTTTATATTTTTTGACTCTCAATTGTTACTCTATTTCATCCCAAAATCATTTTCACTTTTAACATGGTGCTGATAGAGTTAGTTAGTAAGTTGACCCCTTTCCTTTTTTGGCCTTTTGTTTTGTTTTATATTACATGCATTTGACAGTTTAATTACAAGAGCATAAGACATCAAAGTTGCTGCTTCTGTTTAACTTCATTTTTTTCTTTCAAACTTTTGTGACTTAGGCAATTTCTTGTGGAATATTCAAGAGATATATATTGTGCTTTAGTAGTATCATATTGCTTTAGGGATACTTTTCCTGTGTTTTGTACTTACCAAGATGTGATTCGACGAGTGTTCTTATATCCTTTTTTTCGTTGGGTCAGAAGTGTTCTTATATTTACCTGAAAAACATTGCATCAAGAAAATATTCTAAAGAAGCAAACGTGTGCCATAGAGGAAAGGTCTACTCATCTAGTTGGGAATCTGTTTCTACTGTCTTTGGGGATTTAAGCCTGTTTGCATTACTTTTAGATTGGAAGGCCTGAATATGTTAGGATTAGTTGTTTTGACGTCAAGGATGGATCGGACTTTGTTCGGAAGTGTCTTTGTTCTGTACGGAGTGGTGGAGTTTCTGTATCCAGTTTTTATTGTTTGAGTTGATACTAGTAACAGTATTTATTTTTATTTTTATTATTTTTGAACGGTACATGTATATTGTATTGTTTGTGTTGTGGAAGAGCAGAAACATTATATATCTGGTAGGACCACTCGACTACTTATGTGTCAAAAGTTAGATACACTTCATTTTTTGGTCAAGTTTAAGTGCATATGTATTTTTTATGAGCTACTTTGTGAATTTCCATTACATCACAGTGCCTCTCATATGCGTCTTGTTATATCTTCATGAGATTAATTCATTTTTTCTCAAGCGTTTTGAACCTAGACTATGAAATGCAAGCACTATCTTCATTCTGGTTTAGGCTGTTTAGGGAGTCCAATTAAGCTGGGTCATTCCAGAATCTTTTTGTGACTTTATTCTCTTCCATCTCCCATCCATCTATTTTCTCTAGTTATTTAGGATGGGCCTCAAGAGAATGATTCGGAGATTGGATATCATCAAGATGTAATTCATCCCATTGAATTTACAGGCCAAATATTTATTATCTCTATGGGATTAATTCCCGCATTAACCTAAAGGGGGTATGGACCCCTTCCATAGTCCTGAACCGATCTTACTTGGGATCGCAAATCCCAAGTTTGTCTATGAAGAGCAGATCATCCCCAAGTCCTTGGCCACTGGTTGAAATGACCTCTTTCATTGATATTGCTTTCTTCTTTTCAAAAATAAAATAAACCTTGTGTTTCTTTCATTTTTCTCCTTAACCTTTATTTCAGGTGGAGGTGATAAATTTTTTGTGTTCCCTTTTTTAACTATGCACTCCTTAGTTATTCAAAATTACGTTAAGTAGTGGAATTTTCATTTTGGTTGTCTAAATATTTTAGTTAATAAACTTAGAACATAAATGTCAAGGTGTTTACTAACGAGGGGTTAGTGGAATTGGTCAGGCCCTTGGCTTGCTCCATGTGGTCTGAGGTTCAAACCCTCAAAAGGTACCTACCTAGCTATTTTCCAGTGTTTTGTGCCTCTCAAAGATTGTAGGGCAGGTGGGGGTCCAGTTTTGAATCTGATCAGCAAAGTGGATTGGGGGTTTTCTGTTTTAAGGTGTCTTATTTTGGTATTCATTCTATTGGTTATCTTCCGTAACAGAGACACGTAGCCATTGATAAATGGGGTTGATAAAAAAGGTTAGCACATTTACCATTTAGCTCCCGTGATTGAACAATTCCATTAGGACAATGTTATGCATACCAACTTCATTTTCCCAACAAACAGGGAATGTTTCCATTGGGTGCTATAACATGGTGAGTTTTCCAATGCAATGATATAGTGTGCATGTCAAGGGCCACATAGGTTGGGAAACAAAAGTTGGGAGAAAAAGTTAGGCTATTAACCATTTTCCATTCCATTATGTGACAGACAAAAAACAGTTAGCCACAATCCTTTTTATTTTATTTTTTTAAAAGCTGGGTAATGCTTTGGGTCTTGGCGGCTTACTTCTCACATATAAGTAGTTATTGAATCATAAACTGGAAAAATACCTTTTCCTGTGAACAGCTTTAATTTTCCATTCAGAACATTTAATTTTCTATAGTGTTTTAAGAGGTTTTGTTTCATTTTCCAAGCATCTTATTTTGCTGTTGCTATGTTTTTGTTACGCCACATCTGAAATCTGTTAAATGGAGTTTGATTCCTGATGGTATGTACATATTTTCCCTGTGAATTATTTTGGCTGTGACTCAAATTTTTGCCTGAAAGTTATAATGATTAAGTTTTTGGTTTGCCTTTCCGTTCTATATATTGATGGATGCTTTTCATTTTTTCCAGATTATTTTGTCTCACATCTAAATTAATGACATTGATGTTACAGCTTGAAGATAACACGTGGTATGAGTTTGGTGAGAGTGACGACCATATAGTACCTCATCCTGGCATTGAGCATCATGATCAGTTTCCAGTAGAGGGTGATAGTCGTAAGAAACCAAGGCGTGATCTAATTGGCATCCCAAGTAATGCAAATTGTGCAACTATTTCTGAACTTCAAGGAAAGGAGAAAGAAAACTTAGCAACTCTGACTAAGAAGAGTACCATGCTGGAAAAGGTTTCATTGTCCAACACACCTGATGGTGCGTATGCTTCTTCATGTAATGGTGACTCAATCAAAGAAGTGACAAGCATAGCATCTGATGATACAGGGATGTCCAACCGTTGTTTAAAAAGTGGTAATCCAGATTCAAGCGGTAGTGATGCCAAAGACAATATCATGGGCGACGAATGTACTGTAGTTGATAATAACTTATATGATTACCCTCTAAATCACATATCCGAAACAGATAATGACCTCAGCTTCTTGGATAATGATCGTGAAGACAGAGACAGCAGTGATCTTTTATATTATGGCTGGCCGGATATAGGAAATTTTGAGGATGTTGACAGGATGTTTAGGTAGGCTCTATGGCCTCTTCTCTTACAGTAGTTTTTTATTATCTTTTCATTTTGTGTGTTACATACAATACATACATTTTTCAGATAGTGATTGTAACTTGTAATATGGGTCTCTGGTTCTGTTGCAGAAGTTGTGATTCAACATTTGGGCTAGGAAGTCTCAATAATGAAGATGAGTTGTGCTGGTTTTTATCTTCAAATTCTGCTGAAGGATCTGAAGATGCGTTGAAGTCTGGCGTTAAGTTTTCATGTTCAGAGGCAACTGCAAAAAGTCTATCAGAAAACTGTGAAGCTTCCAAGCTGGAAAATGTGGATCCTTTAACCAATGGTCTGAATAAAAAAGGGACTTCCATGGGTGACAACATAAGTTCCCCAGGTATGGATGCTGGTGTACGGGCTACTCTTGGCCACTTATCAGTTGTGAAAGGCTCAGATGCAAAATCTGAATTAGGGGACGACTTGATGCTAAAAGAACAGGTTTGTATGGTCTCTGCATGAAAGGCTACTATATTTGGATTTTATACTGTATTTTCCTGGTGAATGTCTGAAGGATCCTGGATAACATTTTCACACACTTATATCATTGGTGGTATTGAGTTCTAAAGTGGTGGAGCTACATTTTTAATTTTGGGTCCATTGGGAGTGGATGAGATTGGCTACAATTGGGAATTAGTTGGAATGTCATGCTAGATTTACATAGGAGAATTACTAAATAAAATATAAAAATAAATTGGGGTTGGCTTCAGCCCCCTCCAGCCACAAGCTTTTTCTGTCCTCAATGATGTAGCATAGCAAATTAATTATTAAAAAAGGAAAAAGATTCTGAAATGGAATCTTGCAGGTCAAGTTGTGAACATGGTATATGAAGTTCTCTAATGGGCATAGAACCTGCACTTAGCTTCACAGAAATCTTAAATAACTGCAATCCCCCTTTTTTTTTGCTTCCAATGATGCTTTTTTCCGTCTTTGGACAACCATCAGTGTGGTTCATCTTAGGGCACGGAATTGTTAGAAATTTTTGGTTTGTGTTTGAAAGGTGTTTGCAATTCTTCGCAAACCTCTAAATGCTTTATCTATGTTAACATAAAAAAGTTTTCAGTTACATATTTATCACCACAGTGCACCAAAGTGACATTAAATGCAGTAGCAAACTGTTCTCAGAAAAATAGTATTAACAGATTCTATATTTGCTGACAGATTAATTTTGATAAAATGCAGCCAAAGCACCACAAACAACCAGAAGGGGAAAGAATAGACCGATATGTAGAAAATGGTGGTTCATTTCCTCATTACAGTGACCCGAACCAATTTCAGAATGCAAACCATCCCTATGCAGACTCATCCTGTCAAGTTTATTCTACTCCTGCCATTCATCAGCATAAACAAAAAACAGTAACTGAATCTGTGAGATACATGCAGACAAATATTCCATATATGCACTTGGACTATAGTCATCCATCAGATCAAACTTCAGTCTGCCCAACTGTATCTGGCACCCAATCTGACAATAATGTCCACCCATCTCCTTCTCTGAAGGAGACTTCCTATGCATCAAATCAAGTACTGTCCATGGAGAGTTCTTGTGCTCCATTCAATGCTCCTTCTGTGGTAAAGAAAGAAAAGCAACTGTTGTCTGGGGATTTTGAACCCCCATTTTCTAAATGTTTTAACATTTTGGCTATCGAAAATCCAGAGACATATTGTGATCCGGTTTCAGTTCAAAAGAAAGTGCAGCAATCTGCAAATGAGACTGAAGGCCATAGTGATGTTGAAGGAGGAGCCAGTATAGGAATGCAAGCAGAATTTGATTCTTCAGATCTACAGGAGAGCTCTTGCTTGAGCTCTGTGCTGGATGAGATATCACTAGAAGCAACTAGTTTTCGCCAGCTTCAACAAGTAACAGAGCAGGTATAGTAATTTACAGAACTTTACAATGCACATAACTTATATTCATGCTTGCACACGCACTTCCTGATAGTGCCTCATCCAGTGCACAATGTTGTGCAATTGTTTAAGAACAGGAAAGACAAACGAACTCAAGAAACCAAAGCAAATAAGTAAGATAAAGAACACCAAGAATTAATGTGGTTCAGCTATGCGCCTACATCCACAAGGCAGCAACAATAAATCTCCACTATATCAATACTGGCTACAAGAAAACATCTTTATGAAGAGGTAAGGCCTGATGAACGACTAGAAAGAACAAGAAGAAGAAAACAAGGAAACACTCTTACCTATTTTCTTCTCTCACACATTTTGCCCTTCAATATTCTCTCTCTCTAACTCCTTCAGTGGTATTATGAATATTTTTTTTCACTTGCTCCCTGATTCTTGTAAACGAGCACAGCTGCTCTCCTTGTATAGCCATGATAGTGGGGCTCATCAATTGGGAAAGCAACTATAATTGGGAATAGGATTTGTATCCTCCAAGACTACTAGTTCTAGTAAGGTTAGGAAACTCATCATTCGCTGGAAAACCCAACACACAATACAAATATGAGGTGGATATCATGAATTTCTATATTTGAGAATGATGATATCAAGGAAACTTATGGATTGGAAGGGAAAAGAAGTATGAAGCAGAATCCCTAATTTAATATGCTCTTCTTTGGAATGAGGTTGCCCTGCTGTCCCAGAACTTGGGAAAGGAAAAGTTTTTGTTGAATATAAAATAACTGTTGGCCTACATCCTAATAGCTTAAGCTTTTGGGAGCAATGGTAAATGAACAAAAATTTATAGGTTCTAAGCGTCTTCAATGGATAACAAAGAAAGCATTCCTTTTCAATCACTTACTCAGCCTCAAACATTTGGCATAAAGCTTGATATCAATTTATTATCTTTCCAAAGTATATGGCCTTAAAGAAAATGTGACCTTAAAGTTATAAAAAGTAATCAGTGGAAGATATGAAGATAAAAGTAGAAGCCATTGTTTAGTGAATGCTCAGATTAAAGTACTAATCCCAAATTCCTCTTAGTTGTCTATCTCAACTTTCTTTTTATTTTAATAAAAAATCCTCCATGGAGAGGAGTGTGAAATTTTGGGGCAGTCGGGGGTATGGTGGAGAGATTGTCTTTGGCAGAGCTTACTCGTGCTACCACAGAGAAATGCCAAATCTAGAAACTCTTTCATTCTATTCCTTGACAAACTGTTTTGCTTAAAAAACTTTACTTCACTACAGTAGGTGGTAATAGGACACAAAATGTCTAGGATGAACAACTATTTGGCCAAGATTTTGGCTTAGTAAGAATTGTTCCAAGGCAATAATCCTGTATGGTCTGTATGGTATGCTGCAATTGCGGTGTAAGTATGGGCTGCATGGGAATGGATAGAATGCGAAAGTTGTCTAGAGGCTCTAGTTTGTGCCGGGGACAAACATGTCAAAAGAGATTCTTTCTTTCACTTCATGTTGTCTTTTTTTGAGTTTTATGGAGAAAGAGTGAGATTTTGTGAAAATGGGCAACAGCCTTTTGCCACAATATATTTTGTTACTTTGTTATTGTGTTATGTGAGATTGGTACTCCGAAAATTAGTACTTTGTGTCTGCTGGCAACGTAAATATTTACTTTAAATTGAAGTGCATGGTAACTTGGAGAAGCATACATATTACGATTTACGAGTACCTTGGGTTGATTTGTGGAGAAGTCAAAATCTCTTCTAGTTAGAACCAAAAAACAAAACCTCTTCTAGTGTGTTTTACTTTTTCTGATATTTATTTTAATTTTATATTTTTTTATTAGAGTTGTGCAAATGCATCGGTCTGGAAAAAAGTCATGATATTATTAATACTGTAGTGAAACTTCTATATGATTAATTGATTTAGTAGTAATGTCAACGCAAAAATAGACTTCTATGTTAAGATTTTACAGATGTAAAGTCATTGTGCATTTAAAACTTTACTGATAGAAAAGTTTCTTTTGTGGTTAAGCTTTCTTATATTTACTGAACCTTGTTCATTTCAGTTGGATATCAGGACAAAACTGTGCATAAGGGATAGTCTGTACCGCTTGGCAAAGAGTGCAGAACAGAGGCATAATTGTGCAAATAAGGAGAGTGGCAATATAGATAGTAGAGAAGCAAATGGAGTATTGTTGGCCCAAGAAACAGACAAGTATGTCACTATTTCTCACTGTTCTGTTATTTTCTTGTTCTGATTCTTATTTTCGTTGACTGGTTTACTACCTGTGCATAAAGAACATTATAGAATATCTGCTACCTAAGTATGTTGATGAAATATGTGAAACACTAGGTACATTGACATTGCTTGAATCTTTTATGACTCTAGTCATACCGTATTGCTATCTTCACAAGACATTTCAGTTAGCTTACTAGTTGTGCATTGCCGCACAGTGCACTGTTTTTGACCGCTGTTTTTACTTACTGTATGTGTGCTTTAGAATATTTACACTCATGGAAGAGTTTATGTAAAAAATGAACATCTCTACTAGTTCAGATACCCACGGTAAATTAACCCGGATGCAGTCAGTAAGTGGTTTAAGGTTATTATTGGGGATCACTACATTTCGGTCCACTATCTTTCAGTCCACTCTCTCTAACTGGCACGATCGTCCTCCCTTCTCATCTCTGTCTTTCTTGCACGAGCTTCCATCCTCGACTTCGCACTCCCGGTTTTCCCTTATTGTCGATGATGGTACAAGAGAGGTGTTGATGAGAGCAACTTCAGCAATGACATCAATTACCATTCTAAAGAATAGTCCATCAATTCGTTTATATTGATAAAACCATCCATACAAGATAAAAGAATACAAGTAGTCAACAAAATCCATCTATATAAGCAGAGTGTATCAATCAATACACCAATGCCTTGTCATCCTTGCTAGTGACCTATGTACTGCCATCGAACCATTGCTTTCAGGAATGCTTTAAAGTGATACACCTGCAAAAGGAATTCAAAGGGTGTGTGTTATTTTAATTTTTGGTTTCCTGTTGTCATCATTCAATCTTCAGGTGGTTGTCTTTTATCTGGTATCAATTGTCAACAATGTGTGACAAGGGGAAGGAGAGAGGCTTGTGTGAGTGAGAAGGGAGATACTGCGGACTGGGTGGGGTTGAAATGAAATGTAATGATCTTTAAACCACTTTTGACCTGATTGGGGTTAACATAACCTGTGCAAATCTTGGCTCTCGAAGGAGAATCCGCTCTGATGAGGACATCATGCCAAATCATTTAGGGGGATGGCTACTCTCTGAGCATGATCAGTTGGCAGTATAAGCATACACTAATGCAGATTGGGCTGGCTGTACAATAGACTGAAACATTTTTAGGAGAGGAGCAATAAAAGACAATTTGGTGTTCATAGATCTAGTATTGAACCAGTGATAGCTCGTGTTATATGTGAGTTATTGTGGTTGAGTTTGTTGAAAGAACTATGAGTTGTTTCTGAAGGCCCCATGAAGTTTTATTGCAATAATAAAGCAGGTATTACTGTTGCTCGTAATCCAGTGGGGCATAACTGAACTAAACATGCTGAATAGACAGATATCATGGAAAAGTTTACTGGTCTTATTTGCACTCCATAAGTGAGAACAGAGGATCAACTTGCTAGTAGCCTAACTAATGGAATTTCAAGAGTAGAATCCGAGACATTTATGCATCAGCTTGAGGAGGAGTTTTGACATATGACATCTGGAATCCTGAATTGTAATCAGGCATTCGTTAATTGTAATTAGACATTATGTAATTAGCTGACTTATACTTGCAGGCATGTATAATGTAATTAAGTTTCCTTGTATGCAAACCAAGTACGGTTTAAAAACTCTGCAGAAGAATAATACGCGGCCAACTATTAATTTTTTATTTTTCTTGGCCAGATCAGTAGCTCATCCAACAAAATGTGTAGTTGGTTTGCAGGACCACCCCTCATGCAGTTTTCTGGACAATTTGGAGGGAGATGAATAGGGTGTAATTTTTAGGACAAAGAGCTGTTTGTTGTGTAGCTCAACAGCTTTGTTTCCAGGCGTCTTTTGGAAGTTAAATGCTAGGAATGTATTAACATAGGTGCATTCCGAGAGTTTGTGGAATAACTTTTTTGATAGGAGAGTTTGTAGAATTACTATTTTTTTAGGTGTATGGTCTGCATATCTGCATTTTTTGTTGGCTGTTTGGGCTGTTGCCATTTATTAATACAATTTGATTTAGTTGATAAAAAAAATAAGGCAGAAAAACAATGCAAAACAAGTTTTGGATGGATTATATCACAAGGACTAGCAACATTTTAGGAGGTAAAGAAAAGCATGTGTCACATCTGCTTGATGTGGAATTGGCTATGCTCAGCCTTCTGGAACCTGACAAATTAATTGTGCGCTTAATTCTGTTTTTGGTTTAGAGTTTTAAGATCCTATGAGTAACTCAATTTGATCCATAAACGTCTAGGTTGGGGCAGGCCAGTCAGTTTCTCAGGTAAAGTGCCCTCCTGAGGGCATTCTATTGTGTTTGGGTATGCTCTTATGTGGCTGAAATGTATTCTGAAAATACATGAGAGCTCTCCCTCTCTCTCACGACGTGGAACTAACAAAATAACCTAGTTAGATTATATATATATTTTCTTCTGATTTAAATAATCATCTTGTTCAGGTGCATTGCGTTTATGGATGTGGAAACTGATACAAACCCTATAGATCGGTCCATTGCGCACTTATTGTTTCACAGGCCCAAAGACCCATCTGCACGACCTGCTAATGATCCCTTATCTCTCAGGTCTAGTGCCTTGGTAAGCCTTTTATACCTTTAAGAAGATTTTATATTATGAAAAGTTGCTGTCTTGTATTTTCACTCATTCTGTGGGTTTCCAATTGACAGATTCATGGGTCTGTGAATAGTACGCCTGGAATGCCTGAAAAACAGGTTTTCCCTGAGAGAACTGCTACCAGTGATCGGAAAAAAGACGGCGACGAGTGACAACAAATAATAATATACAGTGAGGTGAGCATCCACAGAGATGTAGTAGTGAAGTATGTATATCTTTTTGAATTTGGTGCATGTCATCGTGTTATGGATGACATCTAATGATGCCCAAAATGGAAGGCAGTTCTGATTCCATGTTTTGGTTTTCAGTGAATTTGTATTTGATCTTCTTTGTGTATACCTGTAACGCCCATCTCAATACAAGTTATTTATCAGCTCTGTGTCACTGATTCTTAGTCATATAACTGTTCCAATCATTTATTGGCATGGAGCATCTACTTGCTATCCATTTGATTGACAGTACTCTCTGCTGCACTTATCAGCACGGACTACCATCGCACGTACGTACTGATGATGTTTCAGCAATCGTTCTGTGTATGAATTGTGCTAAGGTCTGTCGCCTATGCTCCCATGTGATTCTGGACCACTGATGCATGTGGGACTCACACAATGCGTAAGCAGTTAGAATTTGCCTGCACTCGAGGCTGATTGATATGGCATTCTTCTTCTATGTATATTTGAGCAAAACTTAAGCTAGAAGAGGTGCCACATGGACTAGTGTTGTGCAAGCCTCAAAGACACATTAATTGACATAGCCAGCTTGAATGCAAACTTAAAGCTTCAATTGTTTCTTGAGCCCCCCTTTGAGCATAGTTGAGGTGGTCAACCTTGTCTTTAATTATAGTCTTCTTGACTTCGGTGATGTTTGTAGAGAGAAGTGGTGCAGGTGAGCTAATCTTCTGTATCAACTTTGGCTAGCCTTGAGAGCCTCAGTTCAACATCCACATTAAGAGTAGGCTTCGAGCTAGTTGGAGTTGCTGGGAATTTTCTTGGCAGCTAATAGAGGCTCTGTAAGTCGATGAGGAGCCATTTTTGCTGCTATTTCGCATTCCAAAACTCTGGATTTCTGCATCAGCCTTGGTTCAGTCCAAATGGTCAGAATTCTTTTTTATTTTTTATTTTTTTAATTTATTAAAAGATATTCAAGCTTTCCTCTTTGGCCGTGGTTCATATGGGACGTTGAGACAGAAGTAGGCAATTCCAGAGGTTCTTGAGCTGCAGTGACTGAGATATGATAATATCAAATTTCCAACATAGAGAAGTTATGGAATTCGTTATTCTCGGTTTTTTTATTAGAAGTCTAGTTCCTTAGGGGTTTTTAGCGCTAATAGTGGGACACTCGCAAGTTAGAACAATATGCAGGTCTGATTTTAGAGAAAGGGTAAATTACTCAAATGGTCTTCAAACTTGTACTCGATTTACATTCTGGTCATTCAATTAAATTACTAGTCCAAATGATATATAAACTATATTGTAATCAACCATTTGATCCAACAGTTACATTCTGTCAATGTTGCTGTTAAATATGAGGGCAAATTGGTCATTTTGTACGTTAAAAATAAATAAATACTAAAAAATAAATAAAAACTATCCCTCTCTCTCTCTCTCTCTCTCTCTCTCTCCATTCCCCCATGGCCACCACCCTCAAGCTCCAACCCCCAAACTCACCCCACAACCACCCTCCATCCTAGGCCCCATGAACCCAAAACCCAAGCTCCTCCCCACCCTCCACCCAAGCCAGCAACTACAGAACAAGAAAAGAAAAAAAATCTTCCATAAAGAGAAGATGGATCGGTGAAATGAATGGTGGCGTGAGCTTTGACTGAGGACGAGAAGGTGGAATTCGAGGGAAAAATGGAGCCTTTCGGCCAATGTGGAGTCGATTTTGCGAGACTTCGGTGTTTCGAGCTGGTTTGAGAAGGTAATTTAGCTCAGGACTTGGAATTTTTTTTGCTTTTTGGCTACCTTTGGCTACCGAGAAAGTTGTTTACGAGAAAATTTCAGAGCTTTCTCTTTTGTGAGCATATGTGCGTGGAAAGTAATACCAATGAGGAATGAAGTCTTATAATTTCTGTCTGTTATTTTGCTTTGGTTTTTCATGGAAGTCAACTCATTTAAGCCAGATAGGTGTAACCAAGTTACTTTAGTATTTTCTGTCTCTGTAATTTTAACTAAAGTAGAGTTATTCTTGTTCATTTGAACCTCCAACTGTTCTGTCTCTGTCTCTGTTCCCCTCCCCCACTCCCTCCTTTGGGCGGTATGTTGGTTTTAATTAATATGAGATATGGGTAATTTTGAAGTTCCAATTTTTGACAGAAAATTCTAAATTAGCGTGGAACTCAGAATCAGTAGGATGATTTCTGCATTGTTTGGAACAATTTAATCCTTCCAGTGGTTGTGTGGGAAGTTAAGCAGTTATGGTTTCTACATTCATGATAGAAGGATCAAGAAACTAGGATAATCGGGGGGGTCAAAAGTGTAGGATTAAGGGAATAAGGAGAATATGGCTACGGATATCCAGAAGTTAATTGGAACAAGTGAAGAAGATGAGGACGAAGAAATGGAGATGGACGTGAAAGAAGAGGGCGATGACGATGATGAAGAAGATGCTGAGAAGCTGGTCGTGTGCTGGGATTTTATTTCTTTAGTTCAATTTCTTTTGTCAAACATGTATTTTAATATATTTTATTTTATTTTTTTTAAGAAAGGGCTGAAGCTTTAATATATTTTAGTTCAATTTCTTTTGTCAAACATGTATTTTTTTTTCTTCTTTTGTCTCATGATTTTTTTTCTCTTTTTCTTCAATTATTTTCTAATTTTGTATTTATTTTAACCCTATTTTGTTTGTTAATTATAGAAAGTCGTATTTGCCCCAAAAATTTGGTTACATTTAACAAAATAGTACCGTATCACCACGTCATCTAGTGATACTTCCATTCAAAATGCGCCATGTCATCTAGAAATATTAACTATTAATACAGCTGGATTTAAAAATCAAAATTTTATAATTTAAAACCATTATGGATTCATTTTTCCAATCTCCCTCCCTTTCTCCCTTTCCATCCCTCCTCTCTATTATGGATTTAGAGTTCATGGAATTTCCTCTCTATGATGGCTTTAGGGTTCAAGGAATTTAGATTGAAGATTTGTTGGGGTTGGGTTTATGGTATTTGAGATATTATTTAATTTCATACGCGAAGGTCAAGAAGTCTAAAAGTTTCTGCGAATTTGAATGGAAGTATCACTAGCCAATGTGGTGATACCGTACTATTCTATAATTTATGCTGATTTCAAATCTAAGCAAATGTTCACCCGTTTTGATCTAATCCTGTGATTGTTGGGTAAAGTTCCCCATTAACTTAAGAACCATTCGTGGTTAACAAATCAATTTTCTTTTGTATATGAGTGTGCCACTACTAGCGATTAAAACCTTAGCAGACTTCTAAACAATAGGTAACTTGCGCCCTAAGTTACTGATTCTAAACAAGCAATTGTGAATTTGGGTGAGGAATATCTCCCAAGTAAGTTCTTTTCTTGCCTCAGACTGGTGAAGACTTTACAATTTTTACAGTACAAAAACTGGTAGTTTTGACCAGAATAAATATTAAAAGAGAGCGAACTGCTTAAGTAAAATTGCCTATTACAGAACTTAAAAGAGAACTGCCAAGTCTGAGAAAGACAACAGAACGTTGGACTTCGATTTCTGCATGGATAGCTACCTCTAAGCTGGGCTGGACTGGATGTGTTTATGCTGGATTGAATTGTCAGCACCTTCAACTGATAGGTTTCAGCTGGAAATCAATACCAATGTTTGAATTTAGCAAAGCTTCAATCTGTTTTAAGCCCTAGAAGGCTTGTTGGATGGGTAGAATTGAGGTCTCTTCAGTCTAGACGGGGCCAGAAATGGCTGGATTGATGATTGCTGAGCTGGAGCTATACTATAGTATCTATTCTGCTTGATTAAGACCTCTTTATAAATTTGTTGAGGTTTTCATATTGTAAAAACTTGGATTCTGCTTTGACTTGGCTTGTGCTGAATCAAATTTGTAATAAGAGAAATCTCGCTTTGTGAAACTATTTCTCTGAATTGAACTCAAGTCTCTGACTTGAGTTCTGGCTGATCAATCTTTTGTGGATCGAAGAGTTTGGTTGCTTTAGAATCTGAAGGCTTTTGAGATCAACTAATCTTGTTTTGAATTCGTCAGTATGACTTTGAGAGTTTTTGTCTTGATTGATTTTTTTTTGCCGTCCTTAACCTGTTCACACGTTCTTATATTTATAGAGAATCTGAATGAGGTTTTTAATATCTAGGGGCATAAAAAGAGATTTTCCCTTTCTAATGCAGAGAAGTTATTAATTTGGCAAAAAGAGAACCATCAATAGTCAGTTCTTGTGATGGTCTTTTTGCTTTTTCTGAAAAGAAAACCAACTCTCTTGTTCTATGTTTGTTCTTTGCATAAACACAACTTGCCATGATGGTCCGTTTGCTTTTTTTGGTGAACAACTCTCCTGCTTCCTGCTTATCTCTTGAAAATGTAACATGCTTTGGTGTAGAGCTTTTCTACACATAGAGAGGGGATTTGATCTTCTTTTCTTGGTTTTTAAAATGGAGAAGGTTTTCTGAAAAAACCTGTCTTCATTAACTCCCTATCACTTCCCTTGCCTTAGTTGAGAATTTTGACTTTTCAAAGTCAGAAAGTCATGTGGGGTTCCTTTTGAGAAAAAATCTTTCAAGAAAAAATCTGTTGACTTGAGAGATCAGATGGTGAGAGTTTAGAAGCTGGGCCTATGAACCAAAGTTAGGTGTCAGATTTAATTGCCAATAATGGAAATTCATTTTTTAGATCATGGTAATATTTTTAACATGCCCAAAAAATGGTCTGGGCCATTTCAGTATTTTGGGTTGATTTCAAATTCCAATAGATACAAAGTCCAATCGGTTTTTGTTTGTTATGGGTCATTTAACCAAATGGGTTGGCGTGCATAAATTTGGCCTAAACAGCAAACCATTGATTTATCAAACTCAGTGGAGATAAAGAAAGTGATGTGCTTTTAACGAAATTTGATTTCCCAAATTCCTGTAATAAAGTAAATGTACTTGCCCAAAAAAAAACAGAAAATATTTGGTAATACTACTAATTAACTTGGCATTT